GATATAAACAGACTAATAATAAAGTATGACTCAAACATGTGTGAATGAAACAAAACACAACTCAAGGTATGTTTTTGAGGAGGTATAAACATTATAACATGGCTTAAAGTTCACAAGCGTCAGCTTTGTGTAATATGCATGACCCCATGGACATAATAGAAAGTTAAAACAATACTTTAGAACATTTTCCATGAAGATTAATATATTTTTATACCATACTGTGGAATATTATAGTCAGGCCAAGTAAGACTCAGGTTTGTGGAAATATGAACCTGCTCACAGTAAAGATATGTGTTTTTCAGTGCAGTAAACATAACCAAATTGGAAAAAAAAAAAAAAAAAGAAAAAAAAAGTATTAAGTATTATTTTTTCTTACCTCTTTTAGCATCATTCAAGTCCTGGACAAGTCCTGGTCTAGTTATGGTCTAGTTCTGGTCAAGTCCTGGTCAAGTCCTGGTCTGGTTATGGTCTAGTCCTGGTCTAGACCTGGTCTGGTTATGGTCTAGTCCTGGTCTAGTCCTGGTCTAGTCTGGGTCTGGTTATGGTCTAGTCCTGGTCTGGTTAGGGTCTAGTCCTGGTCTGGTTAGGGTCTAGTACTGGTCTAGTCTAGTCTGGTCAAGTTGTCTGGTCTAGTCTGGTCTAGTCTGGTCTAGGATTTAGGTCTAGTCCTGGTCTATTCCTGGTCTAGTCCTGGTCTGGTCTAGTCCTGTCCTGTCTAGTCCTGGTCAAGTCTGTTATGGTCTAGTCTGGTCTAGTCTGGTCTATTCTGGTCTAGTCTGTCTAGTCCTGGGTCTGGTCAAGTCTGGTCTATGGTCTAGTCTGGTCTGGTCTGGTCTAGTCTGGTCTAGTCCTGGTCTGGTCTAGTCTGGTCTGGTCTAGGTCTGGTTAGGGTCTGGTCTAGTCTGGTCTGGTTGGTTATGGTCTGGTCTTAGTCTTGGTCTAGTTATGATTTAGTACTGGTCTAGTCTGGTCAAGTCCTGGTCTATTCTGGTCTAGTCCTGGTCTGGTTAGGGTTTAGTCCTGGTCTAGTCCTGGTCTAGTCTGGTAGTCTGGTCTAGTCTTGGTCTAGTTATGATTTAGTACTGTCTAGTCCTGGTAGTCCTGGTCTATTCTGGTCTAGTCTGTCTGTCTAGTCTGGTCTAGTCTGGTCTAGTCTGGTCTGGTCTAGTCTAGTCCTGGTCTGGTCAAGTGTCCTGGTCAAGTCCTGGTCTAGTCCTGGTCTGGTTATGATTTAGTCCTGGACTAGTCCTAGTTTTTGGGATAAACCAATATAGTCATGAACTCACCTGTCGTCATGGTAACTACAGCGCCAAAGAGCAGACACAAAACCAGCAGCTTCATGGCGTCGGTGCAGAAGATAAAACCCAGGCTCACTGTCGATCATCGAAACATGTAAATGATAAAAACATGTATTATTATTTAGATCGTTCATTATCAGGCGTCTGTGGTGAGAGCGGCACAGGGACACACTCACCTGCTGTGGACTTCTGGCCCCTTCAGATTGGACGTTTTCGGTAACACCCAGATCAAGTTTCTTTCACAGCAGCACTGATATTCTTGAACCTGCCGAACGTGGACTTTCGAAGGCAGAAAAAAATAAATCACAGCTCCATTATGATGGATGGTCACACACAATCATGCTTTTTTCTAATTGTTTTAATTTGTTTTATATATAAAGCTGTGATTTTTATTTTCTTTTTTATAATATTGGTCAGGGATAAGTTTACATTCAGCCATTCTTAGTGTTTTTATTTATATCTCTGTAGATTTTATTTCATACATGTTATCAGTTTATGACAGACAAATATTTTATTAATCCTGAGGTAAATTCAAGTTGTGCTGCAGCAAACTCTTGCAGGTGATGTTGCTGCAGTTGCATTTACACTGTGCGTCTCACCTTTGTGTCTCAGTCAAAGGTCTTAGTGCAGTGAACTAGAATTCAAAAGGTAATATCTGTGTCATACGCCTCCTCCTGGCTCCAAAACGCCACTACAGTCCCATCTGACCCTGGGAGCCCATTGGCTGTCACATAGACCACTGAGGAAGCTCTTTTGGATTTATTACAAACTGTTTTAGTTGTAGGATCTTGTAACCCAAAGTGAGGAGTTCATTCTGATTTCTGATTGGATGATTTTATGTGAAAGGTTTCTGTAATTGTGAATCAGTAAAATCTATATTGTCTACTTTATTTATTTACTTTGTCATAGAGACACAGATAAGTGAAATATGAAAAAATATACATATACCGTCTTTGATATACTTGTGTTTTGTTGGAATTGATTGTATTTTTTGTATTTACATATGTTTAATAACAAATATACTGGAACTTAATGGTCCTATATTCTGCAAAATTAACTCATCCTAACATGGCTTAAAGCTCATATCAAAAACATGCCTGGAGTTTGTTTTGTTTTTTGTTTTTTTTAATGTTTGTTTGTTTGTTTGTTTGGTGTCACTTGATATGTTCAAGAATGTGATATTTTGTGATTTTATTATTTTGTATTCAGAGGCTGAGATATTCCAAAAGAGATTTTTAGCGGCCATTTTTTCAAAATCCAATATGGCCGCCATATTGATTTTCTGACTCCATATACTATAACCTTTCCAAAAATATATAGGTTAGGAAATCCAAAAAATTCCCCCAAAAGTATATAAGCAACCGGACTCTAAATTTTTCTTAAGGGCCGTTCACACCAAAGCGTCAAAAAACGCTTTGACGCCTCTATTTGGAGCCTTTACGTTTGAGTTTAGACGCCCCCGACACGCGTCTTTGACGCTGTGGACGAACGGGAGAAAAATACATGACGCGTCCGTTGCCCTGGAAACAAGAGCCCGGTCCCGCTCTTTTCCCGAAACAATATCAGACCAGACTGAGAGAGTGTTTTTATGACATAAAACATCAACGGAGGAGATCGGGTCGACGACTGGGTCGTATATATATTTATACTCCGCTAATGACGCTGGATCAGTCCTGGTTTAGTCCGGGTCTAATACCGGTCTGGTCCCGGTCTAATCACGGTTTAGTCCCGGTCTAGTCCTGGTTTAGTCCCGGTCTAGTCCTTGTTTAGTCCCGGTCTAGTCCTGGTTTAGTCCCGGTCTAGTCCTGGTTTAGTCCCGGTCTAGTCCTTGTTTAGTCCCGGTCTAGTCCTGGTTTAGTCCCGGTCTAGTCCTGGTTTAGTCCCGGTCTAGTCTCGGTCTAGTCTCGGTCTAGTCCTGGTTTGGTCCTGGTCCGGTCCTGGTGTAGTCCTCGCGATCGGCTCGGTGATTGTGGCGTATATATTTATGCTCCGCTCATGATTGTGGTTCTCGCTCTGGTTCTCGGGTCTTTCTTCCTGATAATAACGTCGCTGCGTCACTGGATACTCGTCCCCGATTGGTTGATGCGGCGCGTCTGACGCGAAAAGTTCAGCATTTTCAACTTCTTGATGCTGACGCCTTGGACGCGCATCTAGAGCGTCGACGCGAAAACGCTGAAGACGCACCGCAAAAACGCAGGACGCTCTAGTCGTGCGTCCACATAGAATTTACATAGAAACTGGATGCTTTGACTCTTTGGTGTGAACAACCCTTTGAAGTTTCAGGTTGTTCATAATATTATATTTTCTAAAAGGAAGAGTACATCAATTAAAAAAGATTTCTGTAATAGATTTGCGTTTCTCTGCACAAATATTTGAACTTATTGTTACTTTTGGGGTTTATATGCCATGAGTTTTCTGATCCGGCCCCTTTGGGATCAGTGTAGGTTGGATATGGCTCCCAGACTAAAATGACTTGGACACCCCTGATTTAGGCTACGTTCAGACTGCAGCCTGAAGTGACCCAAATCCTATTTTTTGGCCCCTAAGTGACCTGTATCTGATCTTTTAATGACACAGATCCGATTTTTTCAAATGCAACGCAGGCCACTTTGATATGTGGTTCTGAAACTGATACATTTCTGACCTTTTGACATGCGACTTCAGTGTGAACGGCCAAAGCGCATTCATCTGACCTACACATTATCAACAAGCCACAAACGTCACTATTCTGCACTGAAGTAGACAAAAATTGTTAATGAACTCCGTGTCACTGAAGTGAAGCACATCACCACTCACCACTCTTGGCTACGTCTCCACATCCACACGTTCCTTTCAACAGGCGCCACTGCTGCTGTCCCACAAAACGCCACGGCCAAAAACCTCATCCTTCTCCTTCTTAATCTCCTCCTTAAAACAAGTAAGTTGTACATATTCTGGCTCCGGTACGAGAGGAACTTTAAAATCTCCAGATGCTCACAGCTCGCAGACAACTTCCGTAAACACAGAGCACGCTCGCTGCGGTTGACGTCGTCGTGTCCTCCAGTGCACATGCGGGACACTTTCGGGCCGTTTACTGTTCACACTGGAGTCACATACAAGTCACATTTAATTGGAAATGTGAACGACCTCGCAAAAACATTGGATTTCACAAAAAAATCGGAATTGAGCATTAAGCCCTGCAGTCTGAACGTAGCCTAAGAGAGTCCACTTCCTCTTTGTGTCAGTGTTATTTCTTTGCCTGAATATTACATAGTATAACACTGAACTTATGCATCTCACATTATTTCTTTGCGAGCATTTTTATTGCTCTAAAAATGCTTTTAAAACGTTCTCACTGAGCAGGGTCGCCTCTCCACAGATCTGACCTGTAACTTGGCCTGCTGACACCACCTGCTTGTCTATATGAAGGAAGATAAGTCCAATACCACACTGTGAAAAACTCAAGGCAAAACATCTCCATGGAGACAAGCAGTTGGTGTATCCTCCTCCAGAAAAGTTACACAGTACACCTTTAAATATGACGTTTAATTAAGTGATAAGTCTGTCAGTGTAAGCAAAGTGTTTAGCCACATCAAAACACAGAACTGGTTTCACATTGTAGAGCCACACCTTACAGTGGAAAACAAACCTTTTTATTTGCATGACACAACAGTGGATCAAAAAAAAAAAAAAAAAAAAAAAAAAAAAAAAAGGAGGGAGGAGTTTAAGTAGAAATTAAACTAGAAACAGAAGTGAAATCCAAGGCAAGATCAAACAGCAATCTTTCTGTGAATTAAAGGTAAGAATACATGATTTTATTAAAAATGTATGAAACAACTGTTGCCCATTTAATTGTGTTAGCTTTTTTATGTAGAAATATCTGCATGGTGAAATAACTAATCCTATTAGGGTAAATAAATGCATGGTCTGGTTTGGGCCTGTGTATGTGTATGTGTATTGCAGCCTAATTGAACATAAAATAATAATATAGGCCTTTTTAACTTCTTTTGAATGTGTGGTGTGTGTTTTGTGTACTTGTGTGTCGAGTTTAACAAGGAAGCAACTCCAAGTGCAGATTCACAAAGTGTAACAATTACAACGCTAACATCAGGGCTCAAGTCCAGAGGTAAGACCAATATCCTACCTCTGGTATTAACTCTTTGTTTTGTAAGTCTCAAGTACGTCTTTGACCTCAAGTCCAAGACAAGTCCCAAGTCAAAGACATGTAAGTCCAAGTCGAGTCAGTGGCCCATCAGTGATAAGGAGGACAGGGAGTCAAAGTGTGTGAAAAAAAACACAACAGAAATTCAGTTCAAAATGTGTTGAATTAAAAATATGAGCTCAATAAATATTTCTTGTATATAAATATATATTAGAAAGATAGATAATAACTATGTAATTAAGGTATTATTGTATTATTATAGGTAGGTATGCTTAAACACAAACAAAAACAAAAATGCAATGATGCACAGTACAGACAGACAGTATTGTTTGTTGAAATAGTTCAATTCCTAAGTTCAAGTAGTCGCAGGAAGAGTTTGTGGTGGTGTATTTGCTTCCGCGATCATGCGGTGAATGAGTAGCTCACCAGCCATCCAGCGGTGGTTTGTGGGATATATATATATAAAATATGTTTCTCACCTTCCACGGTGGTAGGTCTCTCTCACCCTCATTCAGCTCGGGTCCTCTACCAGAGGCCTGGGAGCTTGAGAGTTCTGCGCAGTATCTTTGCTGTTCCCAGTACTGCACTTTTCTGGACTGAGATGTCCGTTGTTTTTCCCGGTATCTGTTGTAGCCACTCTTCCAGTTTGGGGGTTACAGCCCCGAGTGCTCCAATCACCACAGGCACCACTGATGCCTTTACTTTCCAGGCTCTCTCCAGCTCCTCCTTGAGCCCCTGGTATTTCTCTAGTTTCTCGTGTTCCTTTTTCCTGATATTACCATCGCTTGGTATTGCGATGTCAACCACCACGGCTCTGCTCTGTTTCTTATCCACCACCACTATGTCTGGTTGGTTCGCCATCACCATTCTGTCAGTCTGTATCTGGAAGTCCCACAGGATCTTGGCTCGGTCATTCTCCACAACCTTTGGAGGTGTTTCCCACCTTGATCCTGGGGTTTCCAGCCCGTATTCTGCACAGATGTTTCTGTACACTATGCCCGCCACTTGGTTATGTCGCTCCATGTATGCTTTCCCTGCCAGCATCTTACACCCCGCAGTTATGTGCTGGACTGTCTCAGGAGCCTCTTTGCACAGTCTACACCGTGGGTCTTGTCTGGTGTGGTAGATCTGGGCCTCTATTGCTCGAGTGCCCAGGGCCTGCTCCTGAGCAGCCAGGATCAGTGCCTCTGTGCTGTCCTTCAGACCAGCCCTCTCAAGCCATTGGTAGGATTTCTTGATATCAGCCACTTCAGTTATGTTCCGGTGTTACGCCCCATGTAGGGGTTTCTCCTGCCATGATGGTCCCTCCAGCACCTCTTCCTCTGGACCCCACTGTCTGGGATTGACACGAAAGCATATATATATAAGTGCGATGGAAGTGGCGCTAATTAATGTGGGATACAAAGTCTTTAAACTGAAAATATATCTTTGATTTTTGTAATTAATATGATTTTTAAACTAAATTGGGCTTAAAAAGTCCTGGTATATTTATATGTGAGTATTTCTAAGAGTTAGAGAAATTTTCTTTTTCTTTCACAGTGGGGCATCCGTTGCAAAACTGTCTTTGTGTCCATAGGCAAGGCACTTCACCCACATTACCTAGTGTGAATGTGGTGTGTCTGTGAGTGATGGTGGTGGTCGGAGGGGCCAATGACGTGTGGAATGAATAATCCTGAATAATGCTGTAAAGTGTCTTTCAGTGTCCAGAAAAGCTCTGGATAAAGTTGATGCATTATTCGTTATTATTTAACCGTGTGTTTCCATGGAATCATGCAGGTGATGTGCCACCACCAGAAAGTTAGACTTTTAACATTGTTTATGGACAAAAAGTTATATAATATTTTAGTCAACATTCTTTGCTAGATGGTAGAAAAACGGCCTTAAGATTAAAACAGATCAAATGTTCTCTTTTTCAGACATGGCGTCCAGTTCTGACTCTCCATCTCCTGCTAACCCTCTGGAGAAGCAGCTCATCTGCTCCATCTGCCTTGAGATATTTAAAGACCTGGTCACCACTAGTTGTGGTCACTCCTTTTGTGAAGAATGTCTGGACAGGAGCTTAAGACTAGACAATTCCTTGTGTCCTTTATGCAAAAACTACATATTAAGAACACCCCAAGTCAATATAATACTGCGAAGTGTAGTGGAGCAGATGAAGAATGAGAAAGAGGAGGAGGAAAGGAGGAGATTCAGGGGGAGACCAGGACAAGTTCCCTGTGACATGTGCACCAAGATGGCCGCCACAAAGTCCTGCCTGATTTGCCTCAGCTCGTACTGTGACGATCACCTCCAAATACACTCGGCTAACCAAAGGTGTGTAGAAACAAACAGTGTGATAAACAATGGCCATACTTTATTATAACCTGCTTTGGTGGGTTAATAACAGTGGTAAAGATTTATAATAGTTCTACAAGTGGAAATGTAAAGCACAAAAATACAGGAAGTAGTGCTCTGCTTAGTTTGTTACAGATTTGATTTATTAAAAGTACACACTGAACTTTTGTGGTGGAGGGTCCGGCACCTGCTCGTCTCTGTTGAGAAGATGTCCAAGCTTTGCCTAGAATGTTCCACTGTATGGCATTAAACTTATCTATCTCAATAGAGACAAGTAAGCAACACCACCTGACCACGTTACAGGTCAGATCTGTGGAGAGGCAAGCTCACCCACAGTAATTATTCATGTTTTTGAAGTTTTTTCAGCAGCAAAACTAACTGAAAGCAAAATAGGTAAGTCTGATGCTTTGGAACATCTGCATCAAGAAAAGCAGGAAGAGGATCTTCCACCAGAAAAGTTTTATATCTTTAACTAGTTCAGTTCTTTACATCACTGACAGTTATTACACAAGTGTTTACTTCCAGGTTGAAGGGACACAAACTGGTGGATCCGGTGGAGGACTTGGACCAAAGGGCCTGTCTGACTCATGGGCGCCCCCTAGAGCTGTACAGCAGAAAACAGGAGAAGTGCATCTGTGTGCTGTGTATGGAGAAGGGAGAGGAGGGGGTGGTGTCCTCAGAAGAGGAGTGGGCCAACAAGAAGGTAAACACTGTCAAATCTGCTCATCATCTGATTTCTGGAGTCTGTGAACCGTTACATCTGATGTGAATGATCTGGTTTCTTTTTGCAAGTTTTGACAAGAAAACATGGCAAAGACAAAAATGAAAGAGAAAGACTTCAAATCTATTGTACTGTTACAGAACAATACACGCTACTGTTACTGTTAAAATTCATAGATTAACAGACACATGTCACCAGATGTGTTTTTGATAATCAGATTTCTCTTGTGCAAATCAGTAATCTAATCTAATCATTGATTATCTGATTACCTGATTTCTACTGGTACACATATAAGACTTATTCTATTCAACATGGCATTTTGGTCCAACAGGATAAAATCAACAACACAATGGATGGAGGACCTGAAAGAGAGCATTGTGAAGAGGAAGACCAAGATGGATCAGATCAATGCTTCTCTGAAAAGCTGTAAGGTGTGTATATAACCAGGTAGAATCAGATACATATACAGTGTCTGATTATGGCCTGAGACACAGAGGAGGAGGAGGTGAGCGGACTGAGGATGTTTTCACACTCTGCACAACTTTTGGTCCAGACTTTAGGACTTTCCAGTTTGGACTTTCTAGTTTGGTTTGGTCCCAAGTGTGAATGCTCCTGTAGACTGTTGCTCAGACTAAACCAATGAAATGTGAAGAACGTCTGATTAATCTTTTCTCCACTCAATATGTCTTTTAGCCAGTCACAGTCACAAAAGTCTTGACTTACTTCCCCAAACTAAACATTTCATCTCCTCTATGCTCCTCTTGTGCCAACCTTGGTGTGAATCTGAGAGTGTGTTAGAAATAACAGAGAAAAACAGTCTTGATGTCTGACTAGCCACCTTGGTCATCTGATGTTGTTTTTAAATGTGCTCTTGTTCTTTTCCTTCAGGATCAGCTGGACAGTGAGTGGTGGGCGATAGATGACGTCTTCTCTGAGGTGATCTCCACAGTAGAAGCAGCTCATGCCAAAGCTCTCAAACCATTGGAGGAGAGGAGGCAGCGTCTGAAACAGGAGGCATCTGATCTGTGTGAAACACTGCGGTCTGAAGTGAGCACCCTGGAAAAGACCATCTCCGAACTCGAACACATTTCATCATTTGAGGACCATGTGCTCTTCCTGCAGGTGAAAATGACAATACAACTCAACCTGGTTTTGTTTATTTTCAGTCGCGACAAGTAGTCCTAGGGTTTAACCAGATTTATATCAAGATCTCGATTCAGTTATTTCTAATCATCACTTGACTATATTAAAACATGAAAAAAAAAGTTCATTTTACACTGTTTGCAGTGGTCCAAACATTATTCCTCACTTAACTTCTGCAGTCCAAGCATCATAATTATTCTACACAATGAGTTTATAACTGCTTTTCACAACTTTCTGAGACCAGAGTGGAGATTTTCTGTCACGGTAATGTTAACAACAACTAGCATACTAATCATGCACTTCCTGATACTCAGACAATAAAATGCTTCATAATTAGATGCTGATGGTACACAGTAGACTTATTTTGACCTCAAGAGCTGCTTAACCAAGAATAGGACACATGAAAATAAACTGGGTACGGTGCCTTTAATGGAGACAGTCAGTGCTCGGACAGTAAAAGCCTGTGGTTTAGTTGATATGAAATAGAATCGTTTCACAGGAGCTACCGGGGTCTCTGACATGAGCAGTTGCATTAGTTTGATGTTTTTGTTCTGTTTCTTGTTGATGCAGAAATATCCGTCTGTGAAAGAGCCTGGAGTTAAAGACTGGACGTCTGTAGAGCTGGACACTTCTGTGAGTTTTGGCTCTTTGAGAAAAATAACAACTGAAGCAATGGAGCAGATTCAAGGGCATCTGGACAAGCTCACGGCTCTGGGTAAGAAAAGTTTAAGTTCCCAGTGTGAGAACATCTTCAAAATGATGTTTATTCACTTTATTCATCAACTGTTTATTTTCATTTCTATGTAGAACTTCAGAGACTTTCCAAAATTTGCAGGTGAGTCCTTTCAGTACTTGAGGTATTTTTGTGGTAACTGAGAGTCAATACAAAGTTTGGAAACTAATGAATCCCTCTAACTAACTCAAGTAAAACACAGGAATTATGTTTGTGTGTGTGTGTGTCAATACATTTAGACAATAACAATATAAACCAACATGGTGACTCCGGGAGATGGAGAGCAAAGAAACAATTTTTTGAGGGGGTGAAAATGTTTTACCGACAGTTTCCTCTCAACTAAATAAAAACACAACTTGTCTGTATAACTTTAATACCAAATAAAGCACTTGAACTTTGACCTGTCTTTGGCAGTGGATGTGACCCTCGACCCGAACTCAAGCCACAAGCGCCTGGTTCTGTCCGAAGACCAAAAAGAAGTGTTTGACGGAGAAAGTGAGGCTGAAGTCATCGACGATTTGGAGAGATTTGATGTTTTTGGCAGCATCCTGGGGCGTGAGGGGCAGGACAGCGGCTCGAGGGCCTACTGGGAGGTGCAGGTGGAGGGCAAGAGCGGCTGGGACCTGGGCGTAACATCAGCTAAAGCTAAGCGCAAAGGGAAACTAACACTGAGTCCAGAAAACGGCTACTGGGCTATAGTTCACTATGAGGGAGATAAGTATGCAGCCCTGACAGCGCCCCCTGTCTGTGTGCAGCTGAAGGACAAGCCGCAGAAGGTGGGGGTGTTTTTAGACTACGACGAAGGCCTGCTGTCTTTTTACAACGTGACAGATGAAGCCCATATCTACTCTTTTAGCAAAGCTGATTTTAAAGGGGAGGTATTACCTTACTTTAGTCCACATGTTAAAAATGAGACGAACACAGGGGCCTTGGTTATTTCTACTGTTAAATCCAGTTAAAGATATATCATGGATTTTTCTGTTCTCGTTTGGGTTAATAAATATTTTGAACACGGTTTAAATTGCACGTTTTGATAAAATAATAAATTTCACATAAAGACAAGCAAGATATAAATATAAAATCTGAACTGTAATGATAAGTTTTTGTGAAATGAGTCTAACCTGTCATATGTGATTTACTTTCAGTTCACATCTGGTTTAGACTCACCTCCTTTAAACAGATTTAGCTCCAAGTTCTTCCTAATATAGTTTGTGGAAATAGGAAAGGAAAGGAAATACTTCAAAGTGCACAGTGTACCTTTAATCAAATCAGATCAATAAATAAAGTTTGGCAATTTTTTAAGTTTAACATTTCCTGGTTGGAATTTCATAACCGTTACCTAGCAACCATTTTGTACACTGGGAAATTTTCTAATGTACACAAAATTATTATTTGCCAATTTTTTGTTATTTTATTGATATTTCATTATAATAAAGTTTAAAGGATCAGAAAAATGTGTTATGGTGAGTGTTTGGATAGAATTCTCTTATGTGGTGATGTCAACAGTATGTTTTAGAGCTCTCCACTTCCAGTAGCCCAATTTTCATCTTTTCAACTTTTCTTCACAAATTATTTCTTGATTGGTGTAAAACTGATGATTTATATTTACAACAGCTAAATATTTGTAGATTTAGGTAAAGGTAAAGGTAAATTTATGTTGGCAGAATTAGACAATCATTCAAACCCATCATGTGCACATCCCAGCAGGAAAAAGAAAAACTGATGGTTCAGGTTCACGTTGATGATTGAGCTTAAATCAGAGTTCAGAGCTACTTCCTCTCACAGATATAAGGGCGGAAGATTGTGCAGACGGCATCATCCCAGCAGTTGTCACCTGTAGGATAGAAACATGAGTTTAAGTCCATTCATATCAGACAGAGGTAAGGAGGTAACAATAACCAAAATATTATGATACTGTATCATCAAAAGTCTCACAATAATATCGTGGGGTGTCACAATATATCGAATCACAAGTTTCTTTGCTTAAATGAATGGTTTTATAGTAGCAACAGCTTGTAAACATCAGGAACTACATATCCCATGATTCATTTCAGCGCAAACATGAAAAAAGAGATGTTTTTTACTTGAATTCTTGGGATTATGACAGAAATAATTCACACCAAAATCTTCAAAATCTTGTCAGGGTGTTTTAAAAGCAAAAAATGTCCTATCTACAATTATATCAGCGTCTCCAAAATATCACAATAAATATACCACCATGAGATGGATATCGTGATAATATCGTACCGAGACATTTGGACATCGTTACGTCCCTAGACAGGTGTAACTCTCTATTTACATTTACACAGTTAAATGTACTCAGATTACTTTTAAAGAAATTGTACGTTTTGTAGTCCTTTTTCTAGCAGAATATTTTACTCTTTTTTACTTGAGCACAATGTTTGGCTATTCTGCCTTCTTTTGAGACACAAACGTCTCTCTTTCTAAATACAGAAGTGTCCTCCGCTGAAGTATTATTTTGTACTTTTAATGTTGTCAGTGACATCCACCCACAGCTCTGTGTTCACTGCGTTATCTTTAAACATTTATTCATTTAATGACTCTGCAAAATCCTCATAGAGATAAAATTGGACAGGAAGCAGTGGTGCAAACAGTGAATCCTTTTCCCCCTTAATGACCTTTATAGTTGATGACAGCGCAGTCCTGGTTTCCTCCATAGTTGTTGGGTTCTCCTCTGCACCAGTTTGTGAAGCGCATTCTCTCACTGTTAATCCACAGCCAGACCCCATCCTGAAAAAACAAAAACATTATTATTTACATTTTCTGTATCTGGTTGAATTTGACATAATTAGAACAGAATAGAAAAAGAAGAACTCACTTGTTGTGCATCGGAAAATCCAATCCAAGTGTCCATTCTTGAGGAAAGAATTCTCAGGAAATCGTTTGTTTCTCTGTTTTGAACAACAGCCAGAGTCCCACCCTGACTTTGACAGTAAAGCTGAAGAAAATATAATACTTTTACCGCTGTTACTTTACTGAGATGTAATAATCAAATACTTTAGCTACATTAAAGGATCTGTATCCATTTTTTTCTATACATTTCAGCTAAATGTGTCTTGCCCCAGTACAGATATATTGTTTAAGTATAGCTCTTGATGTCAAAATCTGCTGTGTACTATAGGTTTTATACTGTCAGATAATCAGGAAGTGCGCTGCTAGTATGCTAGTTGCTGTTATCGCTCTGGTCTCTGAAAGTTGTGAAAGCGGTTACAGAAATCACAGTGAATAAATTGGATGCGTAAGGTAAATAAGTAAGTAAACATTAAAGCAAACTACTTCTGCTTTTCAAACTTTTAAGAGAATAAAATCAGGTACAGCACCTTTAATATCTGTGTCACTTTATTACATAAGAATGAGAGTTACCTGAGCAAAGGCCCACTGCTTTGGATCAGACACAAACATGTATTGTCGTCCTCCATAGGGACACCAGGTTCCAGGGACACACAAGGATCTTTTTACTGGGAAATCAGTGTGACATGTATTATATTAAAGGGCCCATAGTGCACTAGTTTTTCATCTATGTTATAATGTTTCCTCATTAAAAACAGACCTGGAGTTGTGTTTTGTTTCATTGACACATGTTTAACACACAAACCCTGCAGATTTAACCTGAGTTCACGGTCAAATAGAAAACCCTCTGTTCCACCTTGTGATGTCGTGTGGTAATACAGGAAGTGCTGCACTGTGTTTTTAAACTCCACACACCTTCACTAGAATCATTTGAATAATTTCAGCCCTGAAATTGCCAATGTCTACTGAACTAAAGGTAAACTGTAGCTGTTAATTGAAAAAAAAAAAAAACATGTGAACAAAACACAACTCCAGGTCTGTTTTTGAGGAGGTATAAACATTATAACATGGCTTAAAGCTCACAAGAGTCAATTTTGTGTAATATGCATGACTCCATGGACATAGAAAGTAAAAAAAAACAAAAAAACTTTAGAACATTCTCCAGATGGATAGATTTTATGCCGTACTATGGAATATTACAGTCAGGCCAAGTAAGACTTAGATTTGTGGAAATACAAACCTGCTCACAGTAAAGACACATCTTTTTAAGTGCAACAACCAAATTGAAAAAAAAAAAAATAAAAAATAAATAAATCCAAAAAAACATGCTTTTATTTTTATCTATTTTTCAAGTATTATTTTTTCTTACCCCTTTTAGCATCATTTCCATCTTCAGCGGATGATAAATAAACCATGTTGTTTCCTGTGGGATAAGCACAGATTGGGAAAAACTTTACTAAAACAGACACCAGTTCTAGTTGTAGTCTAGTCCTGGTCTAGTCCTGATCTAGTCCTGGTCTGGTTATGGTCTAGTCCTGGTCTAGTCCTGATGGCCTAGTCCTGGTCTAGTCCTGATCCAGTCCTGGTCTAGTTATGGCCTAGTCCTGGTCTAGTCCTGGTCTAGTTCTGGTCTGGTTATGGCCTAGTCCTGGTCTAGTCCTGGTCTAGTTCTGGTCTGGTTATGGTCTAGTCCTGGTCTAGTCTTGGTCTAGTTATGATTTAGTCCTGGTCTGGTTATGGTCTAGTCCTAGCTTTTGGGATAAACCAATATAGTCATGAACTCACCTGTCGTCATGGTAACTACAGCGCCAAAGAGCAGACACAAAACCAGCAGCTTCATGGCGTCGGTGCAGAAGATAAAACCCAGGCTCACTGTCGATCATCGAAACATGTAAATGATAAAAACATGTATTATTATTTAGATCGTTCATTATCAGGCGTCTGTGGTGAGAGCGGCACAGGGACACACTCACCTGCTGTGGACTTCTGGCCCCTTCTGGCCCCTTCAGATTGGACGTTTTCGGTAACACCCAGATCAAGTTTCTTTCACAGCAGCACTGATATTCTTGAACCTGCCGAACGTGGACTTTCGAAGGCAGAAAAAAATAAATCTTCACAGTTATACAGTATGTCCTTGTTTCTGGTTCTTGGAACTTTTAATCCAGTTCACAGTTTGTTAGAGAATCAGCTGAGTGTAGAGGCAGCGCTCTGTACAATAGGAGGCGGGTTTGACTTACTTTTCTACTTGGACCACAGGTACAGGAGGCGCTACCTACTACGATTGTCAAAAGTATTGAAAATCAAATACTAATCAATACTAAAACGAATATTTGAGCAGATATCAATATTAAAAAAAGTCAATGACAAATTAATCTTTCCTGAATAGCTTTAGAATAATCTTAGACTTTATTGATCCACAAGGGAAATTATTTGGACACAATAGCTCACACAACACAATATAATATAATAACAAAGAGCAAAAAAATATAAATGGTAATAATAAATTCTAAATAAGTAGCAAAAGATAGGAAGAGACTGGAGTCAAATAAGGCATAGTTACATAAATGAATGAAACTTTTTCCTCTGAGGGCCACAAGAAAGCAAACTATTTCTGCTTTTCAAACTTTTAAGAGAATAAAATCAGGTACAGCACCTTTAATATCTGTATCACTTTATTACATAAGAATAAGAGTTACCTGAGCAAAGGCCCACCGCTTTGGATCAGACACAAACACGTATTGTCGTCCTCCATAGGGACACCAGGTTCCAGGGACACACAAGGATCTTTTTACTGGGAATTCAGTTTTGCATTTATTATATTAAAGAGCCCATAGTGCACTAGTTTCTGATCTATGTTATAATGTTGTTTCCTCATCAAAAACAGACCTGGAGTTGTGTTTTGTTTCGTTGACATATATTTAACACACAAACCCTGCATATGTAATCTATAATCATTTCAGACCTAGAATTGCCCATTTCTGCCCATTGCCCTGACATCACAAGGTGGAAGAGAGCATTTCGATCTTTGGAGATGTAAACAAACTAATAATAAAGTATGAGTCAAACATGTGACGGACAAAGCTATAGACAGTTTTGTACATGACTTTATTTGAAAAAAAGAGCAACATTTATAATAATTAAGGCTAAATTGTTAACCAAGTCCACTTAAAAGATAAAATGCACAATTCATTTCAGATGGCATTCAGGTTTTAGCATTCAAAGTAACACCTTGATTGACATAAATCTGTTGAAATTATGTTTACGCATGAGCAAGGAATGAAATAAATAGATAATGTCTGATAAGTAAACAAATCAAAAGGTTAATGTCAATAAAATAAATCAGAAATATATAAATAAAAACATATGTAAATAAATAAAGCCATACATGTTCAGATACAATATTGAAATGTATTGAGACACACCAAGTGACGACATTCATTTCAAACCAATGCAAAATGTAAACGATAACATTCAAAAATCATTCAGAAATCGGTATTAATGAGTTAAAGTTTATCTGTTGTCTCTCTATGTTATTTATTGTCTCTCTTTCAGATATGATCTTGTTTTTGTATTGTTTAATTGTGACCGTCTTGTATTCTCACACAAATAAACAAATACATTTACAGATGGTAGCTTTAATTTTTTGCCAGATTACACTGAAATAATTTATTCATAATTAATCCTGATTTGCTGAGGAGTTTACTAATAGGACACATTGTTTCACTTGTTGCATGGCAGCTGACTGGTTTCTTTTAAAATTTTAATGTTCCACAATGTGACATTAAAGGTGCATTGTGTAACTTTTCTGGTGGACAGCCCAACAAATGCTTTTCTTCATGGAGATGTGTTTGCTTTGTCTGGAATGTTCCACAGTATGGCATTAACCATTTTTATCTCCAGGGAGACTAAACCAGACCAAGTTACAGGTCAGATCTGTGGAGAGGTGACCCCGCTCACAAGTCACAAGGCCTGTTTTTCAAAGTAATTTGAGCTATAAAAGCAAATGCAATTCAATGAATAGTAAATGTAAGGTAAAGCTATTTAATGTCAAACTGTGGAACATTCCAGGCAGAGCAATGACATATCCTTAGAAACAAGAAGATGACAAACCCCCAACCAAAAAGTTACATAGTGCACCTTTAAACTTATCTATCTCCATGGAGACAAGCAGTTAATGGCACACAACCAGGTCAAGTTACAGGTCAGATAGTGAGAATGTATGTCGTTCAATGTACAGCAGCTCAGTTCATTGCAAGATACGTATACGTTTAATGCCCTCCTGTGGAATATTTCAGGCAAACCAATAACATCTCCAAGGAGACAAAAAAGATGTGGATGGTCCACCAGGAAAGTTACATGGTGCATGTTTAACCTACTGAAATAAAATACAAAATTAACAATGTAATTTTGGCTGTAATAGATATTCCCATTTATATTTTTAAACATGACTTCAGTAAATAATAAATACATAAATATTGGACAATAAATTAAAGGCATATATTTTCGAAACAATCGTAGTTCAAGCATGAAAAGACTAATAACGAGCACATGCGGAATCAAAACAACATTCGCTTTTCAGACAATCTCTATATTTACAAAAGAGGCCATAGTTTTACATAGTACTGTACAGTTACAGAAGAGCTAGTGTTCCCATTCAGACTAAAGAACAAGACTCCAGTGGGACGCACACTGTTCACACCTGAAACCAGGACTAAACTAGAACTAAACCAGGGCTAAACCAGGACAAAACCAGGACAAAACCAGGACTAAATCAGGACTAAATGAGGACTAAACCAGGACTAAACTAGGACTAAACCAGGATTAAACCAGGCCTAGACCAGGGCTCAACCAACCAAGGGCTGAACTGGGACTAAAACAGAACTAAAGCAGGTCTGAACAAGTTCTAAACTGAACAATGGCTAATCGAGGACTAAACCAGGACTGATCCAGATGGAACCAGGACAAATCTTAAATTGAACCAAGGCTAAACCGGGACTAAGCTGTGACAAATTCAAGAGGTCTAAAGAAGGCTAAACCAGAAGTGAACCAGGACTAAAGAGTAACTAGATCAGATCTAAACTAGAACAGGCCTACACTACAACTCAAACTGATAGACCCAAACCAGGGCTAAACCAGGACTCAATACCAGGACTAAGGGAGGACTGAACCAGGACTGAAGAGGGATGAGACCAGGCCGAAGCCAATGCTGAACTGGGACAAACCAGGACTAAACATGTACTAAAAAAAAGTCTAAACCAGTACTGAAGGAGGCCTAAAGTATTACTAAACCAGGAATGACACAGGTCTAAAACTCACAAATAAATGTAGACTAAGCCAGGACTGAATCAAGCAGCTGATGTGTGAACAGTTTGTGAACCACTTCTGGCCTTGATGTTTAATTAGCTTCTAAATATTTCACTTTTCTAAATCAATACTAAATGTGAACAAATGTAACAAGCACTTTTCGGATTACACACATTCTAAAGGCATTTCAATATTTACTCATTCAAACTTTTCACCAAATTCTTCCAAATCACCCATTTCTGCATCCATTTGAAAGATTATATTGTATTCTAAGTTGGCTTTTTGTTATCATTATGTTATAATGTTTATTCTTCATTAGAAAAATACCTGGAGAAGTGTTTTGTTTCATTCACACAAGTTAAAGCAATCCTGGATATTAAGATCATTTCAGTGTTCCCAATTGTCTTTACTCAAGCTGGCAGCTATTGTTCGCCTATTTTAACTAACTATTAACTATTTTCCTCTCAGTGCATCAATATAGAACAAGTCCTTGTGCCCACTGCTGGTGTTTTGAAGAGAAAAAATCAACACGGAATGCCAACGCTTACAATTTTAGCCTATCATCATTATAATTTAAACATATTATGATTTATGTCTGGTATTAAGATAAATATGTCTATAAATAATCACGTAGATTATCATTATAGTATTTCACATTTTTTTCAGTGTAAACTGCAACTTTAAAGGTGCACTATGTAACTTTTTGGTCAGGGTCTGTCACCTGCTTGTTTCTATGGAGATGCCATTGCTCTGCCTGGAAGGTTCCACAGTATGACAGTTCTCAGAGGTGGGACCAAGTCGTCATTTTGCAAGTCTCGAGTAAGTCTCAAGTCTTTGACCTCAAGTCCGAGTCAAGTCCCAAGGTCAAATACAGACAAGTCCAAATCAAGTGTCGAGTCACTGGCCCATAAGTCCAAGTCAAGTCTAAGTCGTCTGCTTTGAGCTTCAAGTCATTTCAAGTCAGTTTATATGAATTTTAAGATAAATTGTACTTGTATTGACTAAAGTCATACTATATTTATATATGACTATTTATAGAGTATTTAAGAGTTGTAGAAATGCAAATTTTTCCTTTTTAAATGTCTTGACAAGATCTTAGAGTGAATCATTAAAGTCAGAGCAGAATGAATTCAGATTGAAAAGTTCTTCTCAAGTCTTCTCAAGTCACAGGCCTCAAGTCTGAATCAAGTCCCAAGTCACTGATCTTCAAGTGTAAGTCAAGTCCCAAGTCTTAGTCCATTTTATCAAATCAGGTCTCAAGTCCTAAAAATAGTGCCTCAAGTCTGACTCGAGTCCAAGTCACAACTTGCAAGTCCCCAACTCTGACAGTTCTACTTTACACTTCAATTACAGGTGGTTTTATGGCTCAAAAATACCAAGAAAAACAGGCTTTCTGACTTTGAGCGTGGTTGCCTCTCCACAGATCTGACCTGGCTTAGTTTCCAGAGTCCACATTCCACAGAGAAAAAGAGAAAAGCATCTGACAGGCCCTCCACCAGAAATGTTGCACAATGCACCTTTAATCTAACATTATTGGTCTACTGACATCTTATTCAAAACTGTTTGAAAAATGTCTACGCAACATTTTTTTTAACATTTGTGTACACAAGCCTCCCTTATTCATATAATTAAGAGTAAGTACAGGGCTGTGGGCGGGACAAGGTGGTAGGTGAAAACAGAAATTTTCACAGTTTCAAATGCAGGACTATACAGGATTACTCAAACATGCATGGATTACTCAAAATACAACTCTGGGTAAAATAAAGCTGAGGGAGAACCATTATCACATAGGAGTTCATTCAAGTGGATTTTGCTTAATATGTCTCATTTACAAGTCCATATAATGCATATTCTAGTACCTTTATCTCTTGGCTTCCTTCTTCCAAAAGTGGTGATTGACAAACTCGCCCCTGCATATAGTTCAGTATTCGTGCTGACATCGCTTAATAATGGAAAGCTGTAGTGTTTTTGGCCAGGCGTGAGCGAAGAACAGTTCCAACATGGCGTCCACAGTTCCAACATGGCGTCTACAGTCTCAAACGCAATCTCTGCTCCTTCTTCGCTTTTGCCATTTCACATTTTCATACAAAGCTCGATAGTGAACGGCAACATCTAGTACTCAAAGTCAAATTCAGTTGTCCCATGAACTTTTGGAGAAAATTGTAAAGCAAGTTTTTTGTTGTTTTTGTTTTTTCTAGTGAAGATGTTATTGCTTTGTCCAGAATGTTACACAGTATGGCATTAAACAAGCGTGTGACGCCAGGAGGCAAAGTCAGCCACCAGGTCAGATCTGTGGAGAAGTTCACCAGACATACATTCACTCTAAAAATGCATGGTCATGGTATTTTACAATAAAAAAAACATCTGTCATTGAATGGATACAAGTATAATGCCATACTGTGGAGCATTCCAGGCAAAGCAACAACATCTCCATCTCTGAGACAATCAGGTGGCAGACTCTCCACCAGAAAAGTTACACAGTGCACCTTTAAAAGTCAATGGGAAAACTGAATGATGCTTGCTCTGGTGCTGTCACTGTAGATATCTGTAGACTTTGAAGCAGTGGTTGCCAGAGTCTGCGACCACCACGTGTCCGTCTGAAGTGAGGGCCAGACCCTGGGGTCCGTACAGAGGATCTGCAGACGTGTTTATGTAGGACAGGAATGAGCCAGAGCCGTCAAACACCTGAAACACAACCAGAACAGAAGTCGTAGCAGTAGCAGTAATATAAGTAGCAACAGCTTAAAGGTTGTATGGAGGATTTTTTTTTGTTTCAAACTGTCAGTGAAAGATTAAAATACCCTAACAGAGACGCAGCAGCTTTGTAATTATGATGACCAAAAAAAAAGAACGAAAATCTATCAACTGTGGACGTGTTGAGGCCAGATAAACATCAGCCAATAGAAAACGAGGCTCCCTCATTTTCTATTGGCTGTTAGGTTGTCAGTCAAACTCCCTAGTATAACTGACTCGTCGGAGCGCGGGGATTACGTGGTTTACGCAGCGGTTCTTAGAGGCTTTTTCGAACTGTCGCTTCCTCGCATTTCGCACAAAGTTTGTCGCGACGGCGGATGAGAATCCACGACCGGTTCGCCGCAAAAGAAAGTCCGTTTTTGAGGTCGCTGAAAGAATAAGAGAAGAGGAAAAGGAGCAAAGCCAAACTGAGGTGATTCTTGGAGATCTCGTCCAGCGATGGCGCGACCGAAGCAGACGAAGGGTCTAAAAACTGACGTGTCGGTCGCTGAATTACTTCTAGACAGGAAACTTCAACAGTAATTCTGAATGCGCACAAGGACTGTCGCTGTATTTCTCTTCCCTTAAAAAAATCCTCTATACAACCTTTAAGTCGGGGTAGTAATAGAAATAGAAGTTAACTTATATTCAAGGTGCAACCAGTGCATGCTATTGTGTCCTTAGGCAAGAGACTTCACCAACTTTGCCTGTGTGGTGTGGGTGAGGAGGTCGGATTCATACTCTACACGGGGGAATTCTTGTTGTATTTTGAGTTGGTCATTTGTGATTTACTTGTGTGTACAGGATGACAGAATCTGGCATTGGTCATTAGTGGCTGGTGAAGCAAGGCTGGTGAGCACTAGTAGTAGCAGGAGTATTAACAGTAGCAGTAGTATTTGTAGGATTAAGGTTAAAGTAACTCACTTGTATCCTGCTGTTGCCCCAGTCAGCTACGATTATGTTCCCGTTCTGATCCACAGAGACTCCGGTCGGAGCGTTAAACTGACCGTTTCCTTCTCCATTTGAGCCAAACTTCAACACCAGCTCCCCCTCCAGAGTGAAGACCTGTGAAGAACCAGGACTGAACCAGGACTGAACCAGGACTGAACCTGGACTGAACCAGGACTAAAACAGCACTGAAACAGGACTAAAACAGGAATGAACCAGGACTAAAATAGAACTGAACCAGGACTGAACCAGGACTAAAACAACTGAAACAGGACTAAAACAGGAATAGACCAGGACCAAACTAGGGCTGAGTCAAAACTAAACCAAAACTGAACCAGGACTAACATGGAAAATAGTGACTCTAAAGGTCATTTTTTTGTATTGACGTTTCAATATGATGACCTAAAATTACAGATTTTTTTCCTACCCACCTATAGTGTCTTGCCTTAAGACAGAACTCGGACTGATCCAAGACTAAACCAGGCCTGAACCAAAACTGAACTGAAGTCTGAAGTCTTACCTTGACAGAGTGGTTGTGGAAGTCCGTCACAATTATCTCATTGTTCTTGTTCACAGCAGCAAAATGAGGACCTGTGGAGTAAATATTAGACATCAGTACTCATAAATACAGAAATATGCTGTGCCATAAACTATATGGATTTTAATGTGGGTCACAGTAGTAAATGCTCAAAGGACTCTTTTCTGGTGGGGAGTTCACCAGCTGTTATTGCTTTGCCTACTCTTTAGTGACCTCACCAGCAAACTGCTTGTCTCCGGTGCCTCGTGAACCGAACTTGGAAACAAGTTTTCCGCTGATCTGAAAAATGAAGACGGTGCAGGACTTATTATCCACCACGATGACATGACCATTCTGATCCACAGCCACACCCTTGGGTCCCATCAGACGCCCAGAGCCCAGCTTCGCCTGAAATACACAAAATAAATAACATTTGTACTGGGACTGAAACCCTATGGAAATCCCCAAGGCATATTATACAATATTGTGTCCCATGAACACATTTTTTTTGTTATTGTTAAAGGTCCTCAAACTGTCAACCTTCTGGTAATAGGACAGCCCTTGACCAATGTAGCCTGATACTTGAGCTACTGTTACTGTTGATTCTTATAGTGAAGCACGTACCTTGTACTTGCCGTCGGAGGAGAAGATGCCGACCCACTTGTTGTCGTAGTCTGCGACGATGATGTCTCCGCTCGGGTGAACTGCAACTCCGGTCGGCCTCTGCATTTGACCCGGAGACCGCCCCCGGACCCCAAACCGGCTCAGGAACTCCCCCGAGGTGGAGAAGATCTGACGCAAAGGCAGAGTTAAACCAGTAATAAAGCAGGACTAAACCAGAACTCAACTGGGACTCAACAAGGAAGAATGGAGACTGAACTAAGATTGAGCCAGTGCTAAATTTAGTAAATTAGGGCTAAATCCAGGATTGAAAAGGAGTAAACCAAGATTGAACCAAGACTAATCCAGGACTAAATCAGGACTAAATCAAGATTACACCAGGTCTAAACTCTGAATTGAATCTAGGTAGACATCTGATGTAAAACCTGGACAAACAAGTCTACTACTACTATTACTACTACATTACTATCCTGAATATCTGTTATAAAGGGGGTGGTACCTGGACACACTGGTTGTTGCTGTCGGCAATCAGGATCCTCTCACTGGATGAAGCCACTCCCTGGAGGTTTGTGAACTCTCCTTTATTCCTGCCCTTTGTTCCTGAATTAAATAAATACATAAATACATATTAAAATCTCATCACGTAACTGGCACATGCACATTTCTGACTCTGGAGCAGGTATCGATTCTAAAAAAATAAATAAATAAAATTTAAAAAAAGTTATTCACAGGACAAGACTGAACCTTTCCTGAATATCTTTAGGATGATCTTGAGCTATCAGAACAAATATAAGAGCACATAGACTAGTATACGCCCATGGACCACTATGGAACATACTTGGGCAACTTTTTACACATACTGTAAGTAAGATGGCATGGTAAAATAAAAGAAAGTACTATTATTTCATTCTTCTGTCTAAATAAAAAGTGTTTTTATAATCATTGTGGTGTTGGAATCGGTATTGAGTATCAAGTCTATTCCTAATCAAGTTTGGAATGAAACAGTATTTGGGAGCCCCTGACCACACAGGATCCACAAATATAAGAAACAAGAAAACTGTGTCTGTCAAACAAACAAAAGTTCAGTACCAATTCTGAAGATAAGATCGTCTTCTATGGGGTTCTGGTGTTTGCGTCGTGGTGTTCCCAAAGCACTACTCGCTCTTTTAGATCCCTTCTTCTTCTGCCCAGGGGACTTCCCACGCCTCTTTGTCCCATCGGAGGAGCCCGTTGATGGGGTAGCATTAGCAGCAGAGTTGGTAGCTGTGGTAGTGGATGGAGACACCTGGAAAATAATAAGAATACAGGTGAAGCATCTTTACATGTACAGCTGAAGAGTCTCAGTCCATTATGCACCATAATGTAGTTACTATATATATACTTTTTAATTTTTATTCATGTCTCATTAAATATTGCATAGCCCGTTTTGCAAGGTGGTTACTTGAATATGTTATATTTATTCTATTCTATATTTTATTTTACAGATCCGTATGGACACATTTCTTGCTGGTTGAGCCTGGACAGCCTTTCTACCTGTGACTGAAGTGGGAAGGACAAAGGTTTTTTATGTCATCATTGACCTGGCTGAATTTGGTGAACACTTCACGGCACTTGGTCCTCAGACTCTCACAAACTTTACACCTGTATTCAAAGAACTGTCTACAACATGGATGTTCGATGTGTCAAAAGAAACCCCAAGAGTGAAAGACTGACTCTGCAATGTTAATGTTTCATAATTAGCAGGACTGCCTCTATTGTGAACATTGTTATATTTATATAATGGAGAGAAGATCTTGTTTCAAACAGTCAGACATGCTCCTCTCATTTTTGGAGATGAGCCTGAATTCCATTCAAAACAAGATCTTGATTCATCCATCAACTGCTTGCATTGAAAAATCAACTTTAAAAAAATAAATGACAATCATTGTGACCAACTGTTGAGGGCACAGAGAATTACTGCTGTCAGTTGGATTTTGCAAAAATAGTGTTGTGTCATATGACTTATTTAAATTGTTTTGATTGTATGATGTGCATTGTTTTAATTCATTTTAAGTTGAAACTGAATTTTGTGGTGGTTTTCATTATTTTACATTTGTAAAAGGGATTATGAACTAGAATGACCACACCATTTACATTGTATTTAGTGAAGAAAGAGTCACTATTGAATAGTGTAACATGGCGAACACTCTACACTATTTCTACTTCATAAAGTGTTAAATAGTACAGTAACATAGCAATATAGAGTTATTAGTTTTTCACTATGTGTAAAAAAATCAAATATTAATCAGTGTTATATTCAACTATGAGGAGTGTGGTTACATCACTTTACCAGTGTTGAGCCTTCTACACTTTGGAAACTGTAGTTTTATCTCATTTTATTGTGGACCCCATATACGAGTTGAATTAACACTCTCAAATTTGCTGTGTAAAGTCAATTGGAGCCAGAGTCGATGGAGCCAGAAGTTCTCCATGAACACTTCCTAATTTCATTATATATAAAGTCTATTGATCACACACAGATGTACAGGTATGGCGTCTCACCTCCACGTCTGAGGGCTTGTTCACAGTCAGTTTGAATGGGCTGCCTTTGATGTGATGGTCATAGAGGCGCAGAGCTAAAGAAAAGTCTCCTTCTTTGGGGACGGTGTAGACAAACTCGTATGTTCCATTTTTATGATCCACAATTTCTCCGTCAACAATGCTGCCGTCCGGAGTAAACACCTGAAAGAATTCAACCAGGTAGTCCACATTTCTGTATATTAAAGCAGAGTTGTTTTAGTTTTTTGGGTGTATCTATTTGTTTGTTTGTTTGTTTGTTTATTTATTTGAGACAGGGACAGCACACTATTTTTACATTAACTATAACAGGAGAGATGCATTGTACCAGGTTGTAGCACCAGTGCTAATTTCCACCTGTAGTCCCTGGGCAGGTTTCATTGATTCATTGTATTTAACTGACCTTGGCTATCAGCTGTTCTCCATGGAGACCTATGTAGCACTCAGCCACCGGCACGGCTAGAACTTTTACATTTTGTTAATTTTAAATTGCAATATTTTTTTATTGGAAAATTGCTGTGACTGTTTTGAACCCAATCTAAATTAATTAATAATCACAAGTTAATACAGTGGGGCAATGGGTGGAGATAGGGGGAAGGTAATACAGTGATTTTCTGATTTGTCTCAAATGCAGGACAATACAGGATTACTCAAACGTTCTCCTGTGTTTCATATGTGAGAACCCTCAGTCACTTGGTTTAGTAAAATAACCCAATAATATGAACAGTATTCCTTGACTCACCTCTGCTGACAGAATAGCGTTGCCGTTCTTACATGCTCCTCCGGATTTGTCACGTGTCACTATGGTAACAGACGCTGGATGTCCCACGATGCACTGCTCCAGACCGGCTCCCATGGCCTCACTCTGACTCGCCACAGCGCTGCAAACACAACACAACCTTTAACTAACAAGAGACTGAAATAAGACTGAGAAGATGGAGTTTTATGAGATTGAAGAAGTCAAATCTCAAAACAAAATGGCTTGCAGAAACCTGGACAGCAAGATGGATTCTCGAGATATTTGTCTACGCTGTATATTAAATATCACAGGATCACACAAGTTTTGTATATTTGTGATTTTTGTGGTGGAGAGTGTTACACATAGTATCACATATCAATTGGTCAGGTTAGAATTGCAGCACAATTCAAATTAAAATGAATTCAATTTATTTTAAAGGTGCAATATGTAACTCTTCTTTTCCTGTTTGTCTCTACAGAAATATGTTTGGTTTTGACTGGAGCGTGTACCTGGTGGTGACGATGTTGCCCAGGTTATGGATGGACTTGCGCAGTGCGTCCGTCTCTAGGATGAGGTCGAGCTGGTCGTTTTCCTCTGGGTCTGAACGCACCGTGAGCCCCAGGACCTGCTCCAGCTTCTGCCCCAGCTCCTGCTCCTCACCGAAGGATGCCACGGTCGCCTCCCCTGTCAGAGCCTCCTCCAGCTGGGCACCAAGAGTCGACATGCTCCCCTCACAGGCAGCCAGGCTGTCCATCTGTGCCTGCAACACCTAGATTACACACACATCTGGTTTAGACCTGGTTTACTGTAGTTTTGATTTAGATTTGATTTAGGTCTTGGTCAGTCTTGGTTAGGATGCTTGTAAGTCATGGTTTAGCTCTGGTTTAGGTTTAGCTCTGGTTTAGTCTTTAGGTGGTTTAGCTCTGGTTTAGTCTTGGTTTAGTTCTGGTATAGACCTTGTGTTTGAGTTCGTGGGTGACCTCCAGTTCCATTAGCAGAACACTCTTCCTGACGTCGAGCTGTTTATGCAAATCTTCAAATCCTGATTGGATGTCCTCCTCGATTGCCAGTCTCTGATTGGTCAGCTGCTGCAGGATCTCTCGGACCTGGGACAGTGCTTCGGACACCTGCGGTTGCCTTAACATCAGAGGAAATAGCAAAGAATAAGTTGAATTCATGACTTAATTTTAAATTGAGGAAAGAGTCTGTGTGACTCTAAGGGAAATTTACAGCTTTTGGAAAAAATATATAAGCTTATGATCCTCAAATGTTAAATTGTTTAATTTGAATGAATCAGTTTCATCTTCCTATTGTAGCTGCCATTTTGAGGACTTCGGACCACTCAAAAGATGATTGGGTTTGTTTATAAGTCAATTGCTATGGCAACGGTCCCAATAAATAATCTTTTTAAAACATGTCATGAACAAAAGGTCATGAACAGACCATTTCCATACTTCTGTTCTGATGGTCAGAGTCTCAGGCAGAGGAACCGAGAGTACCTGGTCTGCAGAGCTGTGAGCTGCTCCTGCAGCTGAACTCTGGTCTGTTGCAGACCCTGGTCCAGGTCCACACAGGGGTGCTCCTCATGGCCCACACAGTCCTCACACAGGGGGCACAGACACGACTGGCAAAACCGCTCCGATATCTGCAAAGCATGGATAGAGAGTGGAAAACTAAGTTAAAACTCAAGTAAAAAGTTGTGCACCAAATTATGCCAAAAATAAAAGTGTAAAAGGGTTTTAAGTCTAAGTCCAGACTAGATCAGTTGATCAGTTGCTTTTCATAGATGATACCAATGCCATATTTTAGATTTCAGAACAGCCAATGTTGCATCCAAAAATATGTCATTCACAAATTTAACTTTGGTACCAAGTCCTGATCAAAATCCAAGTCTGCATCTAGTATTTCAGAGAGCTGTGTGGATTCAGGTTCCTGTTATATGCAACATTTTGTTTTCAGTTGTCAATCTCTATGACAACAGTTACAATTTCTCATCATTCTGAAAACCTTGGATTTGTGGCTGTGACCCTTGTTTGGGTGCTGTTTTGCTCCCACATTATTTGGGTGTAGGGGGCAGCTGTTCTTGAGAGCAGTTTGGGTGCTGTCTGTGTCCTCTTTGGGTGCTGTTTGGTTTCAGTATGCAGTTCTTCTTAAGTGCTGCCTGGGTGGTGTATGGGTGCAGTTTGGGTGCTGTATGGGTCCTATGGGTTGTGACCTTGTTTGGGTGCAGGGGACAGCTGTTCTTGGGTGCTGCCTCCAGGACGGTGCACTCTTCACTGCTGGAGTCTGGAGAGTGTTGGTGGGCCTCCATGGAGCTCAAGGGCCCTAAGCCAGAGTCTTCAAGGCTTTTAGTTTCACCAGAGTTACAGAATTCTCTTCATCCATGTCCACGCTACAATCCAATTTATAAATAATTTACAAGTACTAAAACTAAAATGAACAACTGGCGAACGCTATTTGATAAAATAATATTGTCTGTACAGTGCATTTTTGAAAGAGTGATAATCAAGACAGCAATTACAATACACTTATTTCTGTTTGAATGAAGTACTAAACCATGAATTACAGTTTATCAATCAAAAAAGTATTAGAAAAACTTGTTGTATAATTATTCAGTCTATTATAGTTAACTAAAATGCATGCTGTGAGTACTGCACATTCAGCTTGTTTGATTTTAGCAGTGATGTTTCAAGAAAAAAAAATGTTTTGATCATAGACTGAAGTTGAAATTGAAATTTGGTGGGAGTGGGGACAGTTCAGGGACATTGGATTCTTTGGCACCTGCAAGACAAAATACAGGGAAAAATTTAAGTTGACAATACAATAGAGATATGGACTTCAATATATGTTAGACTGAATTATATTTTTAGGTTCAGTATTTACAGTGTGTACATTTTCTTTGCACTACTAGGAAATACTTTTTGGCTATGATCAAATCTGAGCCATTTATAGTTGAATTAATGACTTTTATGACTCATTACAGATTTGCAAAGTGTTTCATTCTGTGTTATCAGGTTCTTTTTTCAGACCTAGAGTTTATTTCATACCTGACAGTTTCGACTGCTCACTAGCGCTCTTCCTCAGAGTGGTCACGTGATGTTACTGCAACGTGTCCGGTCAGCTGATTTAAACAGGTTTTGGCGCTGTCTTGCTACCAGAGGAGGCAGGACTACAGCGCCACCTGCAGTCCTCAGGACAGTATCCCAGGTGTGTGAGAGTTTAAAAAAAAAAAACTCGTCCCGGTTTATTGTCCCGTGGGCACGTTTCTGTATTTCAATTGCCTCTTTAATCCAGCAGCGATGTTTGTTTTCCTCTGTCCCAATGATGTTTGCTCCATCCCAGTCCATAATGTAGTGTCTTTTACAATGGTCAGAAATGGCCAAATTGAGTTGTTCCTGTTCTGCTTTGTGTTTTGTTGCTCGTGTTTCATCTTCGCTGTTTCCTTCTCGCGTTCTGTTCTATGTTCCTTTTTTCGTGGACTGAACGCCCTCCCTGTTTCCCCGATGTATGTTTTATTGCAGGACATGCAGGGTATTTCGTATATGACATTACATTTATGCTCTGGTTCTATTTTGTCTTTCGGGCCCACAGGATGATAAACCTGTGGGGGCTTTTTTACTCTCACACACCTGGGATACTGTCCTGAGGAATTCGGACTGCAGATGGCGCTGTAGTCCTGCCTCCACCGGTAGGAAGACAGCGCCAAAACCTGTTTAAATCAGCTGACCAGACACGTCACAGCAACATCACGTGACCACTCTGAGGAAGAGCGCTAGTGAGCAGTCGAAACTGTCAGGTATGAAACAAAACTCTAGATCTGAAAAAAGAACCTAATAACATAAAATATCGGAAGACCAAATGAACCTCATTAGACTGTTTCATTACGTTATTATTTATTGCAACTCGTGATTTTTTAACAATATTGTAGATTTAGAATAGTTTTTGAGGTTTAAATCTTTATTATCCTTTACGGTACTATTTTTTTAAAGCAATATATCGTACTTCAAATGTTGTTATCAAGACAGACTTAGGTTAAGGTATACATTATTAATCCCTCCTTAAAGGCATTTGACCCATCCTTCAATGCTGCTGGGACAACCTGTCAGGAGCAGTGTGTGTTTTGTGCAGGGATAGGAACAAAATATGGTAGAAAAAAAGGTTTAAGCAGCTAAATCAGGAAACTCTAATCAGAAATGAGTCAGTACTGAATGTGCTAAACACTAAACACAAACTCCATCTGCCAACTTTCAAACCAGAAATAAAGTTGTTCTAAACCAGAACTTGAACCGTATTATGCTATTTTCTGATCTATGTTGTAATGTTGTTTCCTTAACGCAGCAACAAATCCTGCATATTTAAAACACTCTGTTCCACCTTGTGATGTCACATGGTAATACAGGAAATGCTCCACTGTGTTATTAACTCCATACATCTTCGGAACAACGATGGTGATAAGATCCTTCTATAACGATCTGCCCTGGGACAGACCAACAAAAGTTATTCTTCTAAATCTGCACCATCAGCTCCTCTGACCTCCAAAAATCCACCCCCCTTCATGAAGTGTCTTGCCCAAGTACACAGCAACAGCAAACGTGAAGGAAAATGCTAACCCGCTGCAAAATACCGAACACTAGAAAGACAAGTGCAAAACCGGTTTACGAGTAATGCTCAAACCCAGGACTAAACCAGGACTAACCCAGGGCTAAACCAGACTAACCCAGGACTAACCCAGGACTAAACCAGGACTAAACCAGGACTAACCCAGGGCTAAACCAGGACTAACCCAGGACTAAAACCAGGACTAAACCCAGGACTAAACCAGGACTAACCCACTAAACCAGGACTAACCCAGGACTAAACCAGGACTAACCCAGGACTAACCCAGGACTAAACCAGGACTAAACCAGGACTAACCCAGAACTAACCCAGGACTAACCCAGGACTAAACCAGGACTAACCCAGGACTAAACCAGGACTGAAACAGGACTAACCCAGAACTAACCCAGGACTAAACCAGGACTAACCCAGGACTAAACCAGGACTAACCCAGGACTAACCCAGGACTAAACCAAGACTAAACCAGGACTGAAACAGGACTGACCCAGAACTAAACCAGGACTAAACCAGGACTAACCCAGGACTAAACCATGGTACAGAATTTAATCATGACTAAACTGGGATTATAAACCAGGACTAAAAGTGGACTTTATTGGCACTAAACCAGGTCTAAACCAAGACTACACCAGGTTCAAACCAGGACTCTTTTAATATTAATATTGGATAGAAACCCCTCCCCCTCAGCCGCGTCTGTTGCCATAGAAACCTTTGAAGTTTGGTTTGGCCTACTTCCATTCATTCCACCAGATCTTTTGGCTTTTTCACATTGGATTTGTGGTGAGAATGGAAGAGACTCCGAGGGATTATAACTGAGCTAGAATTGAGGCCTGTTTTATTTTTGGATAGTCACGAAATTGTATCAAATAAAAAAAAAAAAAAACGTCAGTTGGAATGATATTGTTGGGAAATCCCAGCCAAATTAAAATGATCAAACAAAACCCAAAACAGATTATAATTTTCTTAATTTTAAGAAAATTTTGGGTTCTTTCCTGGTTTAGTTATTCGGTATAAGCACAAGATCTTGGCCCATCCCCCTGGCATTGAGAATCGGATTTATCCAAGGTTAGACCAGACATGAATGTAATAAGAATCATGACTAAAATAATATTGTTTTGAGACATCTCTGTTCAAAAGTGAGCCCTGTTTTAGTCTTTGTTCAGTGTAGATCAGCCAGTCCAGGTATTTTGCTCCTGACTTGGTCCTAGTTGAGATATGTTCATTGTTGGATCCTGGTTGAGTCCTGGTTTAGTCCTTATTTAGGTCTGGTACAGTCCTGACCTGGTTTGTTCCTGGTCTTTTTAATATAGCTCTCATTCAGTCCTGGTTTAGTTCTGGTTCAGCTTCAGCCCTTGTTTGTTCTTTATTCAACCCTGGTTTAGTCCTGGTTTAGTTCTCCTTCAGTTTTGGTTTAGTCTTGGTTTAGTCCTGTTTGACCCTGGTATAGCCCTGGTTTAGTCCTGCTTTAATCTTGTTTTAGTCCTGCTTCAGTCTCATTTCCACCTTGGTTTAGTTCTGGTTTAGTCTTGACATACAGTAGTATTGGTTTAGCCCTGCTGCAGTCCTACTTTGTCCTGGTGTAGTCCTGCTTCAGTCCAGGTTCAGTTCTTCTTTAGTCCTTCTTTAATCCTTCTCCAGCCATCGTTTATTCTTGATTTGGTCCTGTTTAATTCTCATTTAGTTACAGTTCAGGTGAGTTTTGGTTCAGCCCCTTGTTTTGTCCTGGTTCAGTCCTGTTTTGGTCCTGTTTTGGTCCTGGTGTAGTCCTTTTTCAGTGCAGTTTCAGTCCTGCTTTAGTCCTTCTTTAGTCCTGGTTCAGTGCTGTTTTAGGCCTATTTCATCTCTGTCTTAGTCCTGATTTAGTCCTGATTTAATCCTGATTTAGTCCTAGTTTAGTCCTGGTTTAGTCCTGCTTCAGTCCTGGTTTAGACCTTCTTCAGTCCTGGTTTAGTCTTGATTTAGTCATGCTTCAGTCCCAGTTTAGTCCTGCTTCAGTCCTGGTTTAGTCCTGGTTCAGTCCTGGTTTAGTCCTGCTTTAGTCCTGGTTTAGTCCTGGTTCAGTCCTGGTTTAGTCCTGCTTTAGTCCTGGTTTAGTCCTGGTTCAGTCCTGGTTTAGTCCTGCTTTAGTCCTGGTTTAGTCCTGGTTCAGTCCTGGTTTAGTCCTGCTTTAGTCCTGGTTAGTCCTGGTTTAATCCTGCTTCAGTCCTGGTTCAGTCCTGGTTTAGTCTTGCTTCAGTCCTGGTTCAGTCATGGTCTAGTCCTGCTTCAGTCCTGCTTTAGTCCTGGTTCAGTCATGGTTAGTCCTGTTTTAATCCTGCTTCAGTCCTGGTTTAGTCCTGCTTCAGTCTTGCTTTCAGTCCTGGTTCAGTCATGGTCTAGTCCTGCTTCAGTCTTGCTTCAGTCCAGCTTCAGTCCTGGTTTAGTCCTGGTTCAGTCCTGGTTCAGTCCTGGTTCAGTCCTGCTTCAGTCCAGCTTCAGTCCTGGTTTAGTCCTGGTTCAGTCCTGGTTCAGTCCCGCTTCAGTCCAGCTTCAGTCCTGGTTTAGTCCTGGTTCAGTCCTGGTCTAGTCCTGCTTCAGTCCAGCTTCAGTCCTGGTTTAGTCCTGGTTCAGTCCTGCTTCAGTCCAGCTTCAGTCCTGGTTTAGTCCTGGTTCAGTCCTGCTTCAGTCCAGCTTCAGTCCAGCTTCAGTCCTGGTTTAGTCCTGGTTCAGTCCTGGTCTAGTCCTGCTTCAGTCCAGCTTCAGTCCTGGTTTAGTCCTGGTTCAGTCCTGGTCTAGTCCTGCTTCAGTCCATGTTATTGGTTATGACGTTGTTAGCCAGAGGATGCTAACAGGCCTTAGCTCTGATCTTAATCTATTTTCACACAATTCCATTCAGTCCCTCCTTTCATTTTAGCTTCGTCATTCCCAAAACATCAAATTGTTTTTCACATCCCTTGATCCTTTGCAAATCCCTCGTGTTTTATCCTCCCATGCTGCACCACATTTCCCCATCTACAGTTTCCATTTCCAGCTCAATCCATCATGAACACTGCCAGTAAACATCCAAAACCCATGCACAGTTTGTAGATTTGTGGAGTCCTTACCTGTTTTTGCAGTCTTTTTCAGCATAGCATCCATGACAAGACCTGCTGTTCGGTGCCTGGTGTGGGCGGGACACATAAGGGATGGAGAGGAGAGAGAGGAGAGGAGGAGGAGGAGGAGAGAAAAGAGGAGAGGAGAGAGAGTGGAGGGGGGTGGTGGCAGCAGCAGCAGAGGGGGAGGGGTGGGACTTGCAGAATGGAAGGAGCCTCGTGATTGGTCGAGCAGTCTGTCAATACAAATTCTAGTTAATGAGATAATGAGAATCCAAACGTTCTTAAAAATGCGCCATGTAACTTTTTGGTTGGGGGTCCATCACCTGCGTGTTTCTATGGATATGTCATTGCTCTGCTTGGAATGTTCCACAGTATGACATTAAATTTCTCTATTTTACATTTATTCAATTACAGATGGTTTTATTGCTCAAAAATACCTACTAAAACAGACATTCTGACTGTGAGTGGGGTTGCCTCTCCACAGATCTGTCCTGTAACTTGGTCTGTTTTTGTCTCCATGATGAAAGAAACGTTTAATGCCATACAATGAAACATTCCCTCCAGGAAAGTTACACAATGCACCTTTAATGGAGAAGTCCAAAGCTAATCCTTGGTCAGTAAAAGCATGTAATTTGGAGCTGAATTCCCATTTTTACAAGATTAAGTTGGACTGTTTTTCTTTTTTCAGTTAAAATTGCACAGTTAATTTTTGTTTGTTTTTTTTGTCTCCGTGGAGCTGTCTAGATTTTGTTTAATATCTTGGTGGAGTCATTGCCTAGTACTTTAAAGTGCATATAATAAGGTAGATTAATTTCAGTAAGCCATGATTAACATAAATTATTATTAATATTAAAGGCTGAATTAAAATCTTGTCTAGTTTGTGTAGTTTTTGTCAGTTTTGGTCAAGTTTAGATTTTACTTTCAGGTTGGACATGGAAAGATCTCCTCATGGAAGAGTTTTCCTTGTGCCTAAACTGTCCCTGTGTATTTGGTGTTGATATAGTTGTTGTATAGGTAGAGGTATTCTGCTATAAAACTCCTGTATTTTTATACTTTTCTCCTCAACATTTCACAAACTTAACTGATTTAAAACTATGATAAATATTTACCAGAAAAAGTACCAAGCAATGACATCCCCATTTAATTTTGTCCATGCAATTCCCTCCCAAACCACTACAGGGCGCTGCTGCACACTATGAACACACACAATATAAAAAGACGACAGCAGCGCCTCACTTCCTCATTCACAATCTGCGACCGTGCGAGTCATGCTGTGTCGCTCGTTTCTAAGGTAAATATTAATACATGCTTTACTTTTCTTCCACGATATTTAATGTATTTTAATCCCGAGACATTAAGGAAGCTTTGTAAGTGTTTAATTATGACGGATGGTTTAGTTATTTGGCGGATGGTGGCAGATTTTGACAAATGACTGGATTCACTCCATGCGTCTCTACGTATCAGTTACAAGAGACTAAATAAACTACAGTATGTTGTTGTGATTCACTGTGATGACCACAATTATGTGGTGCTTGACCACAAATTATTATAGAGTAATTTTCAAACTGGCATTCAACTTTATTACATAATCTAGTCAAATGTATTTTTGTTGTTTTTGTTTTTTTTGGGGGGGGGCATAATATATGCTACATATATTATGCATTTCCATTTTGTTTTTAATATGAAATCCTATGCCTGATGACAAACTGCTTTTTTTTTTCTTTTTTTTTTAAAGCATGGAGGAACCAGGGAGTCCAGTAAACCAGCTCTTTCCGGGAAGTTTTGACCCTGGTTAAAATGGTGAGTTAAAACTTGAATCACTAGAAATATTCTGTTAAATGTGCACTATGAAACCTTTATGGCGGAGGGACCCTTGCTATAATGCTCTACTGTAGAACATTCCAAGCAAAGCAACATGAAACATCAAATTGTTTTCATTACCAAAATGCTTGCTTTGCTTCTCCACGCGTGACCTGTAACTTGGCCTGATGGTGCCAGCTGCTTGTCTCCATGGAGATGGATGAGGTTAATGCCATGCTCTGGAACTTTCTAGGCAACAGAATCTGACTTACTGTCACTGAGCAGAATTCCCAAACTAGGAATGTGCTTTATGTTAAATATGAACTAGATTAAAGTTAAAGACTTTCAAAAACTGTTCAGACTAAAAGCGGGTGGTGGATCCTTCACCAGAGAAGTTTCATTATGCACCTTTTGTAATGGGATGCAGGCCCTGAACTGAACTAAACTAGAGCCCTACTAAAAGACCTTGGATTCGCTGTGATGATGAATATTCCTGCCATTCGTAGTTTCCACCGGAGGCAAACGCCAAAGACGGCTCAATCTTCCTTGGATGTCTGAGCGAATCTGAAATGAGATTGTGTTTCTCAGTTTTTAAATGCTTTCAGTTCTAATCGGTTCTTTCCCTTTCAGATTTTTGAGTAAGCTTGTGCATTATAGACCCCACAATCACCGGTGAGTTTCATGATTTACACAACTTTTAATTGCTTTAGTTTAACTGTCAAGTAACTTAAACATTTTTGCATGGGGATATTGTGTATCAGGTTTTGGTTTTGACTGATCTGATTATAAATGTGGTTCAATTTTGACCACGTTGTCGATGCATAGGATTCGCTGTGATGACGCATTTTCCTGCCATTCGTAGTTTCCACCGGAGGCAAACGCCAAAGACGGCTCAATCTTCCTTGGATGTCTGAGCGAATCTGAAATGAGATTGTGTTTCTCAGTTTTTAAATGCTTTCAGTTCTAATCGGTTCTTTCCCTTTTCAGATTTTTGAGTAAGCTTGTGCATTATAGACCCCACAATCACCGGTGAGTTTCATGATTTACACACAACTTTTAATTGCTTTAGTTTAACTGTCAAGTAACTTAAACATTTTTGGGTAGGGATATTGTGTATCAGGTTTTGGTTTTGATTGATCTGATTATAAATGTGGTTCAATTTTGACCACGTTGTCGACGTAAAGGATTCGCTGTGATGACGCATTTTCCTGCCATTCGTAGTTTCCACCGGAGGCTAAGGCCAAAGACGGCTCAATCTTCCTTGGATGTCTGAGCGAATTCGTTTTAACTTTTTTAGTTTGGAAGACCAACAGTTTTGTTGGTAGGGCATTTTGAAGATTGAGTTACTTTGAATTGGAGCAAAGTGTCATTTAGACTTGATGGTTTGAAGACTTGCAAAATGTGTTGGGTATTTTGTTTTAAAAGGGTCAATTAACAAATAAAAAAGGAGAGAAAATTAATGGGAGGTTCAGGAGATCTTAATTTGTTGGGTTTATTCAAAAGTAAAACAGAAAAATAACCACACAAAAAATAAAGACTCATTGTATTGCTAAAATCTGTTGTCAGTGATAATTGTTATAGGTGACATTTTGAGGACTTTTCACAATTTTGAAATTCTAAAATATCAATTGCCAGTATTTCATATTAAATTCATGGATTGACCAGCAAAAAAAAACAAACTTGTGTCAACCACCCCTACTTATAAATCTGAAAGGCGTCAAGAATAATTATGTTTTGCTTAATTTTTGTTTACTTGTTTTACAGGGCTTGTTAGACCGGAAGAGTTGGCTCAGTTCTGACCATGTGGTCCAGTTCTGACGATGGTAGGTCTACAATATATTAAATCTTGTATTTCGCTGTGATGACGCATTTTCCTGCCATTCGTAGTTTCCACCGGAGGCTAAGGCCAAAGACGGCTCAATCTTCCTTGGATGTCTGAGCGAAAAATTATATTTAAATGTGAAACAGTGTTACTCTAGTGAGATTTTTATTTATTTATTTATTTTTTTTAGATGGAGAAAATGTATTGCAGTCACTGAAGAGCTGGTGGATTACCTCTACCTTTCTCACCAGTCTTGAACCAACAGCAAATTATTTGACCACAAAACTTACTTGGTTAAGCACTTGCCCAAGTCTCCGTGCAGCTGAATAAAATATTCCTTTTTGTGATTAGGTCATCACAATTGATAAGCTGTTAAGTTATGATTTGAACTTTAGTATTTCTGAAACTTACTGGAAACCTGGCACTTTATGGGGTTGGCGTCCTGTGTGGATGGCATGCTCAAGCAGTGGTGTCACATTTTGTCTGAATATTAGGTTTCATGTTGTCCTGCAGTCTCAATAAAACTTTAATATTAAAATAAAAATGTATAAAATGAATTGTATTATTTGAAACTGAGTCACATTGTCCTATACCTCAGGCAGGATTTGTCTATTTGCTGTGTAACTATCACTTTAAATACTATATAATGCCTGGGGGGGAAACTTTTTTTTTGTTCCCCCCCATTCATTCAACTGGTAGGAAAGACGGTTGTCATCGCAATAAACAAAACGCGGTCAACAGTCCCTAAAAATGGCACCATATAACAAATGAATAAGATTGCATTGGCGCTTACGTTTAAACGTTACTAAATTGATTCCGACTGACAACGGCATTATTTTCTTAAGTTTTCGCTGTATTTACGAGAGGCGTGGTTTGACCCTGCTCGCTCGCCGTCTTCTCCTCGCTCCGTGGCAGCCGCAGGATCGCCCACAGCGGAGCGGCTTCACCGGGCTCATGCCGCCGCTTTTCGGGTCTTTTCCATCTTGTAACTGAGCCGAACCGGGGCCATGGCAGCCGTGCAGCCGCAGGTATGTTCACCCCTCCAGAACCGTGTGCTTTTAGCGTCAAATCCGCAGAATTGGCGCCGGAACGAGCTAAACGTGGACGCTAACGAAGGATACAAAAAGCGGTCAATATTATAACAGATGGCAGCTTATTTTCCATCACTGACGTCTATTTTTGTTTTGCTTAGCTAATTTGTGCATGGATTTTACGTGATCAAGTTATGGGTTTATTTACAAACGGTATCCTTAACCTACATAATGAGTCTTGAGAGAGTGCTATTTTTGTGATTTGTATTTTATTTTTAATTAGGACGACCTGCTAAAGATGACCCACCGGGAAAACTGGAGGTAAGAGCTGCAAAACTATAAAATCTAACACTGTTTCTGAAGCCCGTATAACTGAGCCTATCACGAGAATAAATTTCAAAGCACGATATATATTGTTACAGACAGATATTGCAAACGACAGTACTGAACATATTTTTTGCCACTGACACAAAGCGGGATAATAGTAACATTAAAAGGCATGAGCTGCAACAAATACGTATCAGAACGAAGCAAAAATTAACGATAGAAGTGACTACAGCTAAAAATAACAGAAATCTCCACATTATTGCAAAGTAATTGAACACATAACAATTGAGTCCTAGCTTTCATATATTGCATGAGGTTGCTCTATTTAAATTCATTCTACACATAAATAACAGTTTGCATTTTAGGTACGGGTCATTCTTAGAGTTGATGATCACAATTTTGATAGCACAGTTGACACACTTATGAAGGTAGTTTTACTCATCTGTTTCTTCTTTCACTTTCTTCTTTCTGTGATGAGTAAAACTCGCCTGTCGACCTTACAGAGGATATATGAGGAGTCAAGTCTAATTTTGTATGGCACATTTAAAAAAAACCACAACAAGGAAAACAAGGGCTTAGAGGGTGGGCATGTGTGTGTTTAGGCGTAGAGCTGTTGGAGTTACCGATGACACTCAGAGCTCAGTAGTGACTGACCACACCCTGGCTCTAAAGGTGTGTGTGTGTATGTAGAAATATAAATGTAAATAAATAAGCAAATAAATAAAATGTATATTGATTGTAGATAAATGATTGATTTAACAAAATAAAGATGTTATTTATTTTGATAAGTGAAGGTTCAACTGTCAGAAAACAGTTCTCTGTGGATGAATTATCTCTGAATTTTGGATGGAATTTCATGGACAAAAAAAAGTTTGTCCAGTTAACCAATTTCTACTGCCTGGACGACTGAAGGATACAGACACCACACATACACAAACATGAAGACCTGTCATATAAATAAACAGGTTAAAACTGCAAATTCTACCCTAAAATTCTTTACCCCTTGACCAGTTTTTTTTTTTTTTTATGTCTTTCTTTTTCCAGAGTTCAACATGAGCGTCTGCACACGAAGCACCATGGACATGAGGCCATGCATGCAGAGATGGTCCTGATCCTGGTGGCTACACTTGTTGTGGCCCAAATCGTCCTGGTGCAATGGAAACAACGCCACCATCGCTCCTACAATGTAACTGCAACAACACTATCTGTCCAAATGAGGGATTACACTAGGACTGCGTGATTGTGGAAAAAATTCAATTGTGTTTTTTTTTTTGTTTTTTTGTTTGCAATGCATGATTTTGTTCAGAGCATTCACAATTGAGACAAGACAGAAATCTAAACTGATAAACTAAAACAAGAATCCCATTTATTTCAGTAACTGTTTACTTGGACTAAAATACTTTAGCCCTATTAGGCAAAGTCGACTTTTCAGAGCTTTTAATCATGTTATAGTTGCTTCCTCTCATCGTTTACTCATCTGAAGTTGTATTTGGAGTGATTTGTGCATGTTTGATCAATCTTTAATAGCTTATTTTCAAGACGCCGTATTGCCGATCAATCCCTGTTTTCACCACCACCAACATATACACCCACTGGTCTGTACTCATTCTCCGATATTTTGTAAAACTAAATACTAAATTTAGTATTTCCAAGTTGATACTTCCCCCCCTCCTACCCCATAAGTATAAGTAAGCAACTATGACTAAGTGGTAAAAAAACACAGAGAATCAGTCTTGTGGAGTTACAGCCTTACCTAAGGTATGATTAAACGTGTTTGAGAATGCCATGTGTCTGCCATCTTGCCCCAGGTCAGCTGTGGCGGTGATCATGTTGTAGCAAAGTATCTGTGAAGGGGAAACACATCATGCGACTCTTGTGTGTTTAGAAAACCCTTACGTAAAATGAACTGTTACTAATAAAGCAGAAAATCTTGTAACGTTTAAGAACATGAGAAAATGATCCATCTGTGTTTAAACAGGGATTTCAAGTTTGTGCTAGAATTATATGTAAAATTCAAGTAAATTTAAAGGTGCACTAAGTAACTTTTCTGGTGGAGGGTCCATCAAATGCTTTTCTCCATGGAGATGATGGTGCTTTGTCTGGAATGTTTGGAAAAGTGGAAAGTTACAGGTCAGATCTGTGGAGAGGCAGCCCTGCTCACAGTCAGAATATCTGTTTTTCTAGATCTTTTTGAGCTATTAAACCACCCGTAATTGAATAAATGTGAGGTAGAGCTGTTTAATGTCATACTGTGGAACATTCAAGTCAGAATATTGGCATATTCATAGAAACAAGCAGGTAACGGACCCCAACCAACATCAGTTTTATACTCGATTTGATAAAAATGTTCAGTAAGGCTTCTAGATAAATTGTTAACAAATCAAAATTTTAATTTGAGTGACCACAATTAGCAAAGTTTTACATATTTCCACAAACAACAGTATATACTGTGTTAAGTCTTGTCTGGCTTTGCTCCTCTGGCTCGTTTTATTCTCATTTTTATATTTTGTATATTTTTTGGTTCTTCAGTTGGTGACTCTGATACAGATGTGGGTGGTGCCGGTTTACTTCACCATTAAATTATACTGGTGGAGGTTCCTATCAATGTGGAGCATGTTTTCAGTAATCACCAGCTACATCATCTTCAGAGCCACTCGTAAACCCCTCTCCTGCAGGACACCCAGGTGAGAGAAACAAGCACAGCTAAATGTCCACACACTAAGATTATAGTATCGAAAATAGATTCTCATGTGATAGTAGATACTAACATAAGTCACATTCACAGGACATAAATGAACCTTTCCTGAATAGTTTTAGAAAGATTTTGAGCTGTATCTGAACAAATATAAGACCACACAAACTACAATACGCACATGGACCACTATGGAACCTACCTGGATGACAGGGATTACATTACACAGGGATAATGATGGTCATATAAAAGAAAGTACTATCACGTAATTTTGAATGTCACAATCTGTTGTCTATGTAAAGAGTGTTTTTTGTTATTGTGGTATCAGAATTGGTATTGAGTCTATTCATTAGTATCGAAATAAGTTTGTAATGTTTGTATTTTTGTACCACACACATACAACATGAAGAGTCTCTAAAAGTCCTCTTTTTTGTATTGTAGGATGGTGTATAAATGGTTCTTGTTGATTTACAAACTGAGTTATGCCGTGGGAGTCCTTGGGTACATGGCTATAATGTTCACTATGTTTGGCTTCAACGTCTTCTTTAGGTGAGTAAAGTACATTACATTACATTACAAGTACAATATGGTAAAATTATTTCACCGCTGTTTCACAGTTTAGTTCATTCGTGGTTTCTGGTGGTTTTCTGGTGTTCTGGGGTACCGTGTGTTTTGAAGAAAAAGACAAAATTTACTAATTTACATAAAAATATTGCATACTCCAAGCTTTAATAGTAATGATGCCTTACACATTCAAAGCATCTCAAAGTGCTACACTGAACTCATTATTAGTTCCACCACTGGTAGTAAGATACTTGTGTAGAAACAGCTGCCCTGGAGCAGAATGACTTAAGCACGTCCGTCAGTCTGCCTCTGAGTAGGGATGGGACGATAAACAATAATATGGTTTATCTTGATAAAAAGAGTAAACGATTATCGTTCATGGGACGCTTTATATAATAGTGATATTATGTCACCAGATGTTTTCTTCTAGGTCATTGTTGTTTTCAACTGTACAACAGTTGCTTTAAATATGGAACTTATATTCATAATATCTAAATTATAATTATTCATATCCATGACCGTTTAAAACTGTCAGCAACTTTTATAATTACGGAGATATTCTGGTTGATTGTAACTATTTTGACCATGATAACTGTGACACCAGATTTCATTATCCCCTGAGCCTCTGTGGTGTTTCAGGATAAAGGCGGAAGACTCCATGGACGTAGGTGTGATCCTCCTCTTCTATGGGCTGTACTATGGGGTCATGGGACGAGACTTCGCTGAGATCTGCTCTGACTACATGGCCTCCACAATCGGGGTAAGAACAACAACCTCAGTTTTCAATTAGAAACAAATCCTGACTGAAATTTTCAGCTTTGATGTGAGTTTTAGTCTGTTCTTGTCCTTAGTCAGTATTACAGTAAATGTGGATCAGTCCTGGTTAAGTCCTTGTTCGGTCCTGGTTGAGCCCGGGTTTAGTCCTTGTTCAATCCTGGTTCAGTCCTGGTTTAACCCAGTTTTCCTCTTTAGTACTACAGTAAAGGTGGCATACCCAGTCGAACACTAGGGGGCGACATCTGCGCAGTCTGTGGACAGAAGATCCTGGTGGAGGTGGAGGAAGAGGGCTTCGTGGAGGACACGTTCCAGCTTTCCTGTGGACACATGTATCCTTTGGCTCAAAAGCACAACAGTCAAAGAAACCCAAATCTCTGACGCAAATAGGACTAGGTCTGAAAAAAATCTGTGATAGATTGTTACAGAAAATATTGAGATAATATTGAAGATAAATAATGTGTGAATGAAACAAAACACAAATCCACATGTGTGTTTGAAGTGGTAACAACATTATAACATGGCTTTAAGATCACAAGAGCCCACTGTGTGTAAAATATACAGGACCTTTAACCTCTTAAGTCCCAAGGCCTTATTCTCGAAATGACCAATGTATGATATTTTAAGGCATTAAGTACCACAATATAAAAAGCTACTTAACTTCCTTGTTTTTGTCAGTTTTTCTCTGCATTTTAACTTTAACCAGCGACTGCAGATTTCATGAGTTCTGTATCCGGGGCTGGTGCATTGTGGGTAAGAAGCAGACGTGTCCCTACTGCAACGAGAAGGTGGATCTGAAGAGGATGATGAACAACCCGTATCTTTTATTTACCTCAACGTGTCTAAAGTCCTGGTTTAGACCTGAGATAGTCCTGGTTTGGGCCTGGTTTAGTTTTGGTTTAAATCAGACTTACAGAATTTATTTTATTTTTTTATGTAGTTTAGTTCAAGCTGATTCTAAACAACTTTTGTCGTCCAGGGCTAAAGTAAAGAATAAGAAGAAAGATATTTTAAAACAATTAAAAACTGGGTCTAAATGAGTCCTAAACCAATGTACACAAAGAATAAAGACACTTAAGGTCACTGCAGGGTAGAAGTTGTTTAGTCTGGCTTGTCCCAGTTAAATACTAGTTCAGTCCTGGTTCATTTCTAGTTCAGTCCTGTCCTAGTCCCAGTTTAGGGTCCCGGGTTATGGTTCCATTTCAGTTCTAGTTCAGTCCTCGACCATTTATGGACTACTCCTGGTCTAGTCCCGGTTCAGTGTCCTGGTTCTGTCCTGGTCTAGCCCTGGTACTTTTTCCTAAGCTCTCTCTCTCAGTTGGGAGAAGACCCACGTTTTGTACGGTCAGCTTCTGGACTGGCTTCGTTACCTCGTCGCCTGGCAACCAATAATAATCGGTGTGGTCCACGGCATCAACTTCACCCTCGGCCTGGAATAGAACCCGCAACCACGGCAACAGTATCACTCCATTTAGTCCAGGTCCAGTCCTGATTTAGACCTGGTTTGTTCCTGTTTTAGACCTGGCACTGTCATTTTATATAAGGCATCAACTTTAATGTGGAATTGAGCTCTCACCCCACGGTTTGTGCTATGATTTTAAAGCCGCTTTTGTTCACTTTTCTGGCCGCACACTTCCTTGTCTCCATGGAGATATTATTGCTTTGTCTGTAATGTTCCACAGTATGGCATTAAACTTGTATGTTTCTGTGGAGAAAAACGTGTGACACCACACAGTATTAGTATTTTAGTTTTTTTCTATGTAACAGTAAAAACATCAGTATTTTCTACACTCAAAATATATATGCTTAATGTCGTACAGTGGAACATTACAGGCAAAACAATAACATCTTTACCAGAAAAGCTACATAGTCCACCTTTCATTGCTTTGAATCTAAAAACAGTTCATTTTATTTTATGTTTCTTAATAAGTGTTAAATGAGGACAACCAATATGCAAATTTAAGTTACTCAATATTTTCATGAGATCTTAAACCATTTCAAAGTCCCTATAGTCAAAGAACTGGGTTAAATAAAAGCTTGGAGCGGAAAAAATGAGTTAAAACTGAAAGTAACATCTTTTTTTAACAATAACAGGTGATGCAAGTCCTGCGTTTTACATACGCATTATACATGTGTTTAAAGTGGCCGTCATGTTTGTATCATTGTACTTTTCTTTTTTTTTTTTACTCTTCACAGTAAAATGAAAGATTTTCAAACAGAGCTTTTACAAATTAGTTTCTTTTACCAAAATGCTGCCAAAAGTGTTCACCAACTGCTGCTCAACTTTTATTTATTAAAGATTTTTAAGAACTTTCACTATTTGCTTTGTTTTTCATGTACACTGTAAGAATATAGGCAGTTAAAGTGACAAAAATGAACACTTTTTTTTTTTTTTATCTTGATGCAAGTATATTTAGACTATATTTGCAAATCTTAAAGTTTCAGTATGTAAGATTTTGATTTAAAATTTCATAAACATGACCAATCTACCTGTTTCCCCACATATGAGGTAAACATATTCAAATCTTTTGTTTTACTGATGACAAATAGAGGTTAAAGGTGCACTGTGTAACATTTCTAGTGGAGGGCCTGTCACCGCTTATCTCCATGGAAATGTTATGGCTTTGTCTAGAATGTTCCACAGTATAGATTAAACCTGTCTATCAAAAGGGAGACGGGCAGGTTGCAGCACTGCGTTACATTACAATTCAGATCTGTGGAGAGGAGGGTGCACACTCAGACAGTTCAAAAGTGGTTAGTACTCATTACACATTTATTCAAGTACGTACACTTTTAACAAATACTTTTTACTCTTTCTATAGTAGTTTCTTGGAGCATTTGTTTGCACGTGTACTACAGTGTGCGTTCACTCTCTCACCACTGCCTTTGACCACGTTATCTCAGATATTTGCCCGCTGTATTCTTCCTGTTTGTGAGAGTTTCAGGACAAAGGGCTGTTGTTGACCTGGTTTAGTTTCCGTTTCAAAAGATAAAATCACACATAACGCTGATTCTTGGTTAGACAAGTTTAAACCAAAGCGGTGACCACCTTTGTCTGTAACTGGACTGAGTCAGATAAGAGAAATGACAGCACCATGACACACTGGGAAAATGTCAGAGTAGAGACAGGAAAGTTCAAGCCACAGAATGTAAGCTAGATCAGAAATATGCAATGGGTTACAAATATTGTGCATTTAAAGGTGCACTGTGTAACTTTTCTGATGGGGTCTGCCACACGTTCGCTTCTATGGAGATGTTGTGGAGATGTTGTAGATTTGCTGTAGATTGTCTCACAGTATATAGCATTAAACGTTTTCAGTTTTATCTCCATGGAGTCAGGCAGATGACACCACTAAGCCAAGTTACAGGTCAGATCTGTGGTAAAGCGACACAGTTCACAATAAGAAAGCATGTTTTTCAGCAGTAAAAACACCTGCAGTGAAAGAAACGCTCCAGATACGGTGAATGTCTTTACTGTGAAATGTTCTCGTAGCCAAAGCAATACCATGGACACAAGTCTGTTCCCCGAACCAGAAAAATTACATAGTGCGTCATTCGTTTTTTGTGGCATCTTTAATTAGATAGCTATTGTTAATATGTTTAACTATTTGAAATGATTTTTTGTTTGTTTTTGTGCTTCTGTGTCCAGTATAGGTTTCACATGCATGCACACGCACACATGAAAACAGTTGTATAGTTTCGGTTACGTGTTTCTATTGTTTCTATAAAAAAAAAAAAGACTTATGAATTTTCCGATTGATGTGCGCTTTCGTTGCTCAACTTTGTGGTTAGTGAAAAACCTGAAGACCACAGTGTTCTGCAGAGATGAACAGGAAAAAGGGGCCATTTTGTGTCCTGTTAGTCAAAGAGACCACAGACTCAGCATCCTCTTCAGTGGAGTCAAGACTATGCAGCCTCTACTCATCTGTAAGTACATCAACACTGTGTAATATAATGTTGTGGGGTAGGCTGGGGTCATAGGTTTTAGTCCTGGTGTAGTCCTGGTCAAAAGTCGGAACGCAAGATTAATCGCAAACGAATCGAAATCGCAATTTGGATGGACGAAAATAGCAGATCGCAAAGGTTGCAGCGTTTGAAGTACACCGCAGTTTCCTCCACAAACGACAAAAGGCTTAACATTTGCTAACTCTGTAGTTTTAGAGTTTTGATCTGTACAAACATGTTCTGAAATGTGATTCTTGTATTCATTTGGTTGTTTCGTTCCTTTCTGGATGCGTTTAAAATGTGAACTTTGAACAGAATCCAACTATTAAAACAAATTGCGAATCTAATTGTTAAGCTTGTAATTTAGATATTTATCTCAAATCTTTGAATGCTAGAGTAGACTTAAAGTGCTTCATCATTAAAAATAAGACCACATGCCCTTCCACCAAACCACCTGACTCCCACACAACCATAAAACTCATATTTCACCCGCAGGACTCATACAGGGGAAATACTGGAGATCCTAAAGGTCATAAAACAATATGAGTTAAAAGCTAAAAACTAGAATATGAAGTAACATGAAGAAAATAATATAAAATAAAAAGATGTGTGTAATAATTAGAAAAAAAAGTAACTTAACTTAACCCTTATATTGTGTTAGGGTCAAAATTGACCCGTTTTCAAGTTTAGGTATGTAAAAACTGCCATTTGCTTTTTTGTACCGGAATGAGGCTTCATCTAATCCTCAGACACAACTATTTTAACGCAACAAAATAAATTTTCACCATTTTAGTAAATTGTAAAGGTCTGAAAAAAAAAGTGACATCTGTGGTGTTACGGGTCAAAAATGACCCGGCAGAGAATAGTGGCTGTTTTATGCATCACTTACAAGCTGTAGGCTGCTCTGTGGATCAAATATGGCTCAGTGTGTCCCACAACACACACACACACACACACACACACACACAAAGGTCGTCTTCACCCACGTGAACTCTTCTCTTTCTTGCAGCACATTGATACATTTTGAATCTAAAATAAACATTGTCATATATAAACAGGGTTTTAGTGAGATATTATCAGCTGTATCTGTTGCAGCATCAGTCAACATGAGCAGGTTCACTGTTTATGAGGCGCTGGATCAGATTTTTGGTCATGACAGTGATTCTGAAGACAGAGAGGAAAGTGAAGCTGAGGAAGATGTGTCTGAGGATGAGGATGAGGGCACAGACTGAATAAAAGAAGTGGACTAAGTGAGTGTGACGTCACCCACAGCGTTTGGCGCCGCTCAAATGAAGCTCACGGTTACAGGAGTGAATCTAGAGCCAGGTTATATGTTATGAATAGGATTTTTTGGACGGACAAAACAGCCAAAAAATAAAAAATAAATCAGGATCATGTGTCGCAGGTTAATACGTATATTTTAAGACCAAAATGACGAGGTTCACAGCAGCAGGTACAGAGAGAAGGACGACAAGATCCTAACATAAGTCAATTGGAGCCAGAGTCAGAAGGAGCCGGAAGAGCCTCCTGGAGAACTTTCTATTTGGAACGCGGCGGCTACAGCGTTAGTTATGTCCATTCATATATACGTCTGTGGATGAGGATGAGGATTCAGTATGACCCTGAACAAGAGCACACATGTGGTGAGGAGAACCCAGATGTCACAAAGACTGAAAGAGACGTCTTCAAGTCAAGAAAAAGTGACAGTTCATGGTCACCAAGCCTCTTGACACCCAATATAATTATACTTATATCAATTAGATTTATATTATATGTATTATATATAAAATTATTATGATTATAGTATAATTATATAATATAATTACAAATTTTATCACTATAGGAAATATAATTAGTGAATTTAAGCAGTTTTTGTAATCAAAAACGAGTGGTATATTTTAAGATAAAAGGTCTGTACAGCCAAAAAAAAATAAAAAAATAAAAATGTTTCCATGGACATGAACACATACTAAGTTAGTTATGAGGGGAAAAACAATATTGGATGATATCTAGTGTTTTTAAGTATTTTCAGGCTGAGTTAAATCACAGGTCAAATTTGACCCGGTAACACTAAAGACGCGTGTAGCTTTCAAACACAATACAAGGGTTAATCAAAAGCTAAAATGGTGGGTTTTGAGCTTGCTCTTAAAAACATCTGCTGAATTTTGTAATAGTTGTTTTTAAACCTGAAATATTGTTTTTGGGTATTTGACGCATGCAGCAGCGTCTCTCTGTGTGCCTGAGAGAGAATGAGGCAGTGGTGGAAGAAGTACTCAATTTTGTAAAAGTAAAAGTACAGTAGAGACTGGGAAAAAAAAAAAAAAAAAAACTCAAGTAAAAGTATTTTTTTTAAAAAGCTTAAAGTATTTGTGATCATTTTTTCCTAGCTGTTTTTTGTTTGTTTGTTTGCTCAAACTGTGAGCCCGATAAGAAATAACTTTTAGGCAGGACTCAAACAATAATAAAAAATATATTTTTACTTTTCAGTCTAGTTGTAGTGGTAGTAGAAGTAAAAAGTGTCTACATGTGTTTACCCTCGCTATAAATATTGTGTGTGTGAGATTATGTGATAGGGTGTGACATTTACAGATACGAAGTGTTTCAGACGTGATAAAAAAAAAAAAAAAAAAAGTCTTCTTTGTTGTGCCAAAAGCAGCTCACCTTTTGTCACTCAGAATTTACTCTAAAATCATTTAAAGTCTTTGACATGACAGTCCTGGTCCTGTGATTCACCCTAAAACACGGGTGGGCAGTTATTTATTTCCATGGGGCCACAGGAGAAACAGAAAGCATTGTGATGGGTCAGGTCAAAATACTTAACAAAATTTTGCATAATATTAAATATATTTCTTTATAAAATAAGGTGAGGTAAATATCATTGTTTTGACGAGCTGTTATGACTAAGCAATGAAAATGTAAGGCTGCCTTACAAAAAGATGTCATTAAAAAAACACCTCTAAAAGAAAAGTAATGCAGCTTTAGTTCATGCATGAGGTAAAATTATAACACATGTTTATTTTTTAATTTCAAATGATCTTAAACGAGCTGGTCAGAGTCAACCAAAGGACCGTATGTGGCCCAAGAGTTGTACAATGCCCAGGTCTGCCCTAAAAACTTTTTTTCTTTTTTTTTTTAATGTTGTAATCATTTGAAAAATCTTTAAGTTAGTTAAAAACAAGTGTTTCTAAAATTTAGCTATTAAAAATCATTCAGACCTGCTCTTCTTCAGCAGAAGCCCCACCACGGCAGCTTTACAGACAGTGGGAAAGAGCGCTGTCTGAACAGAGCTGTTCATCAGGTTTAAAAGATCCATAAAACGACTTAAAAATGGAGTTAGAGTTGGCTCTAAAAGACATGTGGAGGGCCACACTGACAGCAAACTGTTCACACAGGGAGTCAGCTGTAGAAAAAACAAACAAACAAAAAAAAACATGAATAGTATTTTTGTTGTTTGCGATTACTTGGGTGAAATATGATTTTTCTTGTTAATTGTAATTTTATTTTAAAAATACCAATTTTATTTTTTGGGAACACTAATCAACATTTTTACTCAAGTAAGGACATCGTTACTGGCATTGTTAATAAATATATTGCTCAAGTACTCAAGTTGCATGTGAAGCACTTTGTGCTACATTTCAAATGTATGAAAAGTGCAACACAATAATAATAATTAATTAAATAAATAAAGTTTGATTGACTGATTGAAGTAGGAATGAAAGTATGCTGCTAGAAAAGTATTCTGAAAAGTATGATTTTTCTAGAAAGTTATTTGAGTAAATATAAGTGAGTACTTTTGAGTTAACTTCACTTTCTCTGAATCTTTGTTTTACATCTTTTAGACAAAAACTAACATGATGTTATTTTAGTTATATTAATAAATATACTTCAAATATTTTTGATAGTATTTCAGTCTTGTTCATCCTGCTTTAGACCTGCTTCAGAGCTTTAGTCCTGAGAGTAGGTGTGATTCTGTTTTAGACTTGGCCTAATCCCACTTTACACACATTAATATTGTGTGAATGAGAATAAACCAGGTCTAAACAACCACAGTAGGATTAAACCAGAATGCTGGTGTTTTTAAAAGTATACAATATGCCAAAGATGTTCACTTTGTCTTCTTATGTGCTTTAACTTTTTGGGTTCTTTTTTAAAGACAATACAGGAGGCAGTGTATTTATCTTGTTGACATGTTTTTGGCTGTAAGCCATCTTCAAAACTGTCACCGGTGATGGTGGTGATGTGTCGTATATCATCTGTTGTTACTTGCTGTGGCCATGGTCAGACCTGATGGACCTGGCAGGACGCTCAGACTGACCACGCCTCCCGTCGCCAGATGTTCTCTGGAGGAGGGTGTCCCAGGTGTGTGAAAGGAGGAACGCTCTGTCATCATGGTTTCCTGATTTCAGTGGCCTCCCTGATCCAGCGTTTGACCTTGTTGTTCTCCAATCCAATGACCCATGCCCCGTCCCAAACCAGGGACAAAAAGCGGACTTACACAACACAGTGACAGGGATCCTAAAAACAGTTAAATTACCAAGGAATAATATAATTAAGTAGGAGAGGAAAGCCATTAATCATATGAAAAAAGACAACACAGTCACTATTCTACCTGCAGATGAAGGAAGGACAACAGTTACATTAAACACAAAAACATACAAACAGAAAATGAAAGCACTATAGCAGACACCGACGTCTATGTAACCATCAGAAAGAATTCAACAGAAGAAAAGAAAAACACAGTGCTCTGCCCGATAGTGGATAGCATAGAGTCAGTCACGTAAAATCTGTCAAAAGCCCTGGTCAAAATAATCAAACCACTTATTGGTCAAACAGAATTCCACTGCAAGAATGCAAAACGATTGGCACAGGAACTAAAAAACATTACTGTAGCACTGGACGAAATACTCATATCACACGAAGTCATCTCACTTTTTACCAAAACACCCGTGAATGTCACACTACACATAGTACAGGATAAACTCAGAAAGGACAAAACAAAACAGTTGACATTACGCAGCACAACTATTACGCTTCGTGGCCAAATCTACATACACAACAAAAAGTGGAGTGTTAAAATTGACTCTCACAGAATCAACTTTAACATTTTCTCGGAGTTTATATGAGTCCAATCTGTTCTAGAGTTATTTAACATTTTTGGAAATGTTAATTAAGTAACACTGGACCAAAGTTTCTGTTTAACCCCGAAATCAAGAGTTATATGAACGTTTTGAGAGTAAACAGATAACACTTTGTAGAGTTATTCTGATTTTGCTAAACAACACACAGAGTTGTTTTATTTTATTTTTACTTTATTTCAGTTAATTTAAGATTAAATTATGTACAAAACTGGTTCAAACTGGTCTTCTCTCACAAGAGTTTGAAGTGGTGAATGGAAGGAGCCAAATTAACACTAGAGGAAGTTCAATTAACCTCGCCCACATCAACTCTGGCAAATAACCCCAACTCAAACCCCCATTTAACTTTCAAATAGTTCAAATAACACTTTTGGTGTTAAAAACAACTCTGAAATATTTTACCCTAAAATTTTAACCCTCCAGTTTTTCTAATACAATAACTTCATTTACAGACAGAAAGAGGGGAGCAATAATGAGCAATAATGTTTTTTTTTTTTTTTTTTTTTTTTTTGTTTTTCATGAAGGACTTGGAACAAAAAGCATTCAACACAGCACCCCCACAATGCTGTTTAACTTTCTGGAAACTCTACGTAGATCCCATCCTGGAAAAAAATACAGAAAGGACACACACAAGTACTCATGGACCATGTCAACACACAAGACAGTGCTCCATCAAAATAACAGTATACATGATACCTACGCACACAGACCAGTATCTGCTCTGGACATCCGAACATCCCACGGCTCATGAACTTTCAGTAGTAAGGACACTATTCGAACAGGCCACAATCATCACAGACCAGACTAACAAGGAAGAGGAGGAGAGATACATCATACAAGCACTTAAACAATGTCAATATCCCAACAGGGCTATAAACGAAGGCACAAGACAAGTCATCAATAAAACCAACAAACCCCAGAAAAAATGAATAATAATAATAATACAATAAAACAATAGAGGGCAGCAGAATCATAAGAACACAGTCACACTACCATGCATTAGAGCAGGGGTCATCAAACTCAGTCCCTCTGCCCCTCTGCCCCACCACATGACCTGCCCTATGATGCAATCCTCAGAAGTTGTCATGCCTATTGCTTTTTTAAATTATTATTATTTCTTTTTGGCAAATAATAACATATCCGCATCTTGTATTTTGTTGATATTATCTATTAAAAATGATATTCATATGAAGTATTTATATTTCTATTTAAATAATTATATGACGTATTTACATTTTCCGTCATATTTGCCGCAGAATTTTTGTCACCTGACAAGCTCGAGATCAAACAGTGACAGTCAAAGCATGAGTTCTGTAGTGCAGTTAAGGACAGCAAAATGACTCATGTTCAAGTACAAAAAGTTGACAGAGAGTGCCGATTTTCAAACAACAGTGGATGACCAATTCTTTTTTTTTTGTTCAGTGTAAGGACCGTGCAGTTTGTCTGACATGTAAAGAAAGTGTGGAGGTTTTCAAAGAATATAATCTGCGTCATCAGGGTCAAACAGTTCTGTTATACAGCCGACCCGACCCTGACTCCCATCACAGTCAGGAGCAATAATGTGGCCTGCAGAGGAAAAAAATAATTGGTGACCCCTGCATTAGAGGAATAACTGAACCCATCTAGAAAGCCATAAACACAACATAAGCACTGTAGTCAAACCATACACAAAACTTGTGTACAGCTCAAAGTAAAATCTCACAAAAACAAAAATGCAATGCCATCTATGAAATTCAATGCAAATCATGCAATAAATCATACATAGGGGAAACAGGCTGGGCATTTCACATCCGAAAAAAGGAACGCCAAAAGGAACGTGAAAAGGAAGCATCAGGGAGACTCACCAGAACACAAAAAGTCAAAGCAGAGCAGGAAAACCTGAAATCTGCCACATCAGACCACTGTAAAAGAAATAATCACATGATGGATTGGGACGGGGCTCGGGTCACTGGATCGGTGAACAACAAGTTCAAACGCTGGATCAGGAAGGACAATGAAATCAGGAAACGAGGCACGGACACCGTTAACCGTAATGACGGAGCGTTCGTCCTTTCACACAGCTGAGAGAGAACCAGGCAACATGGTCAGTTAGAGCGACCTGCCAGGTCCATCAGGCCGACCACGCTACAGGAAACAACAACAGATGATATACGACACGTCACCAACAACACTGGTGACAGCAGCCTAAAACATGTCAACAAGGCAAATGCACGTCCTACTGTACTGTCTTTAAAAAAGAACCCAAGAAGTTAAAGTATACAATATGTTGATTACGTCATGTAATTCTGTGGTAATGGTTTTTCTTTTTGTTCTCAGTGCTGTGGACTTTACTGCTGATGGACCCCACTCTCCAAGGCCAGTCCACTCTCTCACCACAGTAGTAAATATGTTTTCTATGTATGACTGATCCAAAATGTGAAGCTTCATTAGTTAAAAATGACTTACATCACTGCTACACATTAAAAATAGGAACAAAACTAGTAGTTCAAAACATGTCACTTAACATCCAATTTTTACAACTCTGTCTACCTTAAAAGGGCACTGTATTAAAGAAATAAATAAATACGTAAAAATATAAAAAATTTCAGACAGTAAATAAGAACAAAACATTAACAATGCATGTTTTTTCTCCAGTCTCTCTTATTGTCAGTCCAGACCAGTCCCAGTTCTTTACTAACAACCCACTGAATCTGCGATGTGACGACACATCGCAGATTCAGTGGAAGGTGTGGAGGAGAAACCAAGACACCACGAGGCGCTGTGGCGATGGTGATGATAATAAGAAGTGGGGCGTGCAGACTGGCTCCAGGTGCATAGTGAAACTCCTGGAGATGAAGGACAGCGGGCAGTACTGGTGTCAGTCTGAAGAGGGAAACACCTCTGAACCTGTCACCCTCAGTGTCACAGGTAAAGGCTAATGCTTCAAATCTAGTTCGACGTGTTTGAGTTTGAGGGCAGATACACTTCAAACACCTGGCATTTCCCCCAAACACGTTGGACACACCTATGTGTTTAGTGACTTTACATGAAAAGTCTCCCTTTGACCCACATAAACCTGAAACATATAAACCTAAATTCAAAGAGAGCTGCTACACTGGACAGTGGAGAACTGAGGCCTGCTTCAGTCTGCACAGCTGCAGAGGCAGTAAGAACCCTGAGAGGAGCTCAGACTGTCCTCAGAGCACAGAGAAGAGCCTGTGGTACTCTAGAGCCTTTTTGTTGTGACTTTATTTTTTCCAGACGCTGCAGTCCCCTGTGTCTTTTCCTTAATAAATGTTTCATTGCAGAGTGAACACGTGGTCCTGACGTGCAGCTTTCAAAGGCGGAGCACAGCACAAAGTACACACACTCTCTCTCAAGGGTCCTTGTGTTGAGTACCCCATGGCTCTGCACTGGGGCCTATTTTTATTGCACTTCATAAATCTACCACCTGCTCTAAGCATAACATTTATAACTGGATAAATACTAGATAAATGCCTAATTATGGAACATTCCATGCAATACAATAACATGTTTTTACAGAGGCAGAGGCAGACAGTCCATCAACAAAGTTACATGATGCACTTTATCTATCAAATGAAATTGTCTCTCTCTCTCAGACAGGGGGGTGATTCTGCAGATGCCTGTGCACCCTGTGTCTGCAGGAAAAACTGTCAAACTGAGTTGTAATCATCGCACTGACTCGTCCAAAGCCAATTTCTATAAGAACAATCAGTTCCTGTTGGAAGACCAGGGGAGAAACATGATCATCCAGCAGGTGGCGTTGTCTCATGCAGGCCTGTACTATTGTGAGATAAATGGACAGAAGTCACAGCCCACTCAACTCACTGTCAAAGCAGGTCAGAAGTGTTAAATAAATAAATCACATTCTTTGCTAAATACATTATTTTAACGTGGACATATGATGCATTCTTTGTCAATTAAACACGACAACACTAATTCACACATTCATTGCATCTGATGCTCTCCCCTTACTTGGATTTAGTAATAGCCCACTAACACCACTCATACCACTGGTCCAAAGTAATTCCTCACTTACCTCATGTTTTCTATACAACAGTGTATTTGGGCCATTTATAGATGAAGAAAAAAAAAGAATTGAAGAGTATATTTTTAAGTTTAAACACGCCCTTTTTTTTTTTTTTTTTGCATTTTACATGTTTGCAAATTTGCCTCAAAAAAAATAAAAATAAAATTCTGATAAGGTAAAATGGACTAGCTACTTGATGAACTGGAGGAAATTGGTTGGGTCACTTTCACTTCTATAAATTCTAAGGACATAGTTGTAATGAAAACTTTGGGGACAATAGACACTAAATGTGTGAATGTACACAGAGCCGCAAGTCACCATGGACCTTGACTATAGACTAGATTTCTTTACACATTTTTTGCAACATGGAGAAAGGGTTAGGAATAGTAAAAAGAGAGTTCTAATTATTTTTGCACATGAAAAGGGACAAAATTATGTTTAAACACCTGCATGGCCTCCTTTGCTCCTTTCTGCTCTCTACTCAAAACAAAACGCAAACAATGCAATTATAATGTCATTGAATTGTAAAGGAATTTCAGTGCTTTTGTCTCTTTTGGACATTCCATAAATGAACATGTTAATCTAATGACAAACGTGTGTTGATTTGGGGCCTCTAAAATGTATTTAACTCATGAATTAATTAGTATATATAAATACATCTATATTTTTTTGTCAATTAAACCACTTTCCCACATGTGTTCCAGTATCAGTCGCCTCCACCTTAGCTCCTCTTACAACCTTGTTTCTGACCACTACTACTCCTACGCCCTCTGTGGGGCACTCCCTGCCCCCCTGGGTCATCCCGGTGGTGGGCTCTGTTGTGGGCGTGTTTTGCTCATCGTCCTGGTGCTGCTGATTCTCCTGATGAAAAGGTGCAGATGCAAGAAAAGAAAAGGTCAGTATCCAGCTGTGGAGATCCAGTTTGCATGGTAACACCTGGATCTCTGGGGCGATGTGGGGTTTTTCAGATTATAGGATGAGATGATGTAATACTCCCAAATGTAGGTCAAAGGTCAGGGGTCAGATAATCCTCTTGATCACACTGTACTTTGTCATGAAATCTCCAAAAGGCAAATTCACAAATGTTGAACCTGGTATTTTCAGTTAGTGACTAAACCCTCGAACTCACTGTGTTACAACAATTTTGATTTTAGCTGCCCCCCTCTGTATTAATTAAGTCATCTGAAACACTGCAATTGAGAGATAATAGTTGTTAAGTGATGTCTCTTCTCACTAATTGCTAATGCTAATTGAGCCTAGATTAGACTAGATTAGATCTAGCCATAGATCCACAAACACACTCGTACTGATCTGAGGCGCACTGTTGGGCAAGTTACTTTGAAACTGTAATGTGTTATTTATTACCTATTACTGTCATTTCAAAGTAATTTGTTACATTACAATATTACTGCATTTAAAATGCAAGGCATTACATTACTATTGCATTACTTTAAGTTACTCTCACCAAAATAACTTTTGCGCTGTATATGGACTGAACCAGGACTAAACCAGGTCTAAACCAGAGCTGAACCAGGACTAAACCAGGACTAAACCAGAATTGAACTAGGACTAAACCAGGACTCACTGTAGGGACGGGCTCGAAGGTGACCGCAGGAGAAAGGAGCGGCTCTGCTCCGCACCTCACGGAGGTAAGAGCGGCTGTTGCCCGATCGCTCTTTATGGACCCTGCTGCTCGGGCTCGCGGCCCTGATTTCAGCAACTATTTGCAGGACCCGAAGCCGGTGCAAGAGTCTGTTACAGCGCGTAACTTCTACCTTCCTTCAGCGTGTCCAGAAGTCCAACTTTTTGTGTGATGGTTTGCATCTTCCTCTGCCTTTTGGGTGCGAGCGCAGGAGCCTTTGTCGGTGCAGAACGTTTCGTCGACGTTGTGGGTTTCGTCGGGGAGAAAACTTGCAACCGTACAGCACTTCAGAATCACACTGCTAGAGACTGAACATGTATTTAAATTTGGAAGCTGAACACATTCTGTACTGTACAGGAGACAGGAGTCCCTTGGCCAGTCAGGACGCAGCGGGAGGAACGCAACACGTGTTCATACAATGTAAAAAAAAAAAAAAAAAAAAAAAAGGGCATGCAAAATTGCACAAAAAAAAAAAAAAAATCTGCGAAACAGCGAGACCGCGAAAAGTGAACTGCGATAGAGGGAAGGACGAGTGTAAACCAGGTCTAAACCAGAACTGACCCAGGTCTAAACCAGGTCTAAACCAGAACTGACCCAGGTCTAAACCAGGTCTAAACAGCGTGGAGTTCTTTGTCAGTCCTTTCGCCCGCGGTTACCTGAAGGTCTATGAGGGCGCATCTCCGGCGTTTCACCGCTGCTGATATCGAGGGGATTTTAGCGAATTTGTATGAAGAAAAACCCACCACTTCAATCCAGGTTTAAAAAACATTGTAACGCGCGTTACTCACATTTGTACCGAGTAAAATATTACTATTTTTTCCCCTGTAATGCCTTACATTACTGCGTTACAGCAAAAAGTAATGCATTACTGTAATTCGTTACTTTTATAACGCGTTACTCCCAACACTGCTGAGGCGTGTGTCACCATGGTAATTACTGAACTTTCTACCATAGACATACATGTAATAACAGCCCAAACAAAACCAAGAGTTGAACATTTCACCTTTTCTGTGAGAAGAAAGTGTTTATTTTGAAAAACAATGCAGTGTGTTATGTTAAACACTAATCCACAGAATTCTGTATCATCCGTAGAATCCGTATAATGTCGAACAACACACAAATGTTTATGTTTCACTTTTCCAGGTTCGAGAAAAAAGAGAGGTAGAGCTCCGCCTCCACAGGGTCACCACCCATCATGCCCCCTCAGGACCCCAAAGGCACCCACACATAAGTGACTCCTCGTCTTTGATGCAGCCAGTGTTAAAGATATGTTTGGGCCATTTAATACTATTACAATGTATTTAAAAAATGTACAGAATAAAAAATGCATTAAAATCAAAATACAAACAAATCACAACATAAATAATCATAAAATTAAAAAAGAGAGAAAAAGAGCACAGAATGAAAACCTTTCAGTCATATGCACAGATAAACAAAACCGTTTTGATCCTGGGTTTAAACAGACTGAAAGTAAAGGACTAGAATCTTCACAGACGATTGTCAGACAGATTTATTGATCTCCAAGGCGCCATCAAGAGGGGAAAATGTATATATCAGAAGTGATAATTATCAATTAAAATAAAAAAAAACTTTTATTATACAAAAATGTCATGTAGTTTCTTAAAGTTTAAAAACCTGTTACATAAAACATTTGGATTTGTTATTTATGTTATAATGTAATGAATGTGTGCTGTTGACTTTTGGCTTTTTTCATTTCTGAAGTTTATTTTCTGAATCCAAGTGATTTAAACTAATTTAATGAAACAACTCATTCAGATTGTTTCGTTATTTATATTTATAGGAAAATGTTTTTATTATTATTATTTGAACAGTTCAGTGGACCTGAACCAGTTTTTTAAATAAATTTTTACTAATTTGCCTCAGAGTCCTTTTTTTTTTTTTTTTTTTTTACAGTAAAACTCAGAAAGAACTGCTTTGGTTCCAGCAACCTTCATTTTACAACTTCATTTGGTTACATCAATCAGTGGATTAACTGACACACAGAGTGACTGCATTTGGAAGACAAAGTATAATGAATTTTCAAATAATTCTTTAAATCTTTAACATGTTCTCTTTCATTTTGTCTTTATCACTGCCACATTAGTTTATTTCTTTAGATGATTTTCCTTGTCAAACCCAGAGAGGTGTGAAAGAAACCAGATTACTCACATCAGATATGACTGACTCCATGACATTTAAATAATCTGATTCCAGAAATCAGATAATGATCAGATTTCCAGTGTGCATGTAAACATAACCAGTGTAACAACTCGTTCAGATTAGACAAGTGTCCAGTCTTAAGATTACAATAACTGTGTAATTTCCGGTCAGGTCTGTTTTGTACATTTATTTTGTACATTTACACAATTTTATAGATGTCTTTAGTTCTTCCCAAAAATGTGAACTCACTGCAAACAAACCTGAGGCCAACAAACTGGACTTTGGTTCTTTGCGGAGGATGGACTGAGTAAACTGCTCCAAATCCTTTCTCTGGGATCGATCCAAGCCTGGTTCTAGTCCAAGTCCAGGTCTGGGTCTAAGTCCAGCAGAGGGAATAAAAACCTGAGCAAAACCGGTTAGGATCGAAGAGAAGCACCAACGCTAGGATGAAGTTGCTCTTGCTGCTGGTTCTGCTGGGCTGTGGAGTCCGGGCCCAAGAAGATTATGATGATTATGATTCAGTAAGAAACCAGGACTAGACCAGGACTAGACCAGGGACTGAACCAGGACGAGACCAAGAGTGAACCAGAACTAGACTAGGACTAGACCAGAACTAGACCAGGAGTGAACCAGAACTAGACTAGGACTAGACCAGAACTAGACCAGGACTAGCTCAGAACTAGACTAGGAGTGAACCGGGACAAGACCAAGAGTGAACCAGGACTACAGAGAACTGAACCAGGACTGAACCAGGAGGACTAAATCAGAACTAAACTAGGACTAGACCAGCACTAAACTAGGGCTAAACCAGGACTAGACCAGAACTAGACCAGGACTGAACCAGGACTAAACCAAGACTAGGTCAGCACTAAACCAAGACTAAACCAAGACTAAAAAGGGACGAAACCAAGACTGGACGAGTAAGCCATAACCGAACCAGGACTTAACAAGGACCAGACTAGGAAAAGACCAGGTCTAAACAAGGACTGAACCAGATAAAACATGGGTAGATCAGATCCAAGCCAGGACTGAACTGGGACTAGATTGGGAATGAACCAGAGCTAAACTAGGACAAGGTTAGATTGGGCCTAAATCACTAAACCACGACCAGATAAACCAGTAGTGGATCAGGACTGGACCAGGGTTGGACTTGAACTAAACAAGGACTGAACAAAACCAGGATTAAACAAGGACTAAATCAAGACAGAAACAAAACTCAAAACCTAAACTTCATCTGAAAATGCGTAATATATTTTCTTTTCTCTCCCAACAGGACACAAAGAAGAACAACACGGTTTGTAATTTTTTATTTTTTTTTATTCATCACAAATTGAGACAAATTGTTTTGGATGTTTCTTTATAAAAATATATTTGGTGAGCAGGTCGCTACGGCAACAGTCGATGCTCGCGGTCACCGACCTCTCATCAAAGGACGAGAGCTTTACCTGACCAACCGTTACAGCCCCCCTCCCATCAGCTCCGGAGGAAGGTACTACTACTACTACTACTACTACTACTACTACTACTACTACTACTAATACTACTACTACTACTACTACTGCTACTACTAATACTACTACTAATACTAATACTACTAATACTACTACTGCTACTGCTACTAATACTACAGCCCCCCTCCCATCAGCTCCGGAGGAAGGTACTACTACTACTACTACTACTACTACTACTACTACTACTACTACTACTGCTACTACTACTACTACTACTACTACTACTACTACTACTACTGCTACTACTGCTACTACTACTACTACTACTACTGCTACTACTACTACTACAGCCCCCCTCCCATCAGCTCCGGAGGAAGGTACTACTACTACTACTACTACTACTACTACTACTACTACTACTACTACTAATACTAATACTACTACTAATAATAATACTACTAATACTACTACTGCTACTGCTACTAATACTACAGCCCCCCTCCCATCAGCTCCGGAGGAAGGTACTACTACTACTACTACTACTACTACTACTACTAATACTACAGCCCCCCTCCCATCAGCTCCGGAGGAAGGTACTACTACTACTACTACTACTACTACTACTACTACTACTACTACTACTACTACTAATACTACAGCCCCCCTCCCATCAGCTCCGGAGGAAGGTACTACTACTACTACTACTACTACTACTACTACTAATACTACTACTAATACTACAGCCCCCCTCCCATCAGCTCCGGAGGAAGGTACTACTACTACTACTACTACTACTACTACTACTACTACTACTACTACTACTAATACTACAGCCCCCCTCCCATCAGCTCCGGAGGAAGGTACTACTACTACTACTACTACTACTACTACTACTACTACTAATACTACTACTGCTACTGCTACTAATACTACAGCCCCCTCCCATCAGCTTCCGGAGGAAGGTACTACTACTACTACTACTACTACTACTACTACTACTGCAACTAATACTACTGCTGCTGCTGCTACTAATACTACAGCCCCCCTCTCATCAGATCCAGAGGAATGTACTACTGTTACTACTACTACTACTACTACTACTACTACTACTACTACTACTACTACTACTACTACTACTTCTGCTACTAATACTACAGTCCCACTCCCACTGGCTCAGGAGAACCGTGCTAGTACTTGTACTAATTGCTACTACTAATATTATTACTGTTTCTACTGTGACTACTACTAATAATACTACTTCAGCCCCCCTCCTATTATCTCCGGGGGAAGGTACTACTTTTATTATAACAACAACTACTACAACTACTACTCTTCCTATTGCTGCTTTTACTCTCTACAGTAGTGTAAATAGTATTGTGTTAGTGTTATAGCTTAATTGTGGACACTTGATTAAAGAGACATGTGCTCCAAACTTGGTCATGGTAAACTACTAGAGGAGCCACAGCAGCCCTGGGGCAGACTGAAGGAAGTGAGGCCCCTCCAACACCTACAACAACAGTATGATACCAATGATCCAATCCAAGTACTGACAGAGCTAAACCCTTCTCAGATTTTGAGTTCTGGCAAGATCGAACATTCAATCTTCATAATATTAAATGAAAAATGCAATGTTTTTACCATTGTTGTATTTACTAATTTACTCTCCTCCAGTCAGCCTCAGAATAAAATGGTGGGTTAAATGGTGTTTTTGACTTTGTTTTCTCTCTGTGTTTTATTTGTGGGGCTTAGGTACAGCGGGCGTCCAGGGACCACCACAGTGACCGCCCCTCAGGAGCAGGAGAAGGTGGAGCAGCCAGAGAGTGGAGGCTGCACACACGCCATGGAGGAGATGGTACTGAACCAGGACTAAGCCAGGACCGAACCAGGACTAAGCCAGGACCGAACCAGGACTAAGCCAGGACTGAACCAAGACTACGGGACTGAACCAGGACTAAACCAGGACTGATTCAGCAGTGAAACAGAACTGAACCAGAATTGAATCATAGTTAAAACAAGAACTAAACCATAGGAATGTACTTGAACTAAATCTGGACTAAACCGAACCAGGACTGCCCCCAAATTTCAACCTCTTTCCTGTATTTTTAGGGCGTGCTGTGTCCTAACGGCTGTGAGCTGAAAACCATGCTCCAGAAGCAAGAAAGAAATGTCAAAACCGTGAGAAAGATTTTACAGTTAATGACATTTATTTTTGTCTCGCCTGAGTTTTTATTCTGTTTATTTGTGTGTTTTTCCAGAGCATTAATCAACTGCGCCCCCAAGTGGAAGAACTGACCCGAGAGTCCAATAACATTTTTAACTACATGAAAAGCATGTCCAACAACCTCAGAGAGAGACAGGTCATCATCAGAGGTAAGACAATAACATAATCCCCACTTACCCCCTCCAGGACTAGACTAGGACTGAACCAGGACTAAACCAGGACTTCTGCCAATTTCTCTTGGTCTTGATCTTATGAAAATGTTTCCATAGACAACAACAACGTGGTGGGCCAGTACACAAACCGAGTGGAGGAGCAGCATGCTTACATAAAGGAGACAGTCGACACTCTTCTGCCGTCTAACATCAGGGTCCTGCAGGTAAAACTAGACAGAAGAGCAGTGGCAGAGTGGTTAGCCCTCTCACCTCACAGCAAGAAGGGCCCTGGCTAGACATGTGGGGACATTCACTGTAGAATCCGCATGTTCTTTTTTTAAGATTTTGTAAAAATGTTTTACAGTTTCACAATTTTTCACAATTATGACCAAATGGCAGAGGAATTCATATTCAGTTTCATTCATATTGTGCAGTAGAATATATAAAATCAGTCTTTTAGAATGATAAAGTTACAGTTAAAAAGGGAGTATTCAGAGGCAGTGCTACCATTTGGCAAAAGTAGGCAGCTGCTTAGGGCCCCCAAACCTGGAGGGGCCCCCAACCAATTAGCCTCAGTGCCACTAATGGTTGAGGCCTCAGAGCAATTAGATTTTCTCTCAATATAACATTAAATGAGAGTTTACTTTTAAACATAATCATAAGGAACATAATAATAATCATATGTAATGGATGTAAACAAAAATTTAATTGTACTTGCAAAAAAAGTAAAACTACTACTCTGGTTATGTAGTAGGCGAACAAACTAATAAGACAAGTTTCCAATCCACCATAATTCAAATAAGTAGAAATGCGCATGTCTCTAGAACAATGGGGAAAAACAGACAATAAATATATTTTAAAAACAAAACAGAAAAACGGTGCATTATAGTGAGGGCCCCAAACTCAAGTTCGCCTAGGGCCCCCAAATTGCTAACTCTGCCACTGGGGGTATTACACTTTTATGGGGTATTAATTGCTAACACATCTTTCGATCACCATGTTACCTTTTGTAACTGAATTTGTAAATGCTATATTCATATATTTATATAAACAACATCTACATCGGAAGTGTGCATAATACCTCTTCTTTAATATGAAAAAAAAAAAAACAAAAAAAAACCTGACAAATTCAAAAAAGCTCTTTATGTCCAGGTTTACTTTTTAGTATTATGAACTGAACTGAAATAAGTTTACTTCCAAGATTCTCAATTTTTATCAATTATAATTTCTTGATTCTTTCTCCTTATTGTGACCGTACCGCACCATAAAGTGCGTACAGGAGACATTTTCCAGCAGGGTCAGTTACGTTTACTGTGTTAAATATTTGTTTGTTTGTTTAATAATAAAGTTATGTGATGTCAGGGCGTCCTGGAAAAGATCCGACTGAAGATCCAAAAGTTGGAGAAGGCCATTCAAACTCAGACTGAGTCCTGCCAAGAGCCATGCAGGACCAAGTGCCCCGTCCCTGTTGTGTCTGGTGAGAATCTTTTGCTCCTTCTGACCCTCTCCTCTGCTCCATTTGACCCTCTCCTCCTCATCCTCCGTTCCATCTGACCCTCTCGTCTTCATCTTCTGCTCTATCTAAACCTCTCTTCTGCTTCATCTGACCCGTATCTTTCCATCCTCTGCTCCATCTGACCCTATCCTCTGCATCATCTACTCAGTCTGATCCTCTCTTCTTCATCTTCTTCTCCATCTGACTCTCTCCTCTGCATTTTGTTCATTTCAGGTAAGGAATGTGAGGACATCTTCCGTCGTGGAGGTGTGGAATCTCAGATGTACATGGTTCGCCCAAATCCTTTCGGCCCGGCCTTTAAGGTCTACTGCGACCAGGAAGCTCACAATGGAGGTAAATAATGCTTAAGCAATAGTGATAATATTAGTTTAGTTTAAATTTGGACAATTATTGAATTTAACTGTATTTTCTTTTACTTTTCAAGGCTGGCTGGTGATTCAAAATCGGTTGGACGGTAGCGTGGACTTCGGTCGCCGCTGGGACGATTACAGAAACGGTTTTGGAAATGTCGCTTTGGATGTTGGAAAAGGACACTGCCAAACTCCAGGTACTAAGATACTAAGTGGAGTGTGCATGTCCTCCCTGTGTTACTGTGGCAGAGTGCTTAGCCTGTCTCTCAGCAAGGAGGTTGTGGGTTGAATTCCCTCTTATTTGTGCAGGTGAATACTGGCTTGGAAACGAAAGAATCAGTCAGATCTCTAGACTGGGACCCACTGAGCTGTTAGTGGAGATGGAGGATTGGGACGGTGCAAAGGTACAACCAATGTTTAAACAACTCCTAATCTTATTTCATTTGAATTTATCTATTTTATTAAAGGTCCTGTACACAAAATAGACCCTTGTGAGCTTTAAGACATGTTATAATGTTGTTACCTCCTCAACTTCCAACTTGTGATGTCATTTTGTGTTGGATTTCAAGTTAACAGCTCTCTTTTACCTTTTGTTTAGAGACTGAAATAGAAAGATTATCCAAATGATTCTAGCGAAGATGTATGGAGTTTAAAAACACAAAGGAGCATTTCTTGTATTGCCACATGACATTATAAGTTTAGATTTAGACTTAGACAAACTTAATTGATCCACAAGGGAAATGATTTGGACATAATAGCTCACAGAATATTATAATAACAAAAAGATATGGTATCAAACTTTTTAAATAAGCAGCAGAAATAGCAAGAGTCTGATGTCAAATAAGGCATAATTATATAAATGGATATGTACAAGTAAACATACAATATAGAAGTATAGTAGTAAAAATGAAAATATATCTTTAAGAGTCTAAATAAGCGGGATTATTGTGTTAAACATGTGTGAATGAAACAAAACACAGCTCTAGGTCTGTTTGTGATGAGGAAACAAAACTGTAACAAAGATCAGAAAATAGCATGAGGTCCCTTAAAATAAACTTCCTGTCTCTGTTTTTGCAGGTGCACGCTCAGTACCAGCAGTTCACGGTTCAGAGTGACACCACTAACTACGTGTTAGCGGTGGATAAGTACAGTGGCACGGCCGGTAACTGTCTCCTGGAGGGCTCCACTGAACATTTCGGCGTCAACAAAACTATGACCATCCACAACGGAATGATGTTCAGCACGTACGACCGTGACAATGACAACTGGTGAGGGCAAAACAAAACAAAACAACATAACATAAACAAGAAACATAACAACAAGAAATTAGAGCAGCCATAACGAGTCACAATTTAAAGGTGCAATGATGTTTTTGCTTTGTCCACAATGTATGGCGTTAAAGTCATCAAGCTTGCATTTATTTCATTAGCAGAGTTGTATTGCTCAGAAATACCGTAAAAAGCATACATTTGAACTTTGAGTGGGCTTGCTTCTTTACAGACCAGACCTGTAACTTGACCTGGTGATGTCATGTACTTGTCTTTATGGAGATAGATCAGTGTAATGCCATATTGATGAAGATAAGCAGATGACAGGCCCTCCACCAGAAAAGTTACACTGTGCACCTTTAAGTTTGGTCAACTCTCCACTGATCTGATCTGACCTGTAACTTGGCCCAGACATTTCCTTGTCTCCATGACATAGATAAGATAATGCCACACTGTGGAACACTCAAGGCAAAGCAGTATAGTACCTATAGTACCAAATGTACCTTTAATCTAAACTGGGCCAAACTACTCAAACAAAACTCATGTTTATAAATAGAGTATGCTGTGGTAGTAACAGTAGGAGTAGTAGTAATAGTAGTAGTAGTAGTAGGAAGAGGAGGAGGAGCAGCAGCATGAGTAGTAGTAGTAGTAGTAGTAGTAGTAGTAGTAGTAGTAGCAGTAGCAGTAGCAGTTTCAGTACTAGCTGTAGTAATAGTAGTAATAATAGTAGTAGTAGGAGGAGTTGAAGTAGCAGTAGTAGTAGGAGGAGTAGTAGTAATATTAGTAGTAGTAGTATGAGTAGCAGTAGGAGTAGTAGTAGAAGTAATAGTAGTAGTATTAATAGTAGTAGGAGGAGTAGCAGTAGCAGTAGTAGTACTAGCAGTAGTAGTAAAAGTAGTAATAGTAGTAGCAGTAATAATTGTAGTAGTAGTCCTAGTAGTAGTACGAGTAGCAGTAGCAGTAGTAGTAGTAGTAGTAGTAGTAGTAGTAGTAGTTATAGTAGTAGTAGTAATAGTAGTAGGAGTAGCAGTAGCAGTAGTAATAGGAGTAGGAGTAGGAGGAGTAGTAGAGTAGTAGTGGTAGTAGTAATAGTAGTAGTTTTAATAGTAGCAGCAGTAGTAGGAGGAGGAGCAGTAGCAGTAGTAGTAGTAGTAGTAGTAGTTTTAATAGTAGCAGCAGTAGTAGGAAGAGCAGTAGCAGCAGTAGTAGTAGTAGTAGTTTTAATAGTAGCAACAGTAGCAGTAATAGTTTAGTAGTAGTACATTCTTAATATTACTTTCCTCTTTCTCGCTGTAGGAATCCCGGGGACCCGTCTAAACAGTGCGCGCGGGAGGATGGTGGCGGCTGGTGGTACAACCGCTGCCACTCGGCCAATCCGAACGGCCGATACTACATGAGCGGGGTTTACAGCAAACTGATGGCAAAGCACGGCACAGACGACGGCATGGTGTGGATCAACTGGAAGGGAGCGTGGTACTCGCTCAAGGCCATCAGCATGAAGATACGGCCATTCTTCCAGTCAGGATAAAAGTGAAAATGAGAACACTGCAAAAATATTGATACTTTGCAGCTGATGTCATGAACACTCTCTGGGGTGTGAAGCTAACTGGAGGCACTACTCCGTCTGAAGCTCTGTTACTCAAGTTAGACAGTTTTTTTTGTTTTTTGTTTTGTTTGTTTGTTTGTTTGTTTTTTTCAGTTAGTCACTCTTTCTTTTGTGGAAAATCAAACACCTGAACAGGAACCACAAACGCTTGTATTCATCACAGGCTTCTAAAAAAGGGAAGTTTAAAATTTTCTAGAGTTTTCAGACGATCTTAAAAGGTTTTTTTGTCGGAGTTTGCTAATGTGTACATTGTGTCTCCATGGTAACTGCTACATGTATCTCTAATAGTGCAATGCTACTTTATAAAACACCCCCAGAATGATGTCACTGCAAAGTATCAATAATGTATATGAGTTACCTGAAGAAGTATGTGATGTCCTGTTTTATGCAGTATTCTGGTTTTTACTTTGGATATGGTTGATATCCTATGGAAAAAAATACAATTTTTAAGGGACACTATGAAACTTTTCTGGTCAGGCCTGTCAAAACACAACTCCAGGTTTGTTATTAATAAAGACCAATAATGCATTTTGTTAAAAAAGTAAAAACAGAACAAAGAATAAATAAATATTTGAAACTAGCCTGAAAATAACAGTGGGGAAAGTACTTTGTTGAGCTGGGGACAGGCAAGAACAACACATATATTTCAACTTTAACTCATGTACAGATTCAATTTTTGCAGTGTTTTTACAGGAAGAAACACAGGACTGTCAAAATAAAAGCCCTGTCTTACAAATGTTGTGGTGGATATTTATTTATTAAAAGTTTGTGTTTTTCAGAATGTGCACATATTATAGCCTTTGTTTTGGGTTAAAAACTAATAAAAATAAATGAAATAATCATAAATACTAAACTGTTGTAAAATGTAAATGAGTCCAGATGCAGTTTGGGTTTTGACCTTTACTTTTTTATATTCATTGAGTTTGTAAACAACTGTGAGATCAACAACACCAAAATTCAACCATAAAATGTTGAGGTATTTCACATTCAAGACAGTGTTATTGTATGGTATTAAACTAAGCAGGAAAATAAATAACATCCCCATGGAGAAAAACAGGTGGTAAACTTATAGACTGCATTTAACATTCTTTAAAGCAACAATTCAAATTAAAATGTATTTTGATATTAAATATTGGAAATTAGAGCCCCTATTTTTCAGTATAACTTCAATCACACATGTTTAAAGACTACACAGAAGACACACAGACAGTCTAAACAAACATGAAAGAATTAAAGAAGGCAAACAAACTGACGCAACATTTTGAACAAAATCTAACTTGCATTGTATTGTATTGTATTTGTCTCTCTCAGATTAACAGAGATTGGTAGCTCTGCAGAATTTTTTTTTGTTTTTCAGTCCTTTGTGTTATTGTTCTTTCTTTATCCCTTGTAAGCTGCCGTATTTGTTTCGATATGGAAGGGCCATGTGTGTCCCTGATTGGCTAATCCACCTGTCAATCATATCCATCTGAACTTGAGGAGTTTCATCAGTGACGAGACTCACATCTTCACAAAGTATTGGAGAAGTGTGTATTCTGGGCCATTTGGTAAATCCTTTCATTCAAATTTCAGTGTTGATAGTTATTAATATTGAGGAAACAAAAAAACAAAAACAAAAAAATTATTCAAGTTCTGACAAATCGTAAATATCGTCAAGCTCAAGTTGGTTTGGTCGCAGATCTTCAAACAGGTTGAGCCCCTCGTCCAGAACAGTCTTGATGGTTTTATAAACAGGACTCGGGTCTGGTCCAAAGTCGACTGGAGCCGTGCGAATTTGTGGAATCATTTCTGGTTTCACACTTTTAGATTTCTTTTCTTTGTTGTGCATTTTCTCCATTTCAGATCCGAGTGCTGCGTAGTCTTCCAGGTTCACTGACAGCGATGAAGCGGACTGACAGGAGCCGAGACAGGAGCGCACCCTCATGTCCACCTCCACCTGGAAAAAACAACTCATACATTTTAGAATAAATCATAAAACATACAGCACAGCACCCTCTGCAGGCAACAGCGGGGAATGAAGAACCTTGAAATTGCCAACTAGCAGCACAGGTTTAATGTAATAACGAACTGTAGGCTTAAAGGTGCACTATGTAACATTTTGTCACCTGCTTCTTTCTCTAGACTCTATAGATGGCTCTGTCTCTGCCTCAAGCTTGCCTCTCCACAGACCTGACCTGTAACAACTTGGTCTGGTTTCAGTTTACCGTTAAAGCTACCATCTGTAAGTTTATTTGATTTTTTATTTTTATTTTATTTTTTCTAATCCAGATCCAAATTCACTTAAATTGCTAAAATTTTGTCATACCAGTCCTAAAACAATAAAACCAGGAAAAGCAAATAAAAACAAAAAACATAAAATCATTTAAAAAAAAAACAGTAAATAAGTAAAATAGATCAAAAAATAGAATAAATAAAATAAATAAAAGGTACAGAGGACCACACAACTCACACGATGTTAAAAGCCAGAGAATAAAAGTGGGTTTTACAACAAGACTTAAAACACTTCACTGTGCGGGCTGTTCGAACGTTGGGGGGGCAGAGCGTTCCAGAGCTTAAGGCCGGCCACAGAAAAGGCCCGGTCCCCCCTGGTTTTAAGTCTCGTTTTAGGCACCATGAGTTAGAGTTGGCCCTCGGACCTTGGAGTGCGCGTGGGGGAATAAATCTGGATGAGGTCCAAGATGTACTGTAGGGCCAGGCCATTCAAAGCTTTAAAAACAAACAATAAAATCTTAAAATCAACTCTAAAACGGACTGAAAACCAGTGCACCAACGCTAAAACTGGGGTAATGTGCTCATGTTTTTTCGTTCTAGTTAAAAGGCGCGCAACAGAATTTTAGACTAACAGTGAGCGAGAAAGTCCATGGTGGCTGATGTCAGAAAAAAGTGCATTACAGTAGTCAGGCAAAGCTGTCTATCAGAAAGAAGTAACATAGACAGCATCTAGTGGTGAAGTGTGAGAATGCAACAGGGGTGGGTCGGCCAATCTAACTGCAGATGGTAGCTTTAAATAAAAATGACCTGTATTGTTTTATATAAAGCATTTTAAAAAGAAAACAATGAGCCAGTGTTCCTTATCCTTATATATTTAAATAGAAGAGCAATGAAGCTAAAGAGGTGGCTATATGTTACACGATTGCCTTAAAAAGTACAACAAATTATGATATATCTTAAGTTTTTTGTTTCTTTGTTTGTTTTCAGTTTTTTGTTGTTGGTATTTTTTTAATGTTTTGCAAATGGAAGGAAAAGTTGAAGTGAACTTAACTACTGCTTCACTTAAATTTGTGGGCCTCACCAAGTCAAAAATCATATGGTCTAAAAAATAACAATTTCTGACCATCTCTAGGCATTTTAACTGCTCCCATCTAAAACACTCTACATCAAATACTACATAGCAGTGAGAATAGGGGGATGGGAGGGCATCTGACGCAATTCTCACCTCAGTTCGCAGCAGCTCTTCCACTTGTTTTTGGACTTTTTCTTTGAGTTCTGTTATCTTCAGCTCCAGACTTTCCGACCGTTTCCATAGAGACGTCAAGTTTTTAGTCAAATCCTCGGCGGCCTTTACAAACCTCACCTGCAGAGCTGACAAAAGTAAAAAGTATAATATAATAGTATAATAATAGTAATTCCTGAGCCTATCCACATGAAATAAAATCTGGAATTTAATTTTATTGAACTTAGAAATGATTTTTTTTCACAATTTGCTTCAGAAAGTACGCCCATTATCCAACTCACAAGATGTTGTTGAAAGGACTTTAAATTATAAGACTGATAAGACAAGGTTTTGGAGCTAATCCCAAACAAATAATGATAGGTCTAACATTTATGGATGATGAGGTTGAATAGTTAGTGTCTTACAAAGCAATAAAACCCCCACAGAGTTATATAGGCCCTTGCCCTCCTTCTTAAAATCACTAAATTCTTGTGGCAGTAGTCTGGGTTCTTTACCAGCCTCGCTCATTATGTGTTCCCGGTTGTCGTGGTAAATCCGTGCTGTTGCAGCCATTGTCTTCTGCATTGCATCCTTATAAGTTTTTTTCAGTTTACAAATTTTCCTCAGTTTATTCTCCACTTTCTTCTCGTGCTCCAGAATCAAACCCTGGATCCTGCAGCCAGACGGGCAGCTCGAAACCTGCACCACAGAGAAATAAAAGCTACAAATAAATCTATGTAACTTCTTTTCTGGTGAGTGATAACAACCTGTTTGTCTCCAGATATGGTGTAGCTTTGCTCGAAATGTTCCACAGTACAGTATTTAACTCTATGGAGACAAAGTCATGCAACCCCACTACCCCCCCTGCTCTGTACTTACTTCGTTCTCCAATTTTATTTGATTTCTCTTTGATTCACATAGTCTTCAGATTGAGAACGAATACTGTGGTTTAAAATGTGCAAATTATAAATGTGCAAATGATAACATAATGATTCAAGGGTGTGATTATAGCTATACAGTAGACACAAGCATAATCGATCTTCTTTAAAAACACTAAGAGATCTCCGGATCCCTACTTATGACATCACAAATCTGGAAAGTTTCAAACCAAGTATTTTTTGTGAGGTTCAGATTCATCAGACTGATGTGAATGAAACGAAACACAACTCCAGGTATGTTTTTGCTGGGAAAAATAAGATGTGTCCTTAAACTCTTGTTGATACGTTTGTCTTTAGTGTTGAGTTGTTTTTACCCAGTCTTCCTCAGTGCACAGGGGCAGGTGGGTTTTCCTTCCACAGTGATTCATCCTCCTGTTCTGAGTCAGTGACTGGCGGTTATTTTGGTTCAGTCTCTCGCAAACTGTGGACAGAGACACAGGACAACACCACGGTCAGTGCAACTTATCAAATATTTATTGAAGTACTCAAACGACTTTTGGACTTAAATATTGCACCATTTCATAATAAGAATTAGAACAGTGTGTTATGTGTGGGCGATGTGAGTAGGCCGACATAACTTTGTGTTCTCTGACCACTACAAGAGTACAAGTAAAAAATGACTTTAGACAACAAAAACAATAAAAACTCACTTAGTTTTTAACGCTTAGTTACTTAGTTTAGAGCTGCACGATGTAACTTTTATGATGAAGTGTCCACCACTTTCTTGTCTCCATCTAGATTGTTGCTTTACCTGGAACAAATTTCCATGGACACAACCAGGCCAAAGATTTAAACTATATAAATAAAGAAATACTGAATAAATGCAAGATTGATATTTTAATACCAGATACTGTGGAGAATTCCAGGCAAAGCGACAATATCCCCACAAGTATAAAGTTTACAAAAAAGTTACATGTTCCACCTTTATCAACGATCTATCTAAGGAACAGGTCATTAGTGGAGTCTTGCCCAAGGACACAACAACAGCATGTATACTAGAGTCACTACTGCAGCTTCCAAATCCAAATATATTTTGTTTTCAATTTTTATTTGCTTTGGAATTGTTGGTCATTTTCATCATTCTGAAATCCTTGGATAGTAAAAAACAAAAATACAACCCATTGACTCTACTACTTCTAACATAGGCTACATTTCAACATTGAACTTATCTTCTTTTGAAATAAAATAAATGTCTATATGCACACATTTAGCTTACTTTTGTGTTGTAATAGTGTTTAAATAAAAGCGTTACCAGTTACATTGATGATAAATGGGTGAAAAATGGAGAAGAGGCCTCAGTGAAGTGAAGCAAAAGTCTTTATTGATCAAGTCCAGAGCAGTTTCAGAACAAACACGGCAACGAAGGTCAGTGCAGTTTTACAAATATTTGAGTTTGTGGCAAACTACTGATCAGGAAAACATTTACATTTACAAGATGTTTCCATGAGATATTACACAAATTTAACAAACAACTAATTTAACTGACTCATTTAGTACAAATTCATTTATGCCACAGAAAGAACCTTTATCTAAAATCATTTAAACTTTGACATAAACATTCAAAGCACGGAATTATGCATATTATTAGCACAAGTCTAGCTACCTGACTAGAAAATGCCAACAATAAATTAGCGTTGAGTAGGTTTTCCTGAAAATAATCATAATTTTGAATTGATAATGTTCAAAGATGCACTCGAGCGAAGGGTCGCCACCTGCTTGTTTCCATGGAGAAGTTTAATGCCCTGTGTAGAAGCAAAGCAATAACACTGAGAAAAGTTCCGCAGTAAACCTTTAACTGCTAATTCTGTAAGCATTCTCTTTTGTATTTTTTAGGTAAACCAGTGACTGATTGTGTTTATGAATAAATATGAGTTTGTCAAGAGGTATGGATTTTCTGTAAACCAGTTTTATATTGTGTTTAAATCATTTTTGCTCTAAAACGTCGCAGAGCGTATGAACATTCTCACTTTTTTCAGACTGTAGTTTTGGGGCTTATATGTCGACCACACCACTCCATTTCCCGCGTCTTTGTTAGCTCCTTTGTAGTAGACACCATTTAAATTTGCAGTTTGGCATTGATTGTACCACCAACCTCCACCGTACGACATCGCGCAGTTTTCATTCGCGTTGTCGCTATCTCGATCGTACGTGCTAAATTTCATTCCGTTGTGCGTTGCCATGGCGTCCCCCGCATCCCCGCTGTACCCCGAAACTTGCAACGGAAATCCCTCTGCTTCCGAACCGACTTTTACGACGTACTCCGCACTGGCCACGCCCCCTTCCCAATCCTCGAGCTCAACTTTAAGCAGCGTTTCGCCCTGATTGGTCAAGAGATGTAGGTTTTGATTTCCGAGCCAAAATTCACCGTTCCCTTGCTCGTCAATTTTACCGAATCCGTTGCGGTACTCGGCCCAAGTGCGGTTGAAGCTAAGTGCGCCGTTTTCGCGTTGCTGCGCTAAAAGCCAGCCGCCCATGAGCCCCTCCTGCTGGCAGTAAACGGTCACTGCAGGAGCTGAGGGAGCCGGTTGGATCTTAAAGAGTCCATTCGATTCTCCTTTCAGGTGGAACTGTTGGATCGCCACGCAATCTGCAGACACAGCCCAAAAGTGGAGTTAGCGATCGAGCTGGTGTCAAGAGAAGACTTTTTAAAATCTACTGCAGTTTATTTCTTGTAGTTTTTTATTTTGTAGTTGCTAAGCTAAATTTTCTTTCGTTCTTGACGTGAGCCGTATAATTGCATAAGTTTACAGATGTTTTTTTTAACTGTAACTTTCTTTGTAACACTGGTTTAGCGTTTGTAAATTAGAGAATGTGCATTTTATTCGATTTTATAACAACTTTTGTTATGTCAAAATCAACAATAAACTTCTCAGTTCACTTCATATTTTGGTACATAGGGCTAGCTAACGGTGTAGCATAACTCTAGCTTTTGTTTTTCTAAATTTTGCGTTCAGAATCTATAACGGGCAAGCAGAACAGAGATGTTTTTCGCATTTCTTAAACAGATATTAATAATAAAGATCTAAAACATAAACATGGACTTTTTTTTTGGCGGTAAAAATAGTTATTCGTAAGCCTTATTTTTTTTTAAATATTGCTTACATTAGCTTTCTCTTAGAGGCGCCATTTTGAGGACTTTGCACTGTTCAAAATATGTTTTGTTTCAAATTGTTAAATGCTACTGCAACCATGCTTATTTTCCATCTCTCTGAAAAACCCTATATAGATTCTCAAAGCATTATTTTTTTTTTTCTATTGCCATTACTCCGATGTTTTGGTACCTTGGCCCACGTAGTCAGCTTGGCGCTCGACCCGTGGGCTCTTGAAACTTCGTGCGTGGAAATCTGGAACGTCATCTTCTACGTTATCTGTCAAAAACGCCCCCAGATCCAGCCCTGCGTCGCCACCAAATGGATCTGAAAAGGTGGTTTTGGAGTCGACTAGACTTCCCTTTGAGCTGGATGTGTAGTGAACAGTTTTGGTGCCAGAGCTGTAAGTGGGAAACAGCGACCCTGTGCCTCCTTTACTGAAAGCCTGGCACTCCGGACCTCCTTCTATGTATTCTTCCATTTTCTGAACAGGTCCGTCGCCAGTATCCACGACGACTGTGCGGACACGTTTGGTGCAGGAGACGCTCTTTGTGCCAACACTGGGCTGCCCAAGTGAGTCAAACCCTCCGTCAAAAGTGAAGGGGTCACCGCCTCCTCCCAGCTGAGTGATGGATTTGGAGGTAGAGGTGGAAGAAGAGCCAGAGGAGGAGGTGCCTGGGGAGAGGGAAGTACCTGGGCCTGGTCAAGCAGAAGTATACAGCAAGGCCAAAAATTCAAGTTAATGCATCTGATATAAATATGTATTCAACAGATACATATGTACTCTAGTTTATGAAACTGTTTACCTTTTTTCTGTACCATTTTTGGTTCTAAAGTTACATACATTTTAAACATACCATGTATGCAACATGGAACAAAAAATATTTCCCAAATGTCAAAGACCTGCAAATCATGTAAATAAATGTATGTATTTCATCATATCTTATGTTATTCGATCTTTGAACTGTTGATGAAGGTACATGATTTATTTATTTTTTTTATGTATTTAAAATGATAAAAATTTGCTTGGAAGGACTGACATATTTTATAGAAATAGTTTCCTTTCATTTTGAAGTAATATTAAAATATTCTGAAGAAAATAGATGACAAATTATGCAAAATCATGCACCTTCTACTTGTTTGCACAATTTTCCCTCTGTTACTTTTCCCTCTGTTACCATGACCTTTCTTAATAAAAAATCTCATTACTCAAAATGTAAGAGGTTTTTCAGCCTAATCTTGTACCATATGGTAGAAAATTATATTAAGCAAATATTCAAACCAGTTTGTTAAGGATATGTAAGTGACAACCGGTAGTTATCGCTGTTTGTATTTATTGCCCAAAAAGTGCTGCATATTTTATTCCCTCCGTTACTGACATGAGCTTTTAAATTTTTTGTCAACAACTTGAAAGAATATCACAGGGTTAACTTTACTCTGTTGGAGTGCTAACTCTTTCCTACATTCACCTTGCTTATTTCAGTAGTCCCTCTAGTTTCTGAATAAGAGCTATTTGAATGTAAAAAACCTGCCCCTGTTTCCCTCCATTACCGCTTGACCGGACCCACCTTTGGAGATGGTGGCGGGAGAGGTGCTGGAGCCCTCCTGCTCCAAGTACAGCTGCACTGTTTTCACCTGAAAGACATTCCAAATAAGTGGAAATTAGTTATGTTGGGGGTAATTATAAACAAGCCCTAAAGGGATTACTCAGATATGAGCAGCATGTTTTTGTGAGGGATTGAAAAGATTAAATGAATGCGGAAAGTGACGCTGCCAATCTGCACCACTACCAACACTCATCCACATTCATCCCAGGCAATGTGGGTGAAGTGTCTTGCCTAAGGACACAACCCTGAGGTTGGGAGACAACAGGTAACTTTTCTGATAGGGGGTTGAGCACTTGCTTTGTTCCATGATGTTATTAATTTGCCTGGGATGTTCCAAGTGTAGCACTAAATTGAATCTATAGGATTTGATAGCTTTTCATTGATCTGTAATGTGGCGAATATAGCGAACCCTCCACCAGAAAAGACATGGAGTGCACCTCTGAGATTCTTAGATGACCCTAACTATTACTTGGAGTGTTAGTACTGTATGAATCTTCACCTCGTTGAATACGTCCAGCCCGTCTGTTTTCTGCTGAGCCGTTTGTGGGTCACTGGACTTGTAAATGCTGTCGACCACTGCGTCCTTCAGCGGACGGCTCTTCATCACATTTAGAGTTCCCACAAACTCACCCACATTCTGGTTCGTCAGCGTGTTCAACTGGTTCATCTGAAATAAAACAGTAGTATTAGCAGTAGCAGCAGGAACAGCGTAATGACAGGTTCAGCATGTACTTAGAGTCGGTTACTTTCAGATTCCCTGTTACACCAACTGTGTGGGTTCATACTCATCAAATAACAGAGAACCTTGTGGATTCTTTCCGCAGACCCACACCTCACCCAAACCCACACTCCGCCAAGGCCAGAGGTCAGTGTGGTCAGGGCGCAAAGGTCAGAGGTCAGTGTGGCAGAGGGCATCTGTTTTAATCACTTTAGGTCTCACAAGTCCCGAACCACACTGCACCTGCAGTCTGTGTACACTAGCGGTGGGACGAAGTTGTTGTTTTGCAAATCTCAAGTAAGTCTAAAGTCTTTGACCTCAAGTCCTAGTCAAGTCCCAAGTCAAAGACAGGCAAGTTCGAGTCAAGTCTTGAGTCACTGGCCCATAAGTCCAAGTCAAGACCAAGTAGTCTGTTTTGAGTTTCAAGTCTTTAAACCAAAATACCAAATATAGCTTAGATTTTTGCAATTTATATGATTTATATATGAACAAAATTGTAGTTTAAAAAAATCATAGTGTATTTGTATATGATTATTTATAGACTAAATAAGAGTTGTAGAAGAGTTTTGAATGTTTTGACAAGATCTTAGAGTGAATCATTACAGTCAGAAGAGAAAGAATTCAGATTTAAAAGTGCTTCTCAAGTCTTCTCAAGTCACAGGCCTCAAGTCCTAGTCACTGGTCTTCAAGTCCAAATCGAGTCCAAAGTCTTAGTCCATTTTATCAAGTCAAGTCTCAAGTCCTAAAAATAGTGACTCAAGTCTGATTCGAGTCCAAGTCACGACTTGCAAGTCCCCACCTCTGGTGTACATCCGGCATAAGTCTTAATAGTAAAGTGTGTAAAGTATTTTGTCACATCTTTCTTGTCCTTCTCACTTCCTTAAGAGATTACTTAGAAGATAAAACAGCAGTGTTATTTTTTTAATTATTATTACCAGATGTCTTTTTAATGAAGTCTAGTTCTCTTTCAGTTCATGGAAAAATGAAAAACATATTATTTCATCAAAGAAATCTGCCCCATCCACACCAGATCTGCAATCTGAACAAAAAGCCCCACCTGTTTCTCCAGAGCCACATGTTCCTCGTGGTTCACCTCGTAGGTGTTATACGCCTTACAGGAGCCCTTACATGTGCGCAGCTTTATGTCAATGTCCACCTGGAAAACATCTCCTCCAGGGTTAGGTCACCAATAACTGTCACTGAGTCATCAACAGGTTTCTAAAGAATACAGTACCTCCAGCTTCAGCATGTCAGCCACCTGATCCTTCACTCTGTCTTTCAGAGCCGCCAGGACCTGCAGCTGCTGGTCGATCCTGATTTTCATGTCTGTAATTCTCTGCCTCAAAGTCTGCGCTATGTCCATGTAGTTGTTGTCGTTACCTTCAACACACATTTTTTTCATTCCATAAATGTATTTTCAAAAAACCTTTACACATTTTTGGAAATGTTATTGCTTTGTGTAGAATGTTCTACAGTAGAGATTAAACCTATCTCAAGGGAGCCAGATATATGTAACATTATAGCCAGATCTGTGGAGAGGCAACCATATTCACACAGAGAATTATTGTATGTCATTGGATAAATGCTAGATAAGGGTGTTTACTGTTACCATGGAACATTTTAGGCAAAGCAATACCATCTCCATGGAGACAAGCAGGTGATAGACCCTCCACCAGAAAAGTTGCACAGTGCAACTTTAAAGCAGCACTGTATAACAGTTCAGGAGCGGAGCATTTCCACCAATTTAAATATTTTTTCTTGAGTTTTCAGACAATTGTAAAACATTTTGAACAGTGTTTGCTAATGTGTGCATTGTGTCACCATGGTAACCGCAAAAAAAAAAAAAAAAAAAAACATTCCACCATGAATCTTTAAATGTTTCTATTCACCTGAGGCAAGAGTGAGCTTCTCACGCAGGAAGTCAAAGGTCTGTCTGGTGACCTGTTCAGCGTTGCGGTGTTTGGCTTTGTTCTGGTCCAGGACATCTCTGATTCTCTCTATTCTTTTTAAGAAATCGTGATCGTATTGCTCCAACAAACCCTGGATCCTGCAGCCTGATGGACACTTGGGACCCTGTCAAAATGTCAACAAAGGAAATAATCTGAATCTGAAGAAATTTCTTGATATTGGTGTTCATTGAAAGTGCTTTTGTTCCTGTCTTAGTCTGTACAGTTTCAGTCACCTGAATTTTTTCCTTTTCTGGACACCATTTTGAGATTTTATTTTTTTCTTTTTAAACATTAATTGAATATTTGTTTGTTTTGAATTGGTACTTATTTAGCTTAACCGGAAAACCACTGGACAGTCTATGGTAACATTTAACAACAGGATTGGTAGAGTAATATTATATTGATGAGTCAGATATAAAATAAATAAATAAAATAAAAAATGTCTGTACCCATTCATCGTCTGTGCAGAAGGGCCATTCTTTTTGTGTGGCGCATTTTTCAGACCTGGTGTTTGGAATGACCGGCCGTCCTCCTCTGGGATCGAGCTACAAAAAAAAAGACAACATAAAAATACAGTTTAAACAACAAAAATCTATTCCATATGAACTTCTCCTCCGCATCCTCTGCTTCGTCCTTGGCAGGTTTAAGGTTTTGTTTTGCCCGATATGTTCCACAATATGCCATTAAAATGTATTTGTTTCTATGGAGACAAGAAGGTGTCACCCTTAAGCCAAGTTACAAGTCAGATCTGCGGAGAGACAGCCCGACTGACAGAAGGTTTTTCAAGGTATTTCTTAGCAATATTTCTGTAATTGAATGAATGCATGATAGGTTAAATTACATCTCATCAGAAAAGTTACATAGTGAGCTTTAACTGTAATTTAAAGAGCACATATAACGCTATTTTCTGATCTATGTTATAATGTTTCCTCATCACAAGCATACCTGGAGTTGTGTTTTGTTCCATTCATACATGTTTAACACAAAAACCCTTCTTTCAAATGGAAAATACTCTGTTGCACCTTGTGATGTTATGTGGTAATAGAGGAAGTGCTCCACTGTGTTTTTAATGTCCATACACCATCACTAGAATCATTTGGATAGTTTCAGACAGGAATTGCCAATCTCTACTGAACAAATGATAAAAGGTGGCTGTTAACTTGAAAACTACCTCTTCACAGCATCGCAAGGTGGAACACAGCATTTTCACTGTTGGAGACAGGCTAATAATGAAAGAATGAAACAAAACTTAAATCCAGGTCTGTCTTAAACTTCAGAAGAGTCAATTTTAGGTAAAACAATATAGCATCTTTAACATCTTACCACTGCAGCAGCCGAGGAAATCAGCACCAGCACCAAAACGGTCGCCTTCATGATGATGGGTTAAAAGTGAATGATGGTTCAGGTCTAAGTTGGGCTCATTTGAACCCCTCTGAGTTATTGATCTCAGTGACATTGATTTGTTTACTTGGGGTAAAGTACAAGCCAGACTCACTTTTACTGTCAGTGACCACAGAAAGGCAAATAACACAAGAACTATCTGTGGGCTCATTAGAACAAATGTGTCATAGTGTAATATATTTCTTCACTGGGAAGGAACTAGTACACCGCAAAAAATCAAATCTAGCTGAAGATATATGTCATTGTTCTGCCTAGAATGTTCCACAGTACGGCATTAAACAGATCTACAGGTGGTTTTATAGCTCAGAAATATCTTATTTTCCACACTATTAGGCGCTCTGGATTATAAGACACACTGTCATAGAATGGTATAAATAAACCGCACCGGACTTTAAAGGAAACACAACAGTTGGATGGGTCAGTCGGACTTTGTTTGGCGCATTCATGGTGACTCTGGGTTTGTTCAGTTGTGGAGTGTAGGGAGGGTTCTGTCTGGAACCGCTGGATTGTTGGTGTGTTCACTCAGTTGTTCAGTTGTGTCTAGAAGTGGCACATTGCACTCACTTTTTCGGTTCGTTCCTCCATTCCGTTCCTCGTCGGCGTGGAGTGATGAGTGTGGCTGTGGGTGTTTTTCACTGTGCGGTCACTGTCTGTTCCGTGTGTGTTTGCGTGCGCTGCGGGTGGTGCGGCTTTGTAGTTCACTGAAATCGTGCTGGGACACCCGAGTGGATTCGTGTCTAGGGCGCTCTGGATTGTGGGGCACACAGTCGTTCTTTGATGGGGTTGGAGGCTTATAAGCACACCCTATGCTGCGGAAAATACCATACCTATAAAAATCTGACTGTGAGCAGGATCGCTTCTCCACAGATCTGACCTGTAACTTGGTCTGGTTTGTTCTTCAAGGAGATAGAAAGATTTAATACTGTGAAACAGAGCCTCCACCAGAAAAGTTACACAATGCACCTTTAAAATAAGAAACAAAATCTTATGTTGCTTGAATTAAAAAAAAGACTTATTCCCCTGATCAGTTTACTTATCAAGTTGATTCTAATTATGGAAAATGTTCTTAATTTAAGTCACAGAATAAAAAAAAATGAATGTCTTAAAATCAGAACATTGAAAAATAAAATACCTGTCTGTTATATATACACTGTAAAAAGTTGGATAGACTTGTATTAAAACCGTATTATCTTACCTTGAATAAATTTGACTTGACAAGTAAAACTGGGTAGAGAAATTTCAAGCAATAAGAAGTTTGAAGAGCATGTATTAGAGTGTAAGAGCAATCTTAACTTTCCAGTATTACTTTTTTTGTATTTACTTTTTTTTTTGCAGAATTGTGGCTATTCTTACAGTCACAAGCAGTTTCTATTAGATCTTTAGAGTTTTATTCAGTCAGTGGTTTAACATTCTCTTTTAATTCTCTTTAAATTTATTTTCAATTTTGATTCGATTTAACATTGAACTTAGATCTTCACTATAAAAAATGAAACATCAAACCTATTTATTTAATATACATGTAGCTTTTTCTATATCATTATTTTATGTTGAAGTTGATTCATTTAAAAATAAAAACATGTAAATACGGTTGTTACTTTTCTTTTCTTTTCTTTTTTTAAACTGGTTTAATCCCTGGTCTGGTTACAGATTTATTCCCATCATTAAAAAACAAAACAAAACAGAAATACAAGAAGGCACAGAGTCTTACAAACGTGTCATTATGTTGTATTTATTTACTCTTAAAACAAAATTCTGAATGCTAAGTTTCATGTTATTTCTCTATTAAATATAAAGAAAAAAGACTTAAAATCACTCAGCCACTGCGGTGATAGTGTCTCTGTACTAATCATAGACTGTATAGATATATATGTATTACAGTCTATGGTACTAATAGTGGTTGTTATGGTGGAATTCAGTTTTCTTGGCACAAACGAATGGCAGAGTGTCGTTGCAGTCGGCAGAGCCCCAGTGCATCTGATCTGGAAATATCATTAAAAAAATAGTGTTAAAACTAATACAATGAAATATATCTTGGTAAGACTGATTATTACATGCTGCCTTTGTCATCAACTCCATCCAAAATTCAGAGACAATTTTTCCACAAGGAAGGTCGTTTCTGACAGTTTAAACATTGATTTGACAAAAGAAAAGTGTTGTAATTTATTTTTATTTGTCAAATCTTATCTATTTATTAACTATGCAAAACTAGAAAAGACTAGCTTCTTAAATCTAATGATAGTTATATGTTTTTGAAAAGTGAACAGTCTAACCTGTCATATGCACTTTAATCTTCTTTGAGTAGATTTGATTTAATTTGATAAGACAGACAGTTTTCAGACACCACTAAGGTAAATTTTACTGCGTAAGTGCTCGTTTTTGTTACACTTCCTATTGTGAGTAAGTCTAAGTCTCTCACCCTGCTCTTTCAGATATGATTTAGTTTAGTTTAGGTTTTGTTTTTTTCATATTTGTTGTCTAAAGTACAGAATTACTTGTTTATTAGATTTATTTGAATATTAGTTTTACTTGTATATTAGATTTACTTGTATTACATCCATAGTTGATCTTGAGGCAGCTGTGCTCTCTGAGTTTGCACTCCTCACTGGACCAGTCCTCAAAGTCAAACTGTGAGCCATCAGTCCACATCCAGAGACAGGCCTGAAAAAGATCAAAGACTAAACCAGGACTAAACCCAGATTAAAACAAGACTATAACAACACTGAACCAGGACTAAACCTGGAGTGAAATGCTAAAAACTAAATGACTACAATAGATCTGAAAAAGGAGTATATTAGGATTGAACAAGGACTAATAAAGAAAACCAGGATTAATTAAAAGTCATATTACACAAAACTGTTGTAATGTTGTCACCTCCTTAAAAACATACCTGGAGTTGTGTTTTGTTTCATTCACACATGTAATCCTGGTTTATTAGTCTGTTTACATCTCCAAAGCTCAAAGTGCTCTGTTCCACCTTGTGATGTCATGAAATGGTAGTTTTTTAAGTTTACAGCTCCTTTAACATTTAGTTTAGTAGAGACTGATAATTTCAGGACTGAAATTAGCCAAATGGTTCTAGTGAAGGTGTATGGAGTGTAATGACACAGTGGAGCACTTCCTGCATTACAACATCACATCACAAGGTGGAACAGAGTGTTTTCTGTTTGAGAGAACTCATCTTAAATACACAGGTTTGTGTGTTAAACATGTGCATGGCTGTGGAAGTGGAGGTCACCATCTAGTGGCAAGAGGGAGATTTTTTGTTCTTAAATTGTCAGAGACTGTACTAAAGTGTCTATATCAATAAAATGTCAATCTATTTATTTAGATTTAAAATGTATTTTAAATAGGCCTATAGGCTAAAAAAAATAAGGAGCCAGAACTCAACTAGGACTAAACCAGGATTTAAAATGCACTTAACCTTGGCCAAACCAGGACTTAACTAGAGCTGAACAAAGCTTAATCTAGAGCTTAACTAGGGTTAAACCAGGTCTGAAACTGAACTAAACCAGGTCTAGACCCAAAGTGTACCGTGACAGCATTGGTGCCTCCGACCCAGCTTTCGGGGAATTGATGTGTGTTTCCTTTGGTCAGGACCTGCAGGAAGTGTTTGGTTTTGGAGCAGTGCACCGAGGCCAGATGCCCCTCCTCAAACTGACAGTACATCTGCAACACACAGCACAGTATGTCTGTTTGTGTAGTAGTAGTAGTAGTAGTAGTAGTAGTAGTAATAGTAGTAAATCCATGTAGAGGTATGAGGGGTACTCAGCTGTAGGATTACAGTAAATGCTGACCTCTGCCTCAGCCCAGGTCTTGGGGGAGTCGATGTAGATGTAACAGTGATCGTCAAACTGACTCCAGTGTTCAGGGCAGTCCGGCTTCTTCTCTGAAACTAAGAAAACTTGAGTATTTATACCAGATGCCCTTCCTGTTGCAACAAGCCTTATTAAAGTGATTGGATTAAGTGAACTAGTGTTAACTTTTGCCTGCATAATTTGAGAAACAAATATGACAATATTTTAGCACTTTGTGGCACACTAAGTTTAGATAAATTAAATCCATAATGTTTGTTTTTTAATAGTCAAACTTGAAGCAAAGACTAATCTAGCATAAAAGCTTGTGCGGCTGGAGAAGCATGTCTCAGACACTGGGACTCTGAGCACAGGAGCTTCACAGGGCTGTGTGCTTTCCCCTCTGCTCTTCCCTTTACACCAACTATTACACCTCCATCACTCTGTAAGGCACGTCAAGTTGGAGACGACACCATTCTCAACACATCTCAGAATTGAAACTACTCACTTTAACTTGCCCTGGTGGAGTTTTGTACTTGCTGTTCTTTTGTCCTTTGAACTTGACACAATTTTTTTATTTACTTTCATTAGCATGCTTCAGATTGATAGCTGCCCTTTTTTGTATTGTAATTTATTGAAATTTCTTCAAAAAAAACAAAACAAACAAAAACCTGCACTTCTTTGTCGAATGAAAGACTTTATCAATACTCCGATATATTTTGTTATTTGCAATATCAGTATTGTGTAGACTGTTATGGCGATGACTGTTATCCTGCAAAGTGCTGATGAGAGGATTGTCCATTTATAAAAAATTTCACATTTATTGCTGCATTTCAGATGCCATTATTGCATTCTAATTTAATATGAATGAATACAGATGGGGTCGCAGCTAAAATTCATATTGTTAAAATGCAAAATGTATGTTGCAATACAGTAAGTTCTTGGATTTAGTCAGTAATTGAAAACATCAACTTCAACAGTTGTGAATTTACCTTTTGAATGTTTCATGGCAAAGTACAGTGTAATCAATAAGGAAAACTGGTCCTTGCCCCCCAACTACCAATATGAATAAATGTATTAATATTCTATAAACATACCAAGATGCTCCTCTTCCTCCTCCTCCTCCTGGCCATCACATTTAGGTGGGTCTTGTCCGTGCATCTTCTTGCTTCCTGGGACCTCTTCTCCGGTGATGGGGTTCACGCACCAGCACACGCCCAGAGACGCCCAGCACTGCCTGCGCTCAAAGTTCCCATTTTCATCACACTGTGGGAGGTACTGGCCCAGGTTTGGGTCTGTGATGTTGTTCACGAGCCAGCGACAGACTCCTCCCACATGTGACCCCACCTCTTTTGGGGCGGCTTCACCGAGGGCAAAGAGGGCGGCGAGGACGAGCACGTGCTTCATGGTACAGAAGAAAGAGATCTGGGAGAAAAACAAGTTTCTACTTAAACTTTGCACTAAGCAACTTTTGGGGTTGGGGATCCATCACCTGCTTGTTTCTATGGATATGTCATTGCTCTGCTTGGAATATTCCACAGTATGACTTTAACCAGCTCTACCTTACATTTATTCAATTAGAGGTGGTTATATATATAAACATTCTGACTGTGAGCGTGGTCATCTCTCCACAGATCTAACCTGTAACTTGGTCTAGTTTGGTCTCCATGTAGATAAAAAGATTTAATGCCATACTGTGAAACATTCCAGACAAAGCAATAACATCTTCAGAAGTTACACAATGCACCTTGTTTTCTTATAGAAAATTTATAGTTGTAAAAATATTCAAATTAAACTGCTGATCACAGGTTTTCATGTTATTTTAATGATTTCCCAATTTGGGGGGATAGTGTCTGTGGTGAATATTTATTATAACTGTTTGTGAAGTAAAGTTTAAAAGAAAACAGAATCCACCTATGTCACCAAGTTAGTAAAGTCCATTCAAAATGCATTGTTCTCACACTTTTAACGCTCATTTCATAAAATGAAGGTGTTTGTTTAAGGTGTTCATGTATTGTTATTTGTTTAACTATAACTATTGTGTAATTTAGAGGTTATGGCCATTGTTTTGCATTATGGCTGCTAGTTAACATGAGTTTCAGTTACAGACTTTCCTTTTCTGGACATTGTTTTGAGGGGTTCTTCTGTTCAAAAAAGTTAAAATGTAATCTATAATCTGTAAATTTTCATCATTTATTTTTATTTTTATAGTGATTATATGTAACAGTAGGATTGGTAAAGGTAATGTTAGTAGTGAAGTAAAACATGTAGTCAATATTTATGTATTTTAAAACATTGTTGGTGCAGAACACCTTGAACTATAAATTTTTAAAAATCTGGTTTTACAGCTCAAAAATATCTAACAAAACAGGCATTCTAATTCTGTGAGTGAGGTGGCCTCACCACAGATCTGACCTGTAACTTGGTCTCCATGTAGATAGAAAGGTTTAATGCCATACTCTGAAACATTCCATACAAGCAAGAACATCTCCATGGAAAAAGCATTTGACGGATCTTCCACCAGAAAAGTTACACAATGCAGCTTTAAGCCGCTTTTCAAGTTCTCACTAATCCTTGTAACTGCTGAATTTCCAAACCACTATCTTGTAAAACCGAACTGGAGAGGAATTATCTGTTAACTCTAAATAACTAAATTACTTGTTTTTGTTGTTGTTTTTTACAGCTAGATTTCATGCCAGTTTAACATAAGAAAGTTGCACTAATACGTTTCATTTAAAGTCATGTTATTGAAATCACTTTTAAAAATATATGAATAAGTGTAATACAGTAGACTTACTGACTAAACATTCTCAAACTAACTAAAACAACTCAGTATATATGAGTATTGTGTCGCTCACCTGTGTACGACTCAGGGTTTGTGCAGAGGGACCATGCAGGTGTTCAGCTCATCTGCCTTATATCCACTCCTCTTATCTCCAGGTTAATCCGATACTATTCTCCAGCCCATTTTACATTTTACAACGTGTTATGTGAGCTCTTCAGTACATGAATACAAGATTTTTATTGTGGTGAGGTAACAACAACATCAGGAAAATTTTAGTGGACTTTCTACTAGAAAAGTTACATGGTGATATGAATATTCTCAATCAAAATCCATTTTTTTTCTCTCTCTCTCTCTCTCTCTCTCTCTCAAAACAGCAATTTGAGTGAAGAGGCACCTTTTGGTTGGTGGGTACACACTTAACTCTCTGCTCCACTATTTGCTCCATCACAAGATTATACTTAAAGATACAGTATGTAACTTTCTGAAAGTGGAACGTTGCCTGTGTGATTCCATGGAAATAAAAAATTAAAAGCAGATACATGTTATGCTGTATTCTGAATATTATAGGCCAGGGGTGTCAAACTTAAATTCACAGAGGGTCAAAATTAAAAACTGGGACTAAGTTGTGGGCCAAACTGAATATTTATTGAAAATTTCAACAAGATCTGCATGTTTTCTCTTCTTTCAAGATATGTAATGTTAAAACTTTTCTTATTAAAATAAATGTAATAAATATAAATGCAGATAATAGTTTTGCTTAAACAGTGAATCCAGAACAAGCATAGTATAAAATAATAACAAATTTTAAATAAATAATCTCTCTATAGTCTATCTGTAGCTGGCGGGCAGCTCTAATACATATTTGATATGATCTCACGGGCCAAACGTAATTCATTTGGCCCTCGTCCAGGCTAAATAAGAGTCAGGTTTGTGGAGATGCAAGCCCACTCACAGTAAGTACGTTTTCAGTGCAATGAATACAACTGAAATTAAAATAATAAATATATATTTGAAGGTGCTTCGTGTAACTTTTCTGGTGGAGGGTCCATCAAATACTTTTCTCCATGGCGATGTTATTGCTTTGTCTGGAATGTTTCACAGTATGGCATTAAACCTTCCTATCTTCGTGGAGACCAAACCAGACCAAGTTACAGGTCACATCTGTGGAGAGGCCACCCCGCTCACACTCAGAATGTTTTTTTAAGCCTTTTCTTCTAGGTATATTTGAGCTATAAAACCACCTGTGCGGTAACGCTGTTTAACGTCATACTGTGGAACATTCCAAGCAGAGCAATGACATCTCCATAGAAACAAGCAGGTGACGGACCCCCAACTAAAAAGTTACATACTGTAGCATTAGGTGCTACACTGTCATGCTATTATTCTCTTCAAAGAATTTACTGCAATCTGCTACTACTAAGAACTACTATTGTTCTCCAATAATCCCCATTCTACTACTTTGTCTCTTCTCCTGACTCTTGCTTTTGTCTTCAAGTTATGTAAAACTTTAACAGTAACAAGGGAAAAAATTTGATCTCACAGTTGTCCTTTTAAACAACAAATGTCTGAATTCTCCAGTTACATATTCTTTCTTTTACTGAAGACTAAAGGGACCCCATAAACTGAAAAGACAGATTTGTATTGAGTGTCTTATTGTGTTATGTCCCTGTGAGAGAGGTGTTGCCCTGAAAAACATCAAAACATGGAACAATTCAGATTTAAACCAGATATGACATGATTATTGTGATACCTGCTTACTCAGTGCACAAAAGAGGATGACTTTGCATTTTGTAAATGTCGTGAACCCCCCCTCGGCCACAGGAGAGCTCACTTGGGTGGGGTAAAAAGATGAAGGTTTTGGTGTAAGCCCCACTAAAAGGGCCCCTGAATTCAGATGAAGATGTTCATGATGCTTTATTTTGATAATTGAATAATTGTTAGAGCATTAGAGATTAAGAGTGTTTGATTTAGATATTAGAAGTGCTTTTGTGACCCATATTACCATGAGTTACTTGTTTTGCTTTGATTTAATCTGATTTGTTTCCTTTATATTGATTTGCTTAATTCTTTCAATTTAATTTTTAAGTTTAGGTTATTTTGCAATAATTTCTGTAACTGTTATGTTTGTGTGCAGGAAAGATAAGGACCTTCTGTTCTTTTGACAGTTGACCTTTATTTGACATTGATGTACGAAACCTATATGTTATGCGGCGTGTGGGAGGCCTGTAGACAATGCGGATGCGAAGCTTCCTGCTCCTTCAACGAAGCGAGGTGGAAGTAACTTCACACCTGGCTGGGGCAGAGGTGTAGGGTGCTAGAACAGTGAAGACTGTGGTTTCTAAGAAGTGTTGCCTGTACTTGAAAAAATGTGTGCTATCTGTGACGTACTGATCACTTTGCATGTACCTGGGTGGAGTTCTGTGACCCTAGATAAATATTGAAAATTCCGCATAATAACTCGGATCCTGATTTTGGTTGGCATTGGCCCTCCGGCTGTAACTCGGCTTAGGAGTTCAGAATCTGCAATTTGGACTAGGCTGAGCTTTATAGCTTTCCTGGTCACAGGGTAATTTCTCCAAAAGGGTACTTGCAAAGTGATTTGTCCTAATTATTTTTGTATGAGCTTTCTGGTAAAAATACAATAAAAAGCAGATAAAATAATCAGTTGTTGGAATCTTTTGTTGAGTCTTTCCCTCAATTATTATACATATATATTTACCACGAGCAAGTCAAGTCATCCTAGGTGAGTTACTTACAAAAATGCAATGTTTTTGATGCAAAGCTAAATTTGGTTAAAGGTTTTGAGGCACTGCTAAGGATAAATTAATATTTGCAATGTTTTGGTGTAAAACTAAATCTGGTTAAATTCTTTGAGGCACTGTTAAAAATGAGTTTTTGGGCAAATGTTGTCAGATAGAGTATAGAGTATGTCATAAGGTGGTTTCTAAAGCTAAGTGAAGTTGTAAGTGTTCCCCAGGTGATACTTTAAGAGTTGTTAAAGTTACCTGTATGGTGTTTCTTAAAGTTAAATGATCTTTTTGAGTGTAGTAAATTATATTTACCTTGTGTTATTGAAGAAATGATCTTTTTGAGTGTAGTAAATGATATTTACCTTGTGTTATTGAAGAAATGATATTTTTGAGTGTAGTAAATGATATTTTTGAGCATGCATTGTGGTTTTAAAGCTATGTGATCTTTTTGAGTGTAGTCAGAGTTATTTGCATTGTGTCTTTAAAGCTGAGTGATTTTCTGAGGGTTAATACAGTGATTAGAAAAGGAGTAGTGAGATCCAGGTGGTGTAATTTAGCCACTGGGACTTTTAGCAGTAAAGTTTAAGTAAAAATTAAAAACGCAAATTTAAATGTGCTATGTGTAACTTTTCTGGTGCTATATGTTCCTGTATTACTCTTGTGAGCTTTAAGCCATGTTGTTACCTCCTCAAAATCAGACCTGGAGTTGTGTTTAGTTTCATTCACACATGTTTGAGTAAATAATCTTTTTATTCAATCCAAGCTCCTCAAGATTCCTGAACTTGTACAATATTATACACTGGTAATTTTATTCAGAGATGCAATAATTTACTACCACGTAATATTCAAAGCTTGTTCAAAATGAGAGAGAGATCTTATAATTTTAGAGATTATGGACATTTCAAATTGCCTAATGTACGAACTACCCGTAAAAGTTTCTGTGTGTCTGTATGTGGTGTAAAACTCTGGAACAGTCTGGATACACATCTCAAACAATACCAAAATATCCATAAATTCAAGTTGTTACATAAACAGATGGTCTGGTCAGTATATGGAGACTGGGTCATAATATTAGAACAATACTGCCTCTGTAGCGCTGGTTTATGCTTGTTGTTTTCTTACCATTGCTGGTATATGTTGTCCATTACATTACTTGTATTTGTTGTTTCTTACCATTGTCTGTATTCTTAACTTTACCACTGTTGGTACGTTTATGTTATACTACCAAGCTATAACAGTGACTCTTTGTCTGCACTTGTAAATAGTTCATTTAGTTTAATTCAAAATGTTTGAAAAACGCAACAGAAGCTCATTGTGTTAGATTATGAAGAGTAGGGGTGCGATTAAATAAATTTTCTTCTTCCCTCTCCTTTTTGGGCAAAATAATAATAATAATAATATTAGTAAACTTTAGTTGTTATTTTCATTTCTATTGTGATTTCACTTATGTTATAAGTTCCATTGTATATGAATGTAAATCTTGCCCAAAATAAATGCATAAATAAAAAAATAAATAAATCGTCCGATGAGGTTCATTTGGTCTTCCTATAATTTATGTTATCAGGTTCTTCTGTCTGGGGTGAAGGAAGTCAGGGAGTCCCTGCTTAGACTGCTGCCCCTGCGACCCGGCCCTGGATAAACGGAAGAAAATGGATGGATGGAGGTTCTTTTTTCAGACCAAGAGTTTGTTTTCATACCTGACAGTTTCGACTGTTCAGTAGCGCTCTTTCTCAGAGTGGTCACGTGATGTTGCTGTGACATGTCCGGTCAGCTGATTTAAACAGGTTTTGGCGCCGTCTTCCTACCGGTGGAGGCAGGACGACAGCGCCATCTGCAGTCCGACTTCATCACGTGACCACTTTGAGGAAGACCAGAAACCAGGAAGACAGGTATGAAAACAAACTCTTGGTCTTAAAAAAGAACCTAATAACATAAATAAAATAAATCATTTGTCTGTCTCCAAAGATCAAAATGCTCTGTTCCAATTGTTTTCAAGTTAACAGTTACCTTTTACCTTTTGTAAAGTTGAGATTTTCTGTGAAATTACCCAAATGATTCTGGTGAAGGTGTATGGAGCACTTCCTGTATGGCCACATGACATCACAAGGTGGGACAGTGTTTTGTTCTGAGAGAAGAACTCAGAGCCTAAATATGCAGAGATTGTGTATTAAACAAAACACAATTCCAGGTATGTTATTGATGAGGAAACAACATTATAACAGTTCAGAAAATACTGTGCAATCAGAAATCAGAATGAGCCTCAGGAGTCTCTCAGTTGGGTTGTCAGTTCCATTGCTGAAATCCAGTTGGTTTAAACCTAAAAGAACTCTCTTTGATTTGAATTCTCACTACCTAAATGTCTACCTAAGCATCTCTTTGTGCACAAGGCTCTCTATGGCCGAGCACCAAAGTACATCCGTGACATGTTAGTGCCATATGAACCATCTCACACTCTCAGGAGCTCAGGGACCGGCCTCCTGCTGGTGCCCAGAGTCAGGACTAAACAAGGAGAGTCAGTGTTTCAGATTCATGCAGCTAAAACCTGGAACAGTCCCTTAAACATGTGAGACAGATGTCTACTTTGACTATGTTTAAATTCAGGCTCAAAACGGTTCTGTTTAGCTGCTTATGACTGGAAGGTTTTCATTCCACACTCTTCTCTCTCATGTAATGTCTCTCTCTTTTTAATTTTGTGATGATTATTTATGTTTTGATTTGTTTTGATTGTGATTTTAATGTATTTCTTATTTTGTAAAGCACTTTGAATTACTTTGTGTATGAATTGTGCAATACAATAAACTTGCCTCGCCTAAACTTGAATATATTTTTTGTATTATTGGTTGCATCCAATTCCTGTTCTGCTGCTTCTGCCTCTCAAAACTCTTTGATTCTTCTGATACAAGTCCACTGACAAGAGAGAGCCAATAAGAAAGATAGAGTCAGGAGGTTTCTCGTTGTTGGTTTGTCTCTGATCTGTGAGCAGGACTTGGGGAATCAGGGAGTTTTAAGCCAACAGGTGAGAAGAAATTGGATGTGCCTGTAATATAGACCCAGTAGAGTTATGATAAAGAGGAAGTGGAGAGGGGGAATCTCAGGCTTGTGGTCCAAAAAGATTTCACTTCCGGTTTTTATAAAGTACAGCACAAAAAATGAATTTAAAAAAATCTATTTTGTTGTTTAATCTATTTTTAGTTTAGTGCTGATTTAGTCCTGGTTTAGTCCTGATTTAGTCCTGGTTTAGTCCTGGTCCAGCCCTGGTTGGTTTGGCTCAGGTTTAGTCCGGGTCTAGACCTGGTCTAGTCCTGGTTTCGTCCTGTGGTTTTCAGTTCTGGTCCCACCCTACTTGAATCCTGTTTGAATATTAATTGAGTGTCATGTTTCGAGTTCATTTTCATAGACTTTTTCTGTTCCACTTTTGAACTTCCTCTGTAACAGACACAGACCAACAATAGCGGACTGTCTGCTTCGTCAGCGAAGTCGTCAAAAGGTGAAAGTGTTCAATTCTTATCAAGATGATAGGGTTTTCATCATATTTCTTTACATTTGTGTTACTTCTTTGATTTTGTTATGTTCATATTTGTTGATTTGGACAAAACTGGCTGTAAATCAAGACTAAACTCTACAGTGATGGTAGGACTAAACCAGGTCTAAACCAGGAGGATTATGTCAGGACTAACCAAGACTGAACCAGGACTAAACTAGGACTAACCAAGACTAAACCAGGACTAAACCAGGAATAAACCAGGAATAAACCAGGAGGATTATGTCAGGACTAACCAAGACTAAACCAGGACTAAACTAGGACTAACCAAGACTAAACCAGGACTAAACTAGGACCAAAACAGAACTTAACCAGAAGGACTAAATCAGTACTAGTGGAAATCAAGGCTAAACCATGACTAAATCTCAACTAAACCAAGTCTAAACTAGGTCTAAACCAGGATTAAATCAGGACCAAAACAGGACTAAACTCGGGCCAAACTAGGACCACATCAGGACACATCAAACCAAGTCTAAACTAGGACTAAATCTCTACTTAACCAGGTCTAAACTACACCTAAACCAGGGCCAAAACAGGTCTAAACTAGGTCTAAACCAGGACCAAACCAGGACCAAAACAGGACTAAACTAGGGCCAAACTAGGACCATACCTGGACAGACCAAACCAGGTCTAAACCAGGACTAAATCTCAACTAAACTAGGTCTACACAAGGTCTAAACCAGGACTAAACCAGGACCAAGCCAGAACCAAACTAGGTCCAAACCAGAACTAACCCTCTCTTTTCTCTCTCTCAGATGCCGTGTGTCTGGGCTCTGTTTCCTGTGCTGGCGATGACTTTGTCCTCAGCACAGAATCTGCTCGGGGACAGATCACCACAGTCATGCCGGTGTGACCAGGATCTGGACTGTACCTGCTCCCACTCTGGACTCAGCTCTGTCCCCTCAGTCCCAGACCAAACCCGGACTCTGGACCTGAATTATAACCAGATCACTGAGATCCACAGTCAGGACCTTGGACCACTAAGGGAACTCCTGGTTCTGAAAATGCACGGTAAATACAAAAACAAAAACATATTTATTTATGTATTTAGTTAGTTAGTTTGTTTGTTAGTTTGTTAGTTAGTTAGTTAGTTAGTTAGTTAGTTAGTTTTTAGTTAGTTAGTTGTTAGTTTGTTTGTTTGTTTAGTTTTTAGTTTGTGTTAGTTTTTGTTTTGTTAGTTAGTTGTTTGTTAGTTTGTTTTAGTTTAGTTTGTTAGTTAGTTTGTTAGTTTGTTAGTTTGTTTGTTAGTTAGTTTTTGTTTGTTAGTTAGTTAGTTAGTTTGTTTTTGTTAGTTAGTTTGTTTGTTAGTTTAGTTTGTTGTTAGTTTGTTAGTTTGTTTAGTTTGTTAGTTTAGTTGTTTTTGTTAGTTTGTTAGTTTTTTTAGTTTGTTTGTTAGTTTGTTTGTTAGTTTGTTTGTTAGTTTGTTTGTTAGTTTAGTTTGTTAGTTTGTTTGTTAGTTGTTAGTTGTTTGTTAGTTTGTTTGTTTGTTAGTTTGTTTGTTAGTTTGTTTTGTTAGTTTGTTTGTTAGTTTAGTTTGTTGTTAGTTTGTTTTTAGTTAGTTTGTTTGTTAGTTTGTTTTAGTTAGTTTGTTAGTTTGTTTGTTAGTTTGTTTGTTAGTTTGTTAGTTGTTAGTTTGTTTGTTAGTTTGTTTAGTTAGTTTGTTAGTTGTTTGTTAGTTTGTTTGTTAGTTAGTTTGTTTGTTAGTTAGTTTGTTTGTTAGTTTGTTTGTTAGTTAGTTTGTTTGTTAGTTTGTTTGTTAGTTTGTTTGTTAGTTAGTTTGTTTGTTAGTTTGTTTGTTAGTTAGTTTGTTAGTTAGTTTGTTAGTTAGTTTTGTTAGTTAGTTTGTTTGTTAGTTTAGTTTGTTTGTTTGTTTGTTAGTTTGTTGTTAGTTAGTTTTGTTAGTTTGTTTGTTGTTTGTTAGTTTGTTTAGTTTTGTTAGTTTGTTTAGTTAGTTTGTTAGTTGTTTTAGTTTGTTAGTTAGTTTGTTTGTTAGTTTGTTTTTGTTAGTTTGTTTAGTTTGTTTGTTAGTTTGTTTGTTAGTTTGTTTGTTAGTTTGTTTGTTAGTTTTGTTTTTGTTAGTTAGTTTGTTAGTTAGTTTAGTTTAGTTTGTTAGTTAGTTAGTTTAGTTAGTTTGTTTGTTAGTTTGTTTGTTTGTTAGTTTGTTAGTTTGTTTGTTAGTTTGTTTTAGTTTGTTAGTTAGTTTTTGTTTTTAGTTTTAGTTTGTTTGTTAGTTTGTTAGTTTGTTTGTTAGTTTAGTTAGTTTTGTTTGTTAGTTAGTTTGTTTGTTTAGTTTGTTTGTTAGTTTTAGTTAGTTTGTTAGTTAGTTAGTTTGTTAGTTTGTTTGTTAGTTTGTTTGTTAGTTTGTTAGTTTGTTTGTTTTGTTTTTAGTTTAGTTTGTTAGTTTAGTTTGTTAGTTTAGTTTGTTAGTTTGTTTTAGTTAGTTTGTTAGTTTGTTTGTTAGTTTGTTTGTTAGTTTTGTTTGTTAGTTAGTTTGTTTGTTTAGTTAGTTTGTTTGTTAGTTGTTAGTTTTGTTGTTAGTTTGTTTGTTATTGTTATTTGTTTGTTAGTTTGTTTGTTAGTTTGTTAGTTTTGTTTGTTAGTTTGTTTTGTTTTTAGTTAGTTTTGTTTTTAGTTAGTTTGTTTGTTAGTTTGTTAGTTTGTTTGTTAGTTTTTGTTAGTTAGTTTGTTGTTAGTTTGTTAGTTTGTTTGTTAGTTTGTTTGTTAGTTTGTTTGTTAGTTTGTTTGTTAGTTAGTTTGTTAGTTTGTTTGTTAGTTTGTTTGTTAGTTTGTTTTTGTTAGTTTGTTTGTTTTAGTTAGTTAGTTTGTTTGTTAGTTTGTTTGTTAGTTAGTTTGTTAGTTTGTTTGTTAGTTTGTTTGTTAGTTAGTTTGTTAGATGGTTAGTTTGTTAGTTAGTTTTGTTAGTTAGTTTGTTAGTTAGTTTGTTAGTGTTTGTTAGTTTGTTAGTTTGTTTTGTTTGTTAGTTTGTTAGTTTGTTAGTTTGTTAGTTTGTTTTTGTTAGTTAGTTTGTTAGTTTGTTTGTTAGTTAGTTTGTTAGTTAGTTTGTTAGTTAGTTTGTTAGTTAGTTTGTTAGTTTGTTAGTTAGTTTGTTTGTTTAGTTTGTTAGTTTGTTTGTTGTTTGTTAGTTTGTTAGTTTGTTTGTTTAGTTTGTTAGTTTTGTTGTTAGTTTGTTAGTTTGTTAGTTTGTTTGTTAGTTAGTTAGTTTGTTAGTTAGTTTGTTAGTTGTTAGTTTGTTAGTTTGTTAGTTTGTTTGTTAGTTTGTTTGTTTGTTAGTTAGTTTGTTAGTTTGTTTGTTAGTTTGTTTGTTAGTTTGTTAGTTAGTTGTTTGTTTGTTAGTTAGTTTGTTAGTTTGTTAGTTTGTTTGTTTGTTAGTTTGTTTGTTTGTTAGTTTGTTTGTTAGTTTGTTTGTTAGTTAGTTTGTTTGTTTGTTAGTTTGTTTGTTAGTTTGTTTGTTAGTTTTTGTTAGTTAGTTTGTTAGTTTGTTTGTTAGTTAGTTTGTTTTTGTTTGTTAGTTAGTTTGTTAGTTTGTTTGTTAGTTAGTTTGTTAGTTTGTTTGTTAGTTAGTTTGTTTGTTAGTTTGTTTGTTAGTTTGTTTGTTAGTGTTAGTTTGTTTGTTAGTTTGTTTGTTAGTTAGTTTGTTAGTTTGTTAGTTTGTTTGTTTAGTTTGTTAGTTAGTTTGTTTGTTAGTTTTGTTTGTTAGTTTGTTTGTTAGTTTTAGTTTGTTAGTTTGTTAGTTAGTTTGTGTTGTTGTTAGTTAGTTTGTTTGTTAGTTTGTTTGTTAGTTTGTTGTTAGTTTGTTTGTTAGTTTGTTTGTTAGTTAGTTGTTTGTTTTTGTTTGTTAGTTAGTTTGTTTGTTAGTTTGTTAGTTAGTTTGTTAGTTAGTTAGTTAGTTGTTTGTTAGTTTGTTTTTGTTTTGTTTGTTAGTTTGTTTTTGTTAGTTGTTTGTTTGTTAGTTTGTTAGTTTGTTTGTTAGTTTGTTAGTTAGTTTGTTAGTTTAGTTAGTTTGTTTGTTAGTTTTTTTGTTAGTTAGTTTGTTAGTTAGTTTGTTTGTTAGTTTGTTTGTTAGTTTGTTGTTAGTTTGTTTGTTTAGTTTGTTAGTTTGTTAGTTAGTTTGTTATTTGTTTTAGTTAGTTTGTTTTGTTAGTTAGTTTGTTAGTTTGTTTGTTAGTTTGTTTGTTAGTTTGTTTAGTTAGTTTAGTTTAGTTAGTTTGTTTTTAGTTTGTTTGTTTTAGTTTGTTATTTGTTTGTTTGTTAGTTAGTTTTTGTTTGTTAGTTAGTTTAGTTTTAGTTAGTTTGTTAGTTTGTTTGTTAGTTAGTGTTGTTAGTTTGTTAGTAGTTGTTTAGTTAGTTTGTTTAGTTTGTTTGTTAGTTTGTTAGTTTGTTTGTTAGTTTGTTTGTTTGTTAGTTTAGTTTTTGTTAGTTTGTTTGTTAGTTTTGTTAGTTTGTTGTTAGTTAGTTTGTTTGTTAGTTATTTGTTTGTTTAGTTAGTTAGTTTGTTTGTTTAGTTTGTTTGTTAGTTAGTTTGTTTGTTTGTTATTTGTTAGTTTGTTTGTTAGTTTGTTTGTTAGTTTGTTTGTTAGTTTGTTGTTTTGTTTGTTAGTTTGTTAGTTAGTTTGTTTGTGTTAGTTAGTTTGTTTGTTAGTTTGTTAGTTTGTTTGTTTGTTAGTTTGTGTTAGTTTGTTTGTTAGTTAGTTTGTTATTGTTTGTTTGTTAGTTTGTTTGTTAGTTTGTTTGTTTGTTAGTTTGTTTGTTTGTTAGTTTGTTTGTTAGTTAGTTTGTTTGTTAGTTTGTTTGTTAGTTTGTTTGTTAGTTTGTTTGTTAGTTAGTTTGTTTGTTAGTTTGTTTGTTAGTTAGTTTGTTTGTTAGTTTGTTTTTTGTTAGTTTGTTTGTTTGTTAGTTTGTTTGTTAGTTTGTTTGTTAGTTTGTTTGTTAGTTAGTTTGTTAGTTTGTTTGTTAGTTTGTTTGTTAGTTTGTTTGTTTTAGTTTGTTTAGTTAGTTTGTTAGTTAGTTTGTTAGTTTGTTAGTTTGTTTGTTAGTTTGTTAGTTTGTTAGTTTGTTTGTTAGTTTGTTAGTTTGTTAGTTAGTTTGTTAGTTAGTTTGTTTGTTAGTTTGTTTTTTGTTTTAGTTAGTTTGTTTGTTAGTTAGTTTGTTGTTTGTTAGTTAGTTTTGTTTGTTTGTTAGTTTGTTTGTTAGTTGTTTGTTAGTTTGTTAGTTTGTTTGTTAGTTTGTTTGTTTGTTGTTAGTTTGTTTGTTAGTTTGTTAGTTAGTTTGTTAGTTAGTTTGTTTGTTTTAGTTTGTTAGTTTGTTAGTTTGTTAGTTAGTTTGTTTGTTAGTTGTTTGTTAGTTTGTTTTTGTTTTTGTTAGTTTGTTTGTTAGTTTGTTTAGTTTAGTTTATTTGTTTAGTTTGTTAGTTTGTTTGTTAGTTTGTTTGTTTGTTAGTTTGTTGTTAGTTTGTTTGTTAGTTTGTTAGTTTGTTTGTTAGTTTGTTTGTTAGTTTGTTAGTGTTAGTTTGTTAGTTAGTTAGTTTTTAGTTAGTTTGTTAGTTTGTTAGTTAGTTTGTTAGTTAGTGTTGTTTAGTTAGTTTGTTAGTTTGTTTAGTTTGTTTGTTAGTTTGTTAGTTAGTTTGTTTTAGTTAGTTTGTTAGTTTGTTAGTTTGTTTGTTAGTTAGTTGTTTGTTAGTTTGTTTGTTAGTTAGTTTGTTAGTTAGTTTGTTTGTTTGTTTGTTAGTTAGTTTGTTAGTTTGTTTGTTAGTTTGTTTGTTTGTTAGTTTGTTTAGTTTAGTTTGTTAGTTTAGTTTGTTAGTTTGTTAGTTAGTTTGTTAGTTAGTTTGTTTTTAGTTAGTTTGTTAGTTTTGTTGTTTGTTAGTTTGTTAGTTTGTTTGTTAGTTTGTTTGTTAGTTAGTTGTTAGTTTGTTTTTGTTAGTTTGTTTAGTTAGTTTGTTTAGTTTGTTAGTTAGTTTGTTTGTTAGTTAGTTTGTTAGTTAGTTTTGTTAGTTAGTTTGTTAGTTAGTTAGTTTGTTTTTGTGTTGTTAGTTTTTGTTAGTTTGTTAGTTTGTTAGTTAGTTTGTTTGTTAGTTTTGTTAGTTAGTTTGTTAGTTAGTTTGTTAGTTAGTTTGTTAGTTAGTTAGTTTGTTTGTTAGTTTTTTGTTTTTGTTAGTTAGTTAGTTTGTTAGTTTGTTTGTTAGTTAGTTTGTTAGTTGGTTAGTTTGTTAGTTAGTTTGTTAGTTAGTTTGTTAGTTTGTTTGTTAGTTTGTTTGTTAGTTTGTTTGTTTGTTTGTTGTTGTTTAGTTTGTTAGTTAGTTATTACCACGTAAAATATTTAGGAACTATTTTGCTTTTACAAACATGGCCTGACAATATATGAATTAGTCAATTGTCTTACCCATCATTAATAAGAAATGCATGAAGTGTCATAAAGATGCACTATGTAACTTTTCTGGAGGAGGGTTTGCTTTGTTAAAGTCCAAAAATGAGGCAAAAATAAGTTAATTTTCATGTCAGCAAAATGAAATTGTGTCATTTTTAACACATAAAATGCCATATTTATATAAAAAATATTAAATGATGAAAAACTTGTGATACCTTTTTCCCTTTAAGTAAGTAAACAACACACATTTTCAAATACATATGCCTAAATTTAAGTTTATTTCCCATTCACCTGCAGTGTCTCACCATACTGTGGAACATTTCAGGCAAAGCAACAGCACGTCCATGAGACAGCTGTTGTTGTTGAGATGTTATATCCTCCTCCACAAAAGTTACACAGTGCACCAAAAATGTTTTACTTTTTTATTATTTTGTGTTATTTCTTCATCTTTCATCAGCTCCTAATACAATTGAGTTTCACAGTGACCTTCAAATCTTTACCAACTTCCTCTGCCTCCAGCGAACAGACTGTCCCAGATCGACCCGCAGGCCTTCTCCGGTCTGTGGAATCTGAAAGAACTGGACCTGTCCCAGAACCTGCTCACTACTCTGGACCATCGCTGGTTCAACAAGCTGGGGGCGCTAGAGAGCCTCAAACTGCACAGCAACCTGTACAAGTGAGGCCAGTCCTGCTTTAGTCCAAGTTTAGTTCTGCTTCAGTCCTGCTTTAGTCCAAGTTTAGTTCTGCTTCAGTCCTGCTTTAGTCCAAGTTTAGTTCTGCTTCAGTCCTGCTTTAGTCCAAGTTTAGTTCTGCTTCAGTCCTGGTTTAGTCCAAGTTTAGTTCTGCTTCAGTCCTGGTTTAGTCCAAGTTTAGTTCTGCTTCAGTCCTGGTTTAGTCCAAGTTTAGTTGTGCTTCAGCCCTGGTTTACTCATGTTTTAGTCCTGGTCCTACTTCAGGTTCAGTTAGTTCTGGTTCAGTTCTGTTTTAGACTTGCTTTATCCTGGTTTTGTCTTGGTTCAGCCACTAGTTTAGTCCTGGTTTAGTCCTATTCCAGCCCTTTTACCTCTCCCTCTCTTTCTATCAGATGCCTTGGCTCTCCTCCTCCCTTCCAGACCCTGGTCAGACTGCGTGTCCTGAGCTTTGGAGGAGAGTCGTTGGAGGAAATCCGAGTCTCTGACCTGAGGGGAGTGGGAGGACTGAAGCAGCTGCTTGTCGATGCCAACAACCTTAAAAGGTGCAACACAAACAAAAATATGGGTTAAAAAACAAAGAAAGAAAGAAAGAAAGAAAGAAAGACAGAAAAAAAGGGCTGTACAATTTTGAAGAAAAAGAAATTAAATGTGATTTTTTCTTCTATTTATTTCAAGAGTGTACAGTGAGTACACCTGAACTGATAAACTAATACGAGAATCAGCTTTGAAGAGGCCATTGTATTGTCTAAATAACTGCAGCCTTTGTGACTCAGATAGTATTTTTGCACAATTGTAGATTCATAATGAAAGTTCGACTCATAACTTCCTTCCTCATAAACTCTTCATTCCTCATAAACTATCCTTCCATAAAATCCATTAAAACATATTTTAAATTACACAACACGAGTGATTTCAATTTTTGACGTTGGATTCTGGTCTGAATCTGATTTGATTCTGACCACTGACTGTCTAAAGAAGAACGTGGTGGTAGTTAGCTGTGTCCGTTGTTATACAGTCTATGATACGGATCTAAATAATGTAATTATAGTAACAATTTTCGGGCACGTTTTAAACACATTTATTGTAAAAGAGCTCAAACCATAAAGCATAAAAGCATAGTAAGCATAAAAGAAATGTGACTGCAATCTCTCTCCAACTCTTACTCAAAGATATTCACAAATGAATTGCCCAAGAACACAGTGGCAGTATTTACCTGTCAGACTTGGCTTAAAACCTTCAACCTCACTGCCAGAGCCACTCTCATATTAAAGGTGCATTGTGTAACTTTTCTGGTGGAGGGTGCGTCACCTGCTTTTGGAGCTGTTATTGCTTTGTCTGGAATGTTTAACAGTAAAAAACATTTCTATCTTCATGGAGACAAGACCAGGCCAAATTACAGGTCAGATCTGTGGAGAGGCGACCCCATTCACAGTCAGAATGCATGTTTTCTAAGTATTTTTGAGCTATAAAAACACCTGTAATTGAATAAGCGTAAGGTAGAGCTGTTAAGATGGCGAACCCCCAACCGAAAAGTTACATAGTGCATCTTTAAAGGTTGTGGGTCAGTTGTGATTTTTTATTCTTATATTGTCTGGCTGGTTGCAGGTACGATTCCGGGGCCCTTGCTCAAATCTGGCCCTTGGACCATGTGACCCTCGGCCTTCACTCTCCATTTTTGTTGAACCAGACTCTGGCCTCTGCTGTGCTCCATGATGTTTCATATCCACAAACTCATCTCACACTGGATAATATTTCCATGAGCACCAACCTCTCCGTCCTGCCATTCAGAGAAGTGGCCCAGAAAAGAGTCAGGTCTGCTCCTGTCTGCATCTGTCTGCTCTTCTGGCTCTGCTCCTGTCTGCAAGCAACACCACATCTATGAGTCAGTCAGTGTTTCTGGTCCTCTGTCTCTGCTCCTCCGACTCTGCACCTGTCTGTTTCTGTCTACACTTGTCTGCACCTGCCTGCTCTTCTGACTCTCTTCTCTGCTCCCTGGTTCTGCTCCTGTCTAATGTTTTGTTTGTTTGTTTGTTTGTTTCAGACATATTTCGTTCCATAACTCATATTTGACAGATCAGACGACTGTTAGACTTTTGGTGGAGATAGATGGAGCACCTATTACCACACTCTCCGTAAACAACATCACTCTAAACGGAGTTGGAAGGTATCAAGCCAGAACTAAACTTAAATGGGACCAAATCAGAACTAAACCAGGACTAAACCAGAACTAAGTTTGCTCTCACATTTACACATGCATCAGATCAAAGGGTCCAGGGATGAACCAGGACTAAACAAGAACTAAACAGGACATAATCAGGACTTAAATCACCACTAAGGGCACACTCACACTAGGGCTTTAGAATCGTCATGTGCTCAAGCACAATTGCCATAGAACCCTACTCTCTATGGCCTGCACTCACATGGTGCTGTTTGTTTACATGATGTGTAGCAAAGCTATCGCTTTTAGCAGAGAAAATAAGTCCAGCAACATCATATAGCTATTAAATAGTGAGACAGATATGAGTCCTGCTGCGATACGTGCTCCTGTTGTCAAAGGTATTCACTCACCTGCCTTGACTCGCATATGAAATAAAGCACCCCATTCTTAATCCATATGGTTTAATATGACATCGGTCCACCCTTTGCTGCTGTAACAGCTTCAACTTTTTTGGGAAGGCTGTCCACAAGGTTTAGGAGTGTGTTTATGGGAACTTTTGACCACATTTAAACCAGCACATTTGTGACATCACACTGATGTTGGACAAGAAGGCCTGGCTCCCAGTCTCGGAGTTTGTGTGTGTGTATGTGTGTATGTGTGTGTGTATGTGTGTGTGAGTGTGTGGGGGGGGTGTGTGTGTATGTGCGTGCATGCGTGCGTGCATGTGGGTGTGTGTGTGTGTGCGCGTACGTGTGTATGTATTAATTAAAGTAAGTCCCTATATGTTTTTCTTGTTGTAGTTGGGAGAAGGCGCATAAGACTGATCACAAAAGCCTCGATGAGATCTTCATTAAAGATATTGTGGTGCTGAATGTTTTTGAGTTTAGGTCTTTTTTGCCTCTGGGTTTCATCCTGGAGTATCCACGAAAGATCTCCGTCATCAACGCTAAGGTACACTCTTGTCTGTTTTGGACAAACTTTTTACCCTCAATTTGGGACTGAAGCAACATTTGAGACCAACTACAATCTGTTGCATCTTGTGATGTCATGTGCTAATAGAGAAAGTGCTCCACTGTGTTTTTAAACTCCATGCACCTTCACTAGAATCATTTGGATGATTTCAGTCCTGGAATTGCCAATCTCTACTGAAGTAAAAATGGTAATTGGTAATGGAAAGGTAATTGTTAACCTGAAAACTACACAGCATCACAGGTGGAACAGGGCATTTGGGCTTTGTAGACAGAATAATAATAATAATATAGTGTATTTACATGTTTTTGTTATTGAAAAAGGGTTATGTGACTTTTTGATATAATAACGATAATAATATATGGGTTTTCACGGTAACACAAAGATGCTTCACAATAAATTAATACAGTATTTATCCTAACATGTAAGTAATGCCACACAGTATAACAATAAAGTGGTCTTTGTCCTTGTCTCGTAGGTGTTTGTGATGCCATGTTTCACCGCTTTCCTGTTAAAGAACCTGATGTTTCTGGACCTGAGTGAAAACCTGCTGACAGACCCCACCCTGACTGAGACCCTGTGTGAAGGAGCCGGGGTGCTCAAGAACCTAAGGGTGCTCAACATCAGTGCTAATGCTATCAAGGTCCTAATGCTACAGAAACATATTTGAGAAGTTGATTTAAGTTTGAGTAATCCCTTAATATTAGTCTGTACATCTTGAAACTTGCTCTGTTTTAGGTTTTTAAAGAAGAACTCAGCCTAAATAAGCTTTGTTTGTGTGTTAAACATGTGTGAATGAAACGAAACACAACTTTGGGTGTGGTTTTTGATGCAGAAATAACATTATAACAGATCAGGAAATGCATAATGGGGGCTTTTAAATGATAGTATTTTTTTAGGCTGAGTCAAAGCCATCAAAGTCAGTATAATTACATTTCAAAGCACAGCCTTTGTGAACATCTGAATGGTTAGTTTGAATGGTTTCACGTTCTGATCAGCTGAATGGTCTGTTTTCTCCCTGTAGTCCCTGTCTCTGATCAGCCGAATGGTCTCTCATCTGTCCAAACTGTCTCACTTGGACGTCAGCAGGAACACCTTAAACTCGATGCCTCCCTCGTGTCCATGGCCCCAGTCTCTCAGGTTCTTAAACATGTCCAGAACCAAACTCTCCAACGCCACCTCCTGTCTGCCGCCAACCCTGCAGGTAAGAACTGGTTTACATTTGAAATAGTCTTTATTTAGGTTCATTGTTTTAGTTACAGCCTGTGGGATTAGGTTTAGTTCTAGTTTGGGTCTGGCACAAGATTAGACCTGGTTTAGTCCTGGTTGAGTTCATTCTGCTTTGTTTAGACCTGGTTTCATCGAGGTTTAGTCCTAACTTAAAGGTGTACTATGTAACTTTTGTGGTGAAAGGTCCACCACCTGCTAGTTTCCATGGAGATGTTATTGCTTTTCCTGGAATATTCCACAGAATTGCATTAAACTTATCTGTCCATCATGTATTTAATTACATGTGTTTTAATTGTTCAAGAACAACAATTTTCAAGTGAAGGGGCTTGCCTGTCCACACATCTGACTTGTAACTTGGCTTGGTGGCATCGCCTGCTGGTTACCATGGAGATACATAGGTTGTTGAACATGCAGGCAAAGCAATAACATCTACTTGGCATAAAAACAAAACAAAAACAATGATCAAGCATTCTACAGATTTAACAAAAAAAGTCCAAAGGTTTATCTCGAAAAAGTTTAGTCTCTGTTAATTTGGGGTATTTCATTCATACAATTCTAAAAACATGCTTTTGACATTGCAGGTGTTGGATCTTAGCTATAATGACCTGGAGGAGCTCTCTGTCGAGCTTCCTGCCCTGAAAGAGCTTCACCTCTCTGGGAACAAGCTCCTCACACTGCCCCCCGGAAGTCTCTATCCCAACCTTCAGACCTTGACCATACAGGTACAATGCTTTTTGTTCGGCTCATGTAAAAAAAAAAAAAGACAAGAGGATTGAAACTTGCTTGTTCCCATGAATATCTTATTACTTTGCTTGAAATGCTTCACATTACGGCATTAAACTTATCAGTTGGAGCTGACCTGTAACTCCACCAGGTGATGTCTCTAGTAAATGCCATTCTGTGGAATATCTGCACCACTGCAAACGTTACATAGTGCACAAGGTTTTCAATTTCAGGTTCTTTATAGCTCAAAAATACCTTAAGAAATACGGTATATTATCTCCATAGAGGCAAAATGTTTAATGCCATACTGTGGAACAATCCAGGCAAAGCAAGAGCATATTCATGGAGCAAATAAGTTACATAGTGCAGCTTTATGTTTTAAATCATTATATACATATATTTTGTTTTTGTTTTTCTCTCCTCAGATAAATACACTGAACTTCTTTAGCCATTCAGACCTCCTCTCTTTTCCTCGTCTCCAAAACTTCCAAGCTGGTCTCAACAAATTCATCTGCTCCTGTGATTTTGTCCCATTTTTCCACTCTTTATCCAGTGGAAAATCAAATGTATCTTTAACAGACGAAATCAACAACTACTTCTGCGACTCCCCTCTCCACCTGCAGGGGACACCTCTTTCCCTCGTGCACCGCTCATTCCCTGAATGCCACTATATTTTGTTTGTTGCCCTGAGCTGTGGATTGGTGCTTGTTTTCCTTGTGTGTTTGGGTGCGGTGTTGTGGAAAATGCATGCATTTTGGTATCTGAATATGATATTTGTGTGGCTGAAAGCGAAACATCGAAGGAGGAGGAGAGAGAGGATGAGGAGGGAGGACAGGGACACAGACAGACTTTTGGTCACATATGACGCGTTTGTGTCCTACAGCGAGAGAGACAGCGCCTGGGTGGACAACTACCTAATTCCAGAGCTCGAACAGACAGAGTCTGGGAATGGAGGTGTTGAAATGACAAAGGGAAACTATGGAACCTTTTGCCATCAGCCCGTCTCCATGGAGAGGTGGTTACTTTGTCTGGAATTATCCACAGTATTGCATTTAATGTATCTGTTTATTTCATACCTGATGTTTTTATTGCTCAAAAATATCTTCAACAACATGCATTCTTACTGTGAGGGAGCTCATGGGTCATCTGCTGTCCATGGAGATATATACGTATATACAACCTCTGAGTGGAGGTGATAAACCCTCCACCAGAAAAGTTACATAACATGCACCTATAAATTTGGATAATTACAAGTGGTCCTGCTCAGATCTGGTCCACAGCTCCTGTCAGGTTTGACATAGAACCACTCAAGTAAGGAGTGCACACATTTCCCAACCTATTGTATCTTCAAATGGTAAAAAGCCTAAACTTGAAAGAAACTTGAAATTTGGAATACAAATAATGTAGAGACATGTGGCCTATATATGGCCTTTACACATTTGCAATGTGTAAATGTAAATTACAAAATAAGTTTTCAATTTCCAGGTCTTCTGAAGAAACCAGAGCAGAGTCCAGTTCAGGGGCCAGTTGGGACACCAGACCAGAGTCCAGTCCCAGACCAGAGCCTCTGAGGCTGTGTCTCCACAGGAGGGACTTTCTCCCCGGGCGCTGGATCATGGACAACATCGTGACGGCCATCGAGTCCAGCCACAGGACTCTGTTCATCCTCTCACACAACTTTGTCAAGTCAGTTTAATGTTTATATATTTGAGTTAATGAGATTAGGAAAGAAGTTCATATTTTGGCAGATTGACAATGTAAGTCTGTACAAATAATCACATTTTTCCATCTCACCAATATTTCCATGGAGACAAGTAGGCAGACCCGACACCAGAAAAGTTACATAGTGGACCTTTAACAGTAATTATTTTTACATTTTTTCCAAGATTGAGCCGCCCTACTTTGCTTGCTGTTTAATTCTAAATTACTCCTGTCGTGGTTAAAGTGATGGCTAAATTATAATATATATATATATATATATATATATATATATATATATATATATATATATATATATATATATATATATATATATATATATATATATATATATATATAATATATATATATATATATATATATATATATATATAATTATATACAATATTAAATATAATATATATATAATTTACTTTGAAATGTATTTAAAAACACCTTAAAACTGATCAAATAATGTGAGTCTTAGCTTATATAATTAAAATAATAAAACCCCTCTCTTCCTCTACAGGTCGGACTGGTGCAAGTACGAGCTGGATTTCACACATTTCCAGCTGTTGGAGGGAAACTGCAGAGAGGATGCCGCCATCTTGGTTCTTCTAGAGCCGCTTCACCATGACGATGTGCCCAAGCGCTTCTGTCGCCTTCGGAGACTCCTCAACTCCACCACATATCTGCAGTGGCCCCAGGATCCAGACCAGAGGGACCAGAGGGACCAGTTCTGGACCAGTCTGCGGCAGGCTCTGAGACCAGTTCAAGACCTGGACTAGACCGGGACTAAATGTGACCTACTGGACCATAGACTCTTTATTCAGAGATATTTTTATTTTTGTTTGATGTTTTACTTTTACAAATTATTCATACACAACACTGTACAACAACTTAGTATTTTATTTGCACAATTATAGTTCTTAAAGGTGCACTATAAAATGTTTTGGGACAGGATTTACCATCTTTTGGTTTCCATGATATTACAGGTCAGATCTGTGACAACTCTGCTCACAGTAATGCCACATTGTGGAACATTTCAATCAAATCTTCATGGAGACAAGCAATTTTCCAAAGATGATGATATTTTGAGTGTAATTTTCCTCTGGTTGTCTTTCCTTTTCCTCTTCCCCTGAAATAAAACAGTTTACTTCAGCACATCCTCTTTAAAAAGAAATGCTGTTGATCTAATGTGTAAAATATAAAAGATCAAAATAATAATAATAGTTTTTACGTAGTTGTCTCTGGCGGACCAGCCCGGGTACAGCTGCAGGTGCAACAGTCTCTCCCTCTGGGCCAAGTCAAAGTATTTGGACTGTTCAGCACGAGACAGAGCGTTCCACTGCAAACAAATCAACACAAATGTGATTTGTTTTTCAAATATAATTTTCCTTTGTTTAGTCCCAGTTTAATCTTGTCCACTACCTGACTCCCTCCATACATACAGAGACTTTTTCTTGGTCTGGAATCCAGTCAATCTTTTTGACTGGGAGGTCAGGTTTATGTTTAGTCATCTTTTAGGCTAGATTAAGTCTTGCTTTAGTCCCATTTTAGTCCTGTTTTAATCCTGTTTTAGTCCTAGTTTGGCCCTGGTTTAGCCCTGAGGTGCAGATGGCGCAAGACTACCAAAGAATTGAAAGTAACAAGTAACAGCTTCAGTACAGGTCTACTGTAAGTCTAGTGTAGGTCTAGTCTAGGTCTAGTCTAGGTCTAGTGCAGGTCTAGTCTGACCCTGCGTCCAAGGATGCGGTTGATGGCGGCGCTCTCTCGCTCGTGGACTTCCTGTCTAACGGCGGCTCTCATCTCCTTCATGTACAGCATAAAAGCGTTCAGAGGCTTCTTTACTGCCCCCGCAGGCCTGGAGGACATACAGCATTATATTGTTTTATATTCTAAACATAAACCTGATCACTCATTTTGTCCATTATTCACATTACATGGGAGGGCAACTGACACACAGGAACACGCCGCAGACTCACCTGTGTTTACCTTTGCCATGGTTACAAGGGTGTGCCCAGGAGTGAGCGTCGGCTTGGGGGTCATGGTGAGCTCTGATTGGCTGAGACTCAGAGGTGGGCGGGAACTGTCGGTCACTGTAGATCAGCAAAGGAACCAGAGGATGGACCCCACACTGTGATGAGACACATGGGACAGTTTAAGGAGCTGGTCTCAAAGTGTGAAAGGAGAAAGAAATCTAACCCTTTAGGATCTCACTAGTATTCACATGCATGAGTTTGAGGGGCGGAGTTTGAAGTGTGGTTAGACCAGTGACAAATGTTCCTTATACCTCCAGACCCCGCCTTTCCTCCGCTCTCCCTTTAATCCTCCAGGTACTCCGGAGTTTAATTCATGAAGAAGTTTAAATTCTCTGCTTTTGCTGTTTGTGTCTATGGAGCCCAGAACAGACTGTCTCTGTCTCTGTGGTCTTTCCTTTAGGCCCAGTAGTCTACAATATGGGCACGTTCACATCTGTCCAAACGAACTGCTCCACAATGTGACAAAACCCAATTGGACCTGACAAGTGTGAATGCTGCCAGGAGCCAAGAAGACCCAAGACCAGACCCCCAGGACCATATCTGGACCTGATCTGACCCAAAGCCACAAGAGGAGAGTAACAGAGACAGACAGAGAGAAAAGTAGCTCCGGGCAGTTTTTCACAAATGCATAATTCAATTTGGGGCTGAAAATTTGTAATTTTGTTTGAAATTAAACAATATTCAGGGAAAACCAGGACTAAACCAGGATTACATCAGGACTAAACCAGGTCTAAAAAGTGAGGACAAAACAAGAACAAAATTAGGATTAAACTATAGGACTAAAACAGGGTCAAACCAAGACTAAACCAGATCTAAACAAATACTGAACCAGGATTGGTCTAGTACTAAACCAGGTCTAAAGGATTGACCTGAAATTCCTGAAATGGGGTTAAAAATGGAACAATAAAAAATAAACCCAGGTCTAAACCAGGACTAAACCAGGACTAAATGAGGTGTAAACCGGTTCTTAGGAGTGGAGTTACTCACAGGTTCTGGTCTATAGTTGTTCAGACTCCAGTGAAACTCATCAAATTTACCTGAGACATAAAAGATTGTGAATTTCAACAATATTTTTTTCTGCTGTTTCATTTAATGTATGAACCAGATGAACTTACAAGATGCTGCTGCAGAAACATGACACTGTTCATGTGAGAAACTGATTTCCTAAAATATAAAAACAATTGAGTAAATAATACATCTTAAAGTGAATATGACAGGTTAGAATAATTTCTATAAAACATATTAGATTTCACAAAAAACATACCTAGATTTGAATAAAGGTGTATTGTGTAACTTTTCTGGTACAGGGTCTGTCAAATGCTTTTTTTCTTGGAGATGTCATTGCTTTGTCGAAAAAGTTTCTATCATCTTACCTTAAGCTATAAAATGAACTGTAATTTACTAAATGTAAAGTAGAGCATATTGTGGAACATTTGAAGCATAACGACATATCCACAGAAACAAGACCCCAACCAAAAAGTTACATTGTGCACCTTTAAAGCTCACAAGAGTACATTTTGTGTAATATAGGACCTTTAATTTTAAAACAATCACATGCAAATGGATCAAAACTAAAGTACTTACCATTCTGTTGTGAAACTGTTTCATGTTTATAGAAATCTTTAAAAATTAAGAGTAAAATGTACTAGAGTTAGACCCCACAGTGCAGAGAGAGACGATGTGGTGAGTTTGTTGTGTGCCATTGCTTTTTGTACGATGACCCCTGACCTTTGTGTGCCTGGGGTCCCTCAGGGGTCAAAGGTCAGGGTCACTAGAGCCTGAAGCTTGACTCCGAGCCTGAGTTTGAGTTTATTCTGTCGGACAAGAGCCACACTGCTGTCGAGATGAAGCACCGAGGCGAGCTGAAATGAAATGTGTTGCAATGTTCAGGAAAAGCTAAACAAGGACTACTAAACCAGGACTAAACCAGGACTACATCAGGACCAAACAAGACCTACTAACCCAGGACTAAACCAGGACAGAACAAGGCTTACTAACCCAGGACTAAACCAGGACCAAATAAGGACTACTAAACCAGAACTAAACCAGGATCAAACAGGGACTACTAAACCAGGACTAAACAGGGACTACATTTATTTTGAAGATGAACATGAAGAAGAACAGTGCACGTCTTAGCCACAAGATAGCGCTATACTCAAAGTCATTTGTTCATTTACCCCTTTGACAACAAGGCAAACGTTAACCAAGATAAATGTTTTTAACTAACTTTTTTAAATGTTTGATTTGACAAGGCTATTTGGACCAGATTTGAGTATATTATAAGACCATGTTTTTCTCCAATTAGAGAAAAAATAAATAAATAAAAATAATAAAATAATGGAAGGTTTGGCACCTGCTTGTCTCCATGGAAACGGTGTTTGGCCTAGAATGTTCCACATATGCCTTACCTTTCTTGTGTTAAATGTGTTTTATTGGTCATTTAGTGGGGTCGCTTTTCCACAGATGTGACTTGTCACCTGCTTCATTTCATGCCCCCAGTATGGTAGATTATTTTAATGCCATATTGTGGAGCACGTAAAGCAATGGAAATAAGTGTGTATCATTCGTTCATTCGTTTTTCATTTCCCTTTACCGTGACTTAAACTGTGATGCCAAACTTTTGCACCACATACGGACTGAGTAGCCTATAAAACCGTTTACTGTCAGCTACTTTATTTAGACCAATTAGTTAAACAAACATTTCCCTAAAATAAACGGACGCTGCAGAGTTATTGGAGTTATCTTTCCACTCTTCCACATAAGTCTCGTTATTACTCCTCCGCGCACCAAACGTTTACGCTCCAACTGCCCTGGCCCCGTGCCCAGACCAGAGCCATAACGGATCTCCTGGCTCTGTCCACCCCGGCTTCCCGCTTCTCCCCCGGGGCTGAAGGAGTGACTCTTCTCGGTGATGATTCCGTGAGGAGGGACAGCCAGCGCGACACGCCTCTGAACTTTCATCCCGCGCTGCGCTCTTGGCTCTGCTTCGTACACGCACACATGACGCCAAACACGTAAAGAGCGTAGAGACACGAATTGGACGCGCACTCGCCGGACTCTTCGTGTCCAAATACAGGGACAGAAGTCACAGCGGCACGCAGTCTGACGCACTCGGGACGGACGGATGGAAAATACGAACGTAACCATGAAGAAGTGACACCATGAACGGTAAGAACATGCACAAATATTAGGATACTTTAAATATTCATTTGTCTGTGTCTGTGATAGCATCCATAAAACAATTTTACAACCTTTCGCAATAAAAGATTTATTTTGCCTATTCAGTTGTTTAAAAAGAAGATGGGCTGTCTTTAAATAGGCCTTAGAAGTATTTATAAGTAGGCCTACTGTAAGAGCAAAGATCAAATTGTACTAGTGATATGAGCGTGGATTGACAAAGTGACAAAAAGAAGAACCTGATTGTTGTTTATTTTTATTACAACTAGTTCCCATTAATAAATAATACAGCGTTAAAACACATTTTATATACACACAATCAAAATGAAACAATAGTAGTAGTAGTAGTAATAGTAGTAGTAGTAGTAGTAGTTAGAGGTGTAACGATATCCAAGTCTGATCGTCACGGTATGAAACTCACAGGCTCAAGATTAGGGATGTAACAATATTCAAATCTCGGTACAATATTTTCACGATATACATCTCACAGTACGATATTTATTGCGATATTTTGTGGAGGCTAACAAAACTGTGACTATGCTACTTTCTCCTCTTAAAATGCCTTGACAAGACTTAATCCAAAGAACTAAGACTTAAAAGTGCTTAGAACTGTTATTTCTTCATGTAGTCTGCACTGAAATGGAGCGAAGGATCATGGTCTATGTAGTTCCCTCTGTCTTTTTTTTAGCTATTGCTGCACCATAACTCTTCATTTAAGCAAAGAGACTTGTAATTTGATATATTGTGATGGTCCACGATATTATTGTGAGAACTTTGACGATACGATATCATGATATTTTGGTTATTGTTACATCTCTAGTTGTAGTAGTAGTAGTAGTGAGGGTGAAGTGTGTATATATGACTTACTTTTTTTAATTTACTTAGTTTTAGTTATGTTGTCTTGACTTTAAAATGTTCTCATCTGTGGTTTTTCGTTATAAAAATACACCGGAAAAGAAAGCCGCTTTATTTTCGTAACCCAAACTTTTCCTCAATGTCGTTCACATGCAAAACAACATCTGATTATTATCTTATTTCTGGACCTTGGAGATTTAAGTGACCTCTAAACCACAAAATCCAACGCAAGTTATCAAAGGGACCATGATCAGAAAGAAATGAGAAGAATTTGCTGGTTACGTGTCACTTTAGCGATCTTAAAACACCAAAAATCTGATTATAATCTGAGTTTGAGTGCACATGCAACCACAGTCAATGTCTTCATCTATTTCTATACCCGAACCATACAAACCAAACATTATATCATATTCTTAAAGCATCATTGTTACACTATTTCCTAAGTAAGTAAGGAACTAAGTAAGGAAGCGCTCCACTGTGTTTTTAAACTTCATCACTAGAATCATTTGGATCATTTCAGCCCTGGTGTTTGCGCTCTACTAAGCAAAACGTAAACGGTAGCTGTTTATTCGAAAACTACAGCTTCATGACATCACAAGGTGGAAGAGAGCATTTTGAGCTTTGGAAATACAGACTAATAATAAAGGATCACTCAAACATGTGTGAATGAAACAAAACACAAATTCAAGAATAGTTTTGATGAGGTAAAAACATTATAAGTAATAGAGGACCTTTAAGCTCTTAAAGCAATTTTTGCACATGAAATCATTTGTACGACAGAATGAAAAATAAATAAAGCATTGTGAATTGAAGTAAGTGGGACAAAAATGTATATTCTTAAGGACCACAGATGTGAGTGTTTTGATTATAAATAGTTCACTTAACCAAAAAATTAAAAATACATTACAAAATACTGTCTGATATTTGCTGTGTGATGCCAGTGAAATGCAGCCAAAGTTGTGAGAAAAGAAAAAAAAAAAGTGATAGACTTATTTAAAGTTGAAGTGTTGTGTTGAAGCCAGGGCAGAAATATCACGTCAAGTGAGTCTGAATAGGGCAGAGGTCTTTTGTGGTCGCCTCTTGAGGGCTTGGATTCTCTGGAACTACTTAGACCAAAAACAGTCCAAGGACAAGAACTGGATAAGAGCCAGTGGTGGAAGAAGTACTCAGTTTTGTTACTTAAGTAAAAGTACAGATACTGGAGCAAAAAATACTCTAATAAAAGTCTCACATTAAAGGTGCACTATGTAACTTTTTGGTTGGGGGTTCGTCACCTGCTTGTTTCTACTGTAGTGATGTAGTGCCTAGCTTAATTTCATTTCTTTCAGCGACTAGGTCAGGAACCGGAAAACACTAGAATCTACAGGATTTGGAGCATTACATACATCACGACCAAATAACAGCGGTTGGTAAAATAAAAAAAGTACCCGCCTGCTGTCAAGTGAACGAATCCTAATGCTGTAAGGTCAGACGGTTTCCACATTGTGAAACTGGCTGATATATCAGGATATTTGAATTATGTTCTGCAGAAACAAATGTATCAACTGTTTTTATTTGTTTATTTTTTGCTCAGCTCTTTTTTAAAAAATGTCATTTTTCAGCAGTTCTCACAATAATAAACACACAATAATACAATAATAAAAAATACTTTAACTTTTCAGTCCAGTTCAAAAATGTAGTGGAAAGCACAGATACCTGCTTTCAAATGTAGTGAAGTAGTGTAGTGAAAATCTTTAACTTAAGTGCAGTACTTTGCTAGTTTTACTTTGCTAGTTTTAAACCAGAACTGATCCAGGTGGATCCTGCACTTATGCTCCTCAAATGTTGGACCCTATCATAATTTATCAGAGATTGGGTCCATAAACTTGTCATATTAAAATCTTATGGCTTAAAGTTTTCTGGCACCACTTTCTAAAGCGATTGTTACAAACTAATAAATTTTTTTGTTTATTTATGCTGACAGAGAAAACACTGAATGCCGTTTTTATTTCATGTAGATAAACCCAGTAATTACAGATCTACTGTATTAGCCACAAACCAGGTCAACAAATCTGCAGTCTGACACTTACACAATAAATCCTGCCACACAATCTGACCTGTCATCCACCTCAGTTTATACGACTGATACTTTGCAGCTGATGTCTACAACATCCCCTGTGGGTTTCATGCTAACTGGAAGCACTGCTCTGTCTGAAGCTCTGTTACTCACATTAGACTTTAATCTTTATTTTAACACAATCTGGCTAGAAGGAGTTGACTTAGTTATAATAAGTGAGATGATTTGTGTGGTTAAACAAATCTCTCACACATAAAATTACAGTCAGTTAGTCACTCTAACCTTTTTGTTGAAAAACTCCTAAACTGGACTATGAACGCGTGTTTAGGTGCTTTTCAGATTCTAGCATTTACCATGAAATGTCCAAAAGGTAAATTCACTCATTTTCAAACTGATATTTAGTTAAACCCTAGAACTATGTAGTTCCCCCTGTCTTTTTTTTTAGCTATTGCTGCACCATAACTTTTAATTTAAGCAAAGAGACTTGTAATTCAATATATTGTGATGGTCCACGATATTATTGTGAGAACTTTGACGATACGATATCACGATATTTCGGTTATTGTTACATCCCTAGTAGCAGATATTTGATACTTTTGACAACTTTCAAATGTATGATCTTGTATCCCGATGTCTCTTTTCAGGGAGTTTGGGTTTGGTTTCGAATGAGTCCTCGGCATCGAACCTTTCCCACTGTTTCCATGGCGATGACTGGTTCAAATATCGGGCCTACACCTTCACCTACGTCCTGCTGTTCCCCGTCGCCTTTCTGTCCAACCTGTGTGCAGTGACAGTCTTTACACTACAGAGGAAACAGAGGTACTAAACCAGGACTAAACCAGGACTAAACCAGGACTAAAGCAGGACTAAAGCAGGACTAAACCAGGACTAAACCAGGACTAAACCAGGACTAAAGCAGGACTAAACCAGGACTAAACCAAGACTAAACCAAGACTAAACCAGGACTAAACCAGGACTAAACAGGACTAAACCAGGACTAAACAGGACTAAAAGGACTAAACCAGGACTAAACCAAGACTAAACCAAGACTAAACCAAGACTAAAACCAGGACTAAAACCAAGACTAAACCAGGACTAAACCAAGACTAAACCAAGACTAAACCAGGACTAAACCAGACTAAACCAAGACTAAACCAGGACTAAAGCAGGACTAAACCAGGACTAAACCAAGACTAAAGCCAGGACTAAACCAGGACTAAACCAAGACTAAACCAAGACTAAACCAGGACTAAACCAGGACTAAAGCAGGACTAAACCAGGACTAAACCAAGACTAAACCAGGACTAAACCAAGACTAAACCAAGACTAAACCAAGACTAAATCAGGACTAAACCAAGACTAAACCAGGACTAAACCAAGACTAAACCAAGACTAAACCAGGACTAAACCAAGACTAAACCAGGACTAAAGCAGGACTAAACCAGGACTAAACCAAGACTAAGCCAGGACTAAACCAGGACTAAACCAAGACTAAACCAAGACTAAACCAGGACTAAACCAGGACTAAACCAAGGACTAAACCAGGACTAAACCAGGACTAAACCAGGACTAAACCAAGACTAAACCAGGACTAAACCAAGACTAAACCAGGACTAAACCAGGACTAAAGCAGGACTAAACCAGGACTAAACCAAGACTAAACAGGACTAAACCAGGACTAAACCAGGACTAAAACCAGGACTAAACCAGGACTAAAGCAGGACTAAACCAGGACTAAACCAGGACTAAACCAAGACTAAACCAGGACTAAACCAGGACTAAACCAAGACTAAACCAGGACTAAACCAAGACTAAACCAGGACTAAAACCAGGACTAAACCAGGACTAAACCTAAAAGGACTAAACCAGGGACTAAACCAAGACTAAACCAGGACTAAACTAAAAACAGGACTAAACCAAGACTAAACCAAGACTAAACCAGGACTAAACCAGGACTAAACCAGGACTAAACCAGGACTAAACCAGGACTAAACAGACTAAACCAGGACTAAACCAGGACTAAACCAGGACTAAACCAGGACTAAACCAGGACTAAACCTAAACCAGGACTAAACCAGGACTAAACCAGGACTAAACCAGGACTAAACCAAGACTAAACCAAGACTAAACCAGGACTAAACCAGGACTAAACCAGGACTAAAGCAGGACTAAACCAGGACTAAACCAAGACTAAACCAAGACTAAACCAGGACTAAAGCAGGGATAAACCAGGACTAAACCTTAGACCTGGTTTAGTTCGTGTTTTTCCCAGGTCCCAGTTCTTGTTTAGACCAGGTCTAAAATACAACTGCATCAAGGCTATAAAAGATCTACAGTAAATCTGTGCTGAAAAACCTGGATTAAATATTGACTGAACTGGGACCAAACAAGAACTAAACCAGGTCTACATTAAACCTAGTTATAGTTTTCTGTATAGTTCTGGTTTAGACCTGGTTTAGTCCTGGGTTAGTCCTGGTTTAATCCTGGTTTTTATTCCTGGTTTAAAGCTGGTTTAGTCCTGACCTCATAATTGTGTTGTAATAGCCCTACAGTATATCTATTTTATAATCTCACAGTCTTTGGACTTTGGAAGTTGCAGCTTTACATTTGAATAGATAAACAAAACATAAACAAATACATTGCTAATTTGTATTTGGGACAGTTTGAATTTGCTTATGGGCTGATAACGCAAAAGTCTCATTGAAACCAGTTTAGCAGGAAATACAAAAGAGGAAAAATACAAAGTTACGGAAAAGGATAGATTTTTCTGATCACTGCAGAAGACTGGATTTTCAACATTTTAGAAGATCACAGATAAAGAATGACACAAAAGAAGATCTATCTATATTTAGTCATTTCATTCATTTGCTTCTTATGAGTTCCAGCTCTAAGATATGCAAATGAAAGTGCGTAAGTATTTATTTATTATAATTTTACATTAGTTAAGGACATTGTGTGAAGAAATGGGGAGTGTGATGACACCCAGAGTGTTCAGCTCCAGTCAAACGAAGCTCACAAGGTTAGCAGTCATAGGGGTGAATTTGGAGCAAATTTTTAATGGACAAAATTGCAAAAAAAAAAACAGTAGGATCATGTAGAGCCGGTTAATATGTGCATTTTAAAACCAAAATCACAAGGCTCGTTGCAGCAGTTACAGAGAGAAGGGTGACGATGTTTCAACGTAAAGGCAATTGGCACCAGAGTTGATGAAACCAGAAGTGCCCCATTATTAAAGATAATTTGTTTCATCAGATTTTGAATTTTAAATCCTGTTGAAATTCTCACTTTGAAATTTTTTACTCTGAAAAAACTTGTTTGAATTATTTTTATTATGAATTTTAGTTGTGTACATTTTCAAAGTGTAAATTTTCAAATGTATAAAATTCAATCTAAAAAAAAATCACCTTTTATATATTCTGCACAAATATTTTCAAATCCTCAAATGCAATTGTCAAAATTCAGAGTGTAAAATTCTGAGCAGTCAAAATTAGCCTCATCGTAACTTCATCTTTTGATTTCTTAAGTGTAAACCCCGCCCACAGATGAGAACAGCCAATAGGAAGCAGCCTCTGTCCTCCTCACTCATATGATTGATTGCTTATGCCTTGGCATCTTGGATTTTTGCTGTGTAATTTTTCGACTGTTGAATTTGAGGGTTTGAAAATATCTGTGATTTTTTTTTTTTTCTTTTAATTAAAAGTAAACTTCAAATTTCAGCCACTAAAATTCAGAATAAAAATAATTCAAACATCTTTTTTCAGAGGTAAAAAAAATTCAAAGTGAAAAATTTTGTGGTATTTGAAATTCAAAATCTGATGGAACAAATTATCTTCCATACCCCATGCTCACTTCCTCCAAATAAGAAGTGAGCACGAGGGCACTTCTGATGAGCTACGTTCATTTATGTATACTAGTACAGTCTATGATTAAGTGACAGTTTGTGAAGAAAAGTTGAAAAAAAGATACAAAATGTAGGAAGTAGGAGTGACTTCTTCAACAAACGCATCTACTTACTGTATCTTACGTCATCAACATGGAAAATTCAACAATTCCATCAATTTATGCAAAAGGAAGGGATTTATCAGATAGATTAAACAATGATTTTACAAAACAGACGTGTTGTCATCTAGTAAGTAAGTAAGTAAGTAAGTCTTTATTTATATAGCGCTTTCACAGACATTTTCTGTCCCCAAAGACGCTTTACACAGCATTATTCAGCACTATTCATTCAGCATTCATTCATACAGCATTATTCATTCACTCTAACCCTGATGATGGTAAGCTACTATTGTAGCCACAGCTGCCCTGGGGCTCACTGACAGAGGCGCGGCTGCCATGCCACTCGGCGCCATCGGTCCCTCCGACCACCACCAGCACTCACACACACACACACCACTTTCATACTAGGCAATGTGGGTGAAGTGTCTTGCCTAAGGACACAATGATTGAATTGATTGTATTTAACTGACCATGACTATCAACTGTTTATGGAGACCTATGTAGCATGTTTTGGGTTGATGGGGGAAACCGGAGCACCCGGAGGAAACCCATCCAGACACGGGGAGAAACATGCAAACTCCACACAGAAAGGCCTGGGCGACCCGGGGATCGAACCCAGAACCTTCTTGCTGTGAGGCATGAGTGCTAGCCACTCAGCCACCGTGCCGCCACAGCCACCGTGCCGTCATCTGTTTTTATACATTTAAGCATACTGAGTCATTTAGACAAGTTTTGGCCCTTGTTTACCTCAGGGTTGCTAGGTAACAGTGCAGGAATCACTTCTGTGTTAGTTCTGCCAGGAAGTAAAATGATAAACTTCAACAATAAAAAAAAATAAATATTGAATAGGTAAGATTTTTTGAAAGTCATGTTAACTATATTTTAGTGAAATGAGTTAGTGAGTCTAACCTGTCACATGCAGGGTTATATCAGGTTTGAACTCAAAGGTGGACGTATAACTTTTCTATGAGAGTCTGCTTCTTGTCTCTATGGAGATGTTATTGTATTTCTTGAAGATTTCCACAGTATAGCATTAAACTTAAACTTTTAATTTTATGTTGCGTTCATTCATTTATGCGTGTAAGGTTACCTCTCCATAGATCTAGCTTGGAGTCATGTTAGTTGCTTGTCTCCATGGGGACAGACAAATAAAATGCTTTATTATGGAACAATTCAGGCATGGAGACAAGCATCGACACATCCTACACCAGAAAAGTTACATACCGTAGCTTTTACCTTTGAATAATCTAATAAGGACTAAAAACTGATTAGAACAGGACTAAAGTGGGACTATACCAGAACTAAACCAGGTCTGAAGCAGGTCCAGGACTATACCAGAAGCAGGTTTATAAGGTTTTGATGTGAGTCATGTAAACAGGAAACCATCTGTCCTCTCCAGAATACAGCAATTAGTTTATCTTTACCTTCCCCGAGGATATAACTGACGCCCAGCCCTGTGTGTCAGTCAGATGCCCTCCCATTTATTTCCCTGAAGAGATTCATTGAAAGGGTGAAATCTAATCTATCACTAATGTAGAACTAAATCAAGACTAAACCAGGAAGAGGTCGAAACTCGGATTAACACAGGTCTATACTGGGACTAAACCAGATCTAAATCAGGAAAAAACTGGAAAAAAAGAACTAAAACAGAATTAAATAAGCACAATTACTAACCTTGTATTAAACCTTGTATTTAATTAGGTCTAAATCAGGTCTAAAGGTACATTGTGTAACTTTTGGATTTTTTTTTTTCTCTTTTTTGAGGAATAAAACCATCTGTAATTGAATAAATGTGAGGTCAAAATGTTTAATGTCATACTGTGGAACATTCCAGGCCGAGCAATGACATATCTATAGAAACAAGCAGGTGATGGGCCCCAGCCAAAAAGTTATATAGTACATCTATAAACTTGAATTAGGACTAACAGAACAAACCAAGGACTAAACCAGCCTTAACCAGGTCTAAACCAGATCTAAAGATGAGGAAAAAATTGAACTAAACTAGAATTAAACAAGCAGTATAATCAATTACTAACTCTGTATTAAACCAGGACTAACCTAAGAACAGGTCTAAACCAGGACTAAACCAGGTCTAAACCAGGACTAAACCAGGACTAAACCAGGTCTAAACCAGGACTAAACCAGGTCTAAACCAGGTCTAAACCAGGTCTAAACCAGGACTAAACCAGGTCTAAACCAGGACTAAACTAGGTCTAAACCAGGACTAAACCAAGACTAAACCAGGTCTAAAGGTGGTCTCTTTCCAGGCCCACTTCGTCGGCCGTGGTGATGGTGAACTTGGCGCTCTCAGATCTGGGCTTCTCCATGACTCTGCCTCTCAGACTGGTCTACTACTTCAGGCAGGGCATCTGGGACTTCCCTGACTGGCTCTGCCGCCTCTGTGTCTACGGCTTCTACCTCAACCTCTACACCAGGTAAACCGGGACTAAAGAGGTACAACAGGACTAAACCAGGTAAATCAGGACTAAACCAGGACTAAAATGAGGAGTAAACCAGGAGTAAACCAACTCTAAAACCAGGATTAAACCAGAACTAAACTAGGATTAATGCAAAACTAATCCAGGACTGAAGCAGGTCTAAACCAAAACTAAAACCAGGACTAAACCAGGACTGAACCAGAACTGAACCAGGACTAAATCAGAACTAAACCAAAACTAATGCAAGATTAAACCAGAACTAATCCAGGACTAAAACCAGGATTAAACCAGGACTAATGCAGGATTAGACCAGAACTAAACCAGGATCAATGCAGGACTAAAGCAGGTCTAAACCAGAACTGATGCAAGATTAAACCAGTACTAAACCAGGACTTAAACCAGGAGTAAACCAGATCTAAAACCATGATTAAACCAGGACTAATGCAGGATTAAACCAGAATTTAATCAGGACTAATCCGGGACTAAAGCAGGTCCATATCAAAACTAAAATCAGGACTAAACCAGAACTAACGCAAGATTAAACCAGCACTAAACCAGGACTAATGCAAGACTTGTTTTGCCCTGACAGCATCCTGTTCCTCACTCTACTGAGCATACTCCGATGGCTCGCTGTGGCACAACCATTACGTCATAGCACTCTGGCCACACCCACTCGCATCCTGTTAGTCTGTCTGGGCATCTGGGTGTTTGTGGGCTTGGGTTCCTCCTTCTTCTTGACTCAGGGCGTGGTACACAGGTGAGTACCCACTTCACCCAACCTGCTCTAGCCTAGTACTGATATAGTCCTGGTTGTTTATGTGTTTATCTTCTTTAGTGAGTTTTAAACATCCTATATTACACAAAATTGACTCTTGTGAGCTTTACACCATGTTATAATGTTGTTACTGCATCAAAAACATTGTGTGGATTGTGTTTTGTTTCATTCACATTTTTTTTTATTGATTTTTAGAAACCATTTTAAAACATACAAAAACTCATATAGACAAAAACAATATAACAAATGTCTGGAGTTACAGGTTCTAATTTTTTATTTGATAATGACACTTTAATGTACTATGTTGTTTTACTGGTGTCATTTATGATTCATTCACACATGTTTGAGTAAACCTTTATTATTAGTCTGTCTACATTTCCAAAGCTCAAAATACTGTGTTCCACCTTGTGATGTCATGAAGCAGTAGTGTTCAAGCAGATACATTTTACATTTAGTTCAGTAGAGTTTGACAATTCCAGGGCTGAAATTATCCAAATGATTTTAGTGAAGGTGTATGGAGTTTAAAAACACTGTGGCGCACTTCCAGATTTGGTTTAGTCCTAGTTCAGACCTGCTTAAGGTCTGGTTTAGTCCTGAGCATGAGTTCTCCCATAGCCTAAACTGGTTTAGTTACTTTATGAATCTACTTAATCTATTTAAAGATTTATAGATTTCCTATTTTTGTACTTCTACTTTGAGATATTGACAATTCCATGGTTGAAATTATCCAAATGATTCTAGCGAAGGAGTATGGATTTTAAAGGCACTGTGGCGCACTTCCTGTATTACCATATGACATCACAAGCTGGAACAGAGTGTTTTCTGTTTGAGAGAATAACTCAGTCTATAAATATACAGGGTTTGTGTGTTAAACATGAATGAAACAAAGAGAGGCAGCACTGCTCACAGTAAAATGTTTTTCTTGGTATTTCTCAGCTATAAAACACCTGTAACTGAATAAATATAAGGTGGACCTGTTAATTGTCATACTGTGGAAGACCCCCAATCATAAAGTTACATAGTGCACATTTAAAAGAGAATTAATGTCACAAGAAGGTATAAAGTCTTTAAACACATCTCCTTATTATGAGAGATACTGAGTGATATTGAGTATATTTTTGCCATTGTCTTTCTCGTTGTAGAGGAGGTATCCCACGTTGCTTTGAGCCTCACAAACCCTCGTCGTGGGAGCTCGTCTTGATCCTGAATTATGTGGCTCTGGTCTTTGGGTTCCTCCTCCCGTTTGTGGTCATCATCTGCAGCTACAGCTTCATAGTGCACCGCCTCACCACTCGCCCTGCCTCCTTCTCCGAGCACCACAAGCCTCGCCCCTCTACGCCATGTGGGGGTATGAGCAGCAGGCGTAGGTCACTGTCTCTTGTCTCCGTGGTAATCGTCACCTTCCTGCTCTGTTTCCTGCCGTACCACGTGATCCGCTCCCTGCACCTCCACGCCGTGTGCGGGGGTTGGGGCTGTACGGCCGTGGTCACTCTTCAGAGGCTGGTGGTGGTTACGCTTTGTCTGGCAGCGTCCAACAGCGCCCTCAACCCTCTGCTCTACTACTACGCCACCCAGAGCTTCAGGGACCAACTGACCAGAGCTGGGTCCAGGATCAGCAGCAGAACTCGCTCACAGCACTGAGGGGAGGGGCTGGGGGAAACCTGGGTTAGACCACCTGCAGCCCTGGGTTAGATCTGGGTTAGGCCTGCACTGAAGTACTTCTATCTGACCTGGTTTAGTCTTGGTTTAGACCTGGTTTAAACCTGGTTTAGACCTGGGTTAGTCCTACTTTAGACCTGGTTTAGATCTTGTTTAGTCGTAAATACACATAGCTGTTTCACTGGATGACCTGCTTTAGTCCTGGTTTAGTCCTGGTTTAGTCCTGGTTAAGACCTGGTTTAGTCCTGGTTTATTCCTGGTTTAGTCCTGGTTAAGACCTGGTTTAGTCCTGGTTTATTCCTGGTTTAGTCCTGGTTAAGACCTGGTTTAGTCCTGGTTTAGTCCTGGTTTAGACCTGGTTTAGACCAAGGTTAGTCCTACTTCAGACCTGGGTTAGATCTGGTTTAGTAGATACACATAGCTGCTGCACTGGATGGCCTGCACTGAAGTACTTCTATCTGACCTGCTTTAGTCCTGGTTTAGTCCTGGTTAAGACCTGGTTTAGTCCTGGTTTAGTCCTGGTTTAGACCTAGTTTAGACCTGGTTTAGTCCTACTTCAGACCTAGGTTAGATCTGGTTTAGTCGTAGATACACATTGCTTTGGCACTGGATGGCCTGCACTAAAGTACTCCTACCTGACCTGGTTTAGGCCTTGCTTTAGTCCACCTGATTATTTCGTGGTTCTGACCTGGTTTAGTTCTGGTTTAGTCCTTGTTTAGTTCTGGCTTAGTCCTACTTCAGGCTTGGTTCAGATCTGGTTAGATTTGTTTTAGTTGTAGATACACATAGCTGTTGCACTGGCTGGCTTGCACTAAAGTACTACTGTAAGACCTGGTTTATTCCTGGTTTAGATTTGGTTTAGTTCTGGTTTTAGACCTCATGTAGACCTGGGCTAGACCTAGTTTAGACCTAGTACAGTCCTAGTTCAGACCTGGTTTGGATCTGGTTTTAGTCCCGCTTTAGACCTGCGTGAGTTCTCCAATGGTATGAACTGGTTAAGTTACTTTATGAATTTATTTAATATATTTAAAGTGTGTTTTGTATAGATTTGTATAGATTTCCTATTTTTGTACTTCTGCTTTTGAGGTGCATCGGTTTAAACATATAAGCTAAGTTCTGTATCTTATATTTGCTAAAGAGTGACTGTAATAAAAGTGTATTTGCAGTGAATGTGTTGTGTTTGATTTATGAGAATAATGGTCATTTATTTTGAGGAAGTGTCACAGGAACATAAACCATGGGGCATAAACATAAATGATTATTTGTACAAGGTAAATGTGGTCTACTACATCCGCCTACTCAAATCTGATAGTAGGTCGTGTGATTTTCAAATAAATGCATCAGTAAATAAGAAGTTTTTTGAAAGATGGTATGCCACCTGATTGCCTCCATGCAGAAGTTACTGCTTTGCCAGTCATTTTCCACAGTGTAGTATTTAACTCTCCATGGATACAAGTAGGACACAAGGTACAGAGTTGTTGAGTGTGAGAAAAAAGATAAAATAAAAATGTGACAAAGCAACCTAAACAGTTGTGAAGTTGCCAGTCAGACCCGGAAGTGACATAAACAGTTAATAACTCTATATCTGCTCCATTCACAGTCAGGATGCATGTTTTTCAAGATCTTTTTGTGCAATATAACACAACTGAATAAATGCCATACTCTGGAACTATTTGAGCAGGTGATAGAGTCCCACCATGAAGTAGATTGTTCACCTTTCACCACAAACATTGGATATGTTTTTAGAAAGACAAAGACAAATGTTTCTAATAAGATAAACACACACAATTTAAAGGGGGTCCACATATTAAGTTGAATTGACTTTTTTTTTTAATCTTTTTACCATGTTTCCTCAGTGTTTCCTCAACATGAATGTACTCAAAGTTGTACAAGATTTTCATTGACTGATTGATATGATTGAGTAATCCTGTATTGTCGTGTCATTGAGGCTTGAGTGCTCAGAAAATGTCTGTTTTCAACTACCCTTCAGTCTCCCCTTCTATCTTTAATCAGACTGGAGATAAAAGATAACATAGACTGCTAACGAGCTGAAGTACATCTAAATCTATAGTGAGATCCAGTACGTTCAGAGTGGGAGAGAAAGGACAACAACGCCCTCTGCTGGTCTGCTTCTTCAGGACAGTGGCACAGATGGCAAAAAAATATGCGAGTTTTTTTTTTTTTTTTTTTTTTTTATGCGTTTTGGGACTAACTCTCATTTCTTCTCCTGACTGTTAATGCTCCTGGATGAGTTTAAAGGTGCATTGTGTAACATTTCTGGTGGAAGGTCCATCAAATGCCAAGGGGATGTTATTGATTTGTCTGTAATGTTTCACTGTATGTTATTAAACCTTTCTATCTTTATGGAAACCAAACAAGTTACAGGTCAGATCTGGGGAGAGGCAACCCTTCTCATAGTCAAGATGTCTGTTTTTCTTTGTTTACTGTCAATATGTTGACCAAACATCCGTTTTTCCCAGGACAAGTAAGTTTTTCACGTCCTGTCCTGGCCGTCATTTTTTTATTATTTTTTTTATTTTTTATAAAGTGACACAAATGTCCGGGTTTTCATTACCTTGCATTGGGCCATTAAACTGAGCGGCTCTCGTAGCTCTCTGTGCACTCAGAAGGAGCGAGCAGACACAAACAGTCGATCAGCCTGCAACATGCCGAAGCGCAAATGTGCATTTAATGATGACTTGTATCCCCACTTTCTCTCCCGATCGAGACAAGTGGGAGGCCATGTGCACAGTGTACAAAGCAGCACATGTCGATGACGAGGCCCCACCTCTCACTACCCATACAGTGTCCTGGTTTTGACAAATGCAAATATGGTCACACTATTTATTGTTGATGTGGCTAAAGAAAAAAGAACTAAACTAAAATCAAACCCTTCAGAGCCTAAGCTTTTTCCCAGTATATGCTATGTTTGTTTTGTACTTCAGTTGTGCTGTTAGTTGTACTTTGTTGACGTTCTCCTGTTCGGCTTATGTGGCACTGAGCTGCATTAATCTCATAAAGGGGTTGGAGTTTGAGTTTTAAGACAAATCCACATAAATCCAAATGCAATGACGACGCGCAAAGTGTCCGCTCTCCATGGCACGTAACAGCGCTAGCCAACAATTTGGGAAACCCAGGCACTCTCTGCATCAGCCACTGTGTAGCTGAGGAGGCCTCACCCCAGTCCCACTAAATCCAGAGAGGCAATGCAGTGTTCTGTCCAGCAGCCTGGAGCAGTGATCCCAGCTCTGGCTCTGACCATTTGGTTTCAAATTGGGGTAATAGGGCCACAGAAACACAGCGTATCCACAGTCTTACGCTGCCTAGATCTGCTCACCTGCCTGTAGCTTTGCCTTTGGTGTTGGGGCCTGGGAAAAAATTAGCTTCACTGGTATGGAAGATAATTTGTTTCATCAAATTTTGAATTTTAAATGCTGTTGAATTTCTTACTTTGAAATTTTTTACTCTGAAAAAACATGTTTGAATTATTTTTATTATGAATTTTTCGACAAACCCGAGTCTCCCACACTCAAGCCCAGTGCCGTACCTAATGAACCGTCCCTCCACATATTCACCTGTGCTCAACTTGGACATTTAAATCAATACTCTGAATCAATCACTCTGAAGCGTTTGTTTTTAGGTTTTTTTTTTTTTCATCAGCCACATCAACTGTAAAACCAGACCAGAAATATTTGTTTTAATTGTTGGTGAAAGGAAAAAAAAAAAAGGAAAAAAAAAAAAGAAAATGGAGTTTGTTGCTCAGGGCTTCCGTACAAACATATATCCATGAATCACCTCTGAGTAAGCTGAAGATGAACACTGTTATTACATGGTTAAAGGTGTGCTATAGTTGTCAAGCAGGTGACACCAACAAGCCAAGTTACAGGTCAGATCTACAGCGAGACACTCAAAGTAAGAATGCAGGTTTTTGAGCTTGAATAAATAACTTGAATAAAAACAGGATAATAATAAAATTAAAAAAAACATGTTTTTGGAGGAACATGGAGTATTACATGCGGATATTACAATAAAATTGCAAGAAAACAACCAAACCGGGTCATTTTTGACCCACTTATGCATCTAAGGGTTAATGTGGGTAGGTCTAACAGCTTTGTAACTAGCACCATTTGATTCCCTGACACTGAAAATGTGGGTTTAGCAGTTAAAATCAACATTTCAACTTATTCAGAGGCTGAGATATTCCAAAAGAGATTTTTGGCAGCCATTTTTTATTTTTCAATATGGCCGCCATATAGACATCTGGACAAATGCAAACATTGATTTTCTGACTCCATATACTATAGCCTTTCCAAAAATATATAGGTTAGCAAATCCCCCAAAAATCCCCACAAAAGTATATAAGGAACCGAACTAAAAGTTCTAGAATTGCATTGGGTTAGAATTTCATTGCCGTTAGTAACCGTGGCACTTGTAGGGGAAAGTTCCATAAAGCCTCCACATTTCAGACAAGTTTTCAGTACAAAGAGCACACGTTTTTTGTAGCTGAGAAGAAACTGTAGATTTTACGATGTTTTCAAAAGTTCTACGCTGGGTGAGTTATTGATAAGTTATTGATAAATTGTATTGTAGGTGTGCTCAGGGATCATCCTGGATGGAAGACTTCACGGTCCTTTCTTTAGATCTGTCTTCTGGCCGCTCCATCAGAAAACTCCTGGCCCACCATTTGAGGGTATGTGCTATGTCAGTTTATCTACAAATTCATTTTATTCACCTGTATTTTTACAGCACACTAACAGAAACATAATCCAACTCATTTACAGGAAACAGAGCTGGAGTACAGGTGTGAGTGTGGAAGCACACTCTCTGGACAGACAGCATGTATGGCCACTCTGCCAAAGTAAGTCTGCACAGTAAACAATGGTATTTGAAATTTTTAAAATATTTCTTAACTTTCTTTAACTTAACTCTCTTCCTGCAGTGTCCTCATTCTCCATCTGTAGAGATTCAGTTATGACTCTCAGTTTAGGATGGAGAAAGTGATACATCGCATCCAGCTGGATGAAGATTAAGTCATCCAATCCAAACAAGAAAACATTCATATCTTATGTCATATTTTACAGAGTGAAGTAGTTAAAAAATAAATCAAGTTATATTGATTGATGGATTTCCTTTTGCCCTTTTCAGAAGGCTGGATGTTTCAAATTGGTCAGCATCATTTCTCATTTGGGAGATTCAGCAGACCACGGTATGATACTTTCTTTAATGAAAATATGTCAAGAAATATATTTGGTGTTATCTTGTGCTAAAATCTAAATGGGTGTGTTTTAGGACATTATATCTGCGATGGGCTTGGAACAGACGACAGTCCCCTGCAGTCCACAGGAACATGGCTCACCTATGATGATCTCTATGTCACCAAGACAAGCGCACAGGACATCTGCTGAAAGAGAGCCAGATCGGCATATATCCTTTTCTATGAGCTGCAGAAACCTGGTTCCTGCTCTACACCTCAGCAGTGAATTTCTACCACTGGGTAAAAGAAAAACTACTCCTCTTCAAGAAGAGATGTGGTCTTTCCTGGGAAGGAGAGGAGGTGTACAGGAATGATGGCAAAAAAGAAATTCAATTCTGTCAACTGGACACAAGTTTTTGATCAAAGCTTGTGGACAATGAATTAGGAATTATTATACTTCAAATCTGCTGATAAATCTTTATTAACCCTGGGCCTATGTGATTATAAAAATTCTGCCAAATTTTAAGTTTTGACCCTGGGAGTATTCAGACAAGTTTGGAGCACAGCTCAGAAACTTTGACTAGAGTCTTAAGACTTTGGTGAAAGCTTCACAGTTTGTGTTTACTTGTGTATAGTATAGAGTAAAGCCATCTGTAAGTTTATTTTATTTTTTGTCACCAGTAAACGTGAAACCTGTCCTCCACTCTGCTAACCTTTGTTCAGAATCATGTGTGCTCTCATGTTTGAATTTCCAAAGCAGGTTGGAACAAACTGGGAAGAAAAGGTGAACAACATTCAGATTTGGAATACACTGCGATGGCCCCTGCAACACATAGGAAGTTATAATGACCAACATCGTCCAACTCAGTAAATAAATAACGGAGTGTTTATTTGCACCCTGGGTGTTAATAGTTCAATGGACACGATTCTTCTATTTACACCCATCTCAAGAAAAAAAGGGAATGGTGACGTGTCTGCTTACATCGTTTCCTGTGAAAAGTGCGGGAAGCTGGATTTGAGAATCCAAAGAAATAAAATTCAAAACAAAGGTAGGGTATGGTAAAAGGTAAGTCAGTGTTGCTACAAAATATACAGTATTTGCAATACCTGTCCGACCATTACTGTTTGGGTAATTAAGCTGAAGGCATCACAGCATCATGGACAATTTATTTAGCTTGTGCATGTATAGCTAGCGGTTATAATAGTTGATCTGTCTATTCAGCAGTTCAAGTACAGCCTCGAGTAAGATAATGGTAACATTAAAAATGGTTTAAATGTAAGCATTTGGCTCTCGTAAGCACCATAACTAATATAGAGTGACATCAGCCCGTTTGAGATTATAATGTATTTAATGCAGCTTTGCGCACAAAAACGAAACCTAACGCCACAAGGCTAATCTGTATAAAATACCCGAAAAAACAGTTCGCTCTGTGCCCTGAGCTTCTGTCGGGCACTGGTGAGTCTATTCTGGAGATGGTTCATGTAAAATTTCACAGAGATCATACATGTGCAGATCGTACGTGTGCAGGTTCAGCGCATCTCTATTAATTATATTATATATTATATATTATAATAGTCATTTCACTCATGTACAGTCATATTATTTACGTCAGCTCCCATGTCACTTTCGTCTCCAGGCAAATTCTCCCTTACGCGTGTGTTGTCCTCTTCATCACGCAGCAGTCCAGCCTTTCCAAATCCATTGGTTATCGTGGATTTTTTTCACATGGCTCCACGCTGTCACACTGCATGATATAGTGTCAGTACCGGTTCACACAGTACGCACAGTACGCACATTGAGTAGGGCCCCGCAAACCAATAGAGGTCCCTTACCTTGGCGTTACCCATAGACCGTATGCGTTTCCTCCCGCTCCCGTACGCCGCGTTTCCTCCCGTACAATGCGTGTTCTCCCGTACAGTCCATGGACCATGCCTATTCCCGTGCGCCTCTAAACCAGAACTAAAACCAGGCCTAAAAGCAGGACTAAACCAGAACTAAACCAGAACTAAGACCAGGACTAAAACAGAACTAAACCAGAACTAAAACCAGGATTAAAACTAGGACTAAAACCAGGACTAAATCAGAACTAAACCAGAACTAAAACCAGTTCTAAACCGGGACTAAAACCAAGTCTAATCTAGGACTAAAACAGGATTTAACCATTATGTGCAGACTGCAAATAATTGATCGATGATTCCGCATCATTTTGAGTAAAAAAAAATATCAAATATTACTGATTTTCACTGGGCTGGTGCCTTTATGTTTGTACTGTCAGTGAGTTTAGTTTTTTTTTAATAAATAAGCTGGGTGTAAATAGCATTTTTGTCTATGAACACCCGGGTGCCCTTCTATGTGTCACGCTAAATATACCCGGGTGTAAATAGCAACAATGGCTATTTGCCCTATGTGTGAATAACAATGTTAGCTATTTACACAAATGCATCTGCCAATAAATAAATTATGTGTGTTTTCACTAACCAATAAACGGGTGTCAAACCCATTTTGGTCCGGGGCCGTATCCAACCTACTTTGATTTGAAAACTATGCATATAACTTAAAAATAACAAGGGTGAACTCTTCACAATAGAAAAAATCTATTTCAACACAATGCATGAACTTGTATGTAAACAGAATAAGCCATTTTTGTTGTAAAATCCTGCATCAGCTCCACTTTTCTCATGTTGGACATTTTTCTGTGAGGGTGTCATCAACAGTACAATTATCCTTTAAGAACGTTTGGAAAGAGACAGTCTTCATTTGTGTGCTCTGGTGGGAGAGGCCACGCACAGAGACGCTGGAGATGCTATGCTACGGTGCAGAAAATTAACAATATTGTAATAGAAAATATAATTACAATATTTTAGTAGAAAATCACCCAAGGGCCAGATTAAAGGTCTTGGAGGGCCATCTGGCCCCCGGGCCTTATGTTTGACACCTGTGATTTAAACTATCAGTATCAGTAAACATGATCTTGAGTTAGTTTTTGGTTTGCTGCTGTTTCTGTATGGGTCATGCAAAGTTTTGATGCCTTCAGTGAGAATCCATAATGTAAATAACCATAGAAAAACATACACGAAAAAGTGTCCAAATATGTTACATGAGGACCCATAAGAGTCAGATGTTAGCCCACACTATATGATCATTACCCACTCACAGAAAGCCTTACAATAAATACAAAATTAATGTATAACAAAAATACAGTTTCTAATTATTTTTCTGTATATATTTTTAAAAAGCTAATTTGCATAATAGTGACCCCGCCCCTTTTCTTCGAGCGCAGGTATGTAATTGGGTGGACTGCAGCCAGGTAGCGCTCTGTACAGGTGAGACAGTGGAACAGCAGCTGTCCGCAAGCTGATATACTGACCATAAAGCTTCCAATGTCTTTCATGTAGTCATTGTCAGTATACTTTGCATGGCAGTATAAACAAGCACCAATAATCCCCATAATCTCTAGCGCCATCATGTGGTACGTGAAGGCATCAGAGTGGGTAACACTTTTGTGTTTCTTCCTTTTTTTGTAGCCAACAAAAGTGACCAAGAGAAAAACTGGCAGGAGCAGGAAGTAGACTGCGCTGGAACCTGTAAGAAGGATTTTGGCTGTGAACACATCACATGTACGGTTTATGGGTCTGGAGAAATTCATCTAAGGAAATAAAACATGTTGCAAATGAGCAATTATGGGTATGAGGCGGAGAGCCAGAGGAGCACAGCCAGAGGAGGAGAGCCAAACGAAGAGAGCAAAAGGAGGAAAGCCATAGGAGGAGACAGGAGCAGAGACAGAGAGCTGATAGTGAAGGATGGTGAGGTTAGAGCTGCCAAGAAACAAGAGGCCTACAGGAAGACCAAAGAGGAGAATTATGGATGTAGTGAAAGAGGATGCTCAGAAGCGGGTCAGATGGAGTAGAGGAGGCAAAGAAGAGTAAAAATCTTTTACCTCTTTAGCTGTGACTGGATTGAGATTGGAATGAGACAGGACTGTGAAGTTTTTGCATGTTTCGTTTCAAATAAACTTCTCTAGAGTTACATTAGCCAAATCTGATCTTCATTTCTTTATTCAGGCCTCATTAATAAGCATATTTTCCAAATTCAAAGATAATTGAAACATCTTTGCATTTTTGTATCTGAGGCGGCCAGAAAAATCACTTATTTAAAAATAAACAAATGTTTGGTGTCATCATTGCAGAATGCATATTGCCCTGTGTTTCCTATCTGTCAGTAATGAGGCTCATATTACACAATAGTGTAATAGTCTGATCTATGTCTCATCACAGACATACCTGTTGTGTTTTGTTTCATTCACACACATTTAACACTCAAACCCTGCATATTTAGGTTGAGTTTTTGTCTCAAATGAAAAACACTGTAACTGACCTTATGATGTCATGTGGCAATATAGGAAATGCTCCACTGTGTTTTTAAACTCCAAAAAAGTAGCTGTTAAATTGAAAACTACCACATGACATCAAAAGGTGGAATAGAGCATTTTGAGCTTTGGAGGTGCACACAGAAAGAATAAATAAATCACGTGAAGTTTATGTCATAGATCCATGGACGGAAGGACCGGAATGTCCCAACGTGACCTTTACGCACCCGATACGTGCACGCCCCCGAGTCTCGAGCCCGCGCTTTTCTCTGCTCTGATTGGCTGGAAATAGTCCACCCACACGTCAGCGCCTTTGTGAGCATGCGCACTAAAGTTTGTTGATGAAGTTAACGGAGTTTCTCTCGAGTCCTGCCCATGGTCCAGCCACGATTCTCCACAAACGGAGCTAGAGCTGAGTAAAGGCTCAGAGAGGAACAGGACCATCTGCACACTCAGCGGCTCCTCCGCCCTTATCAAGCCGTCCGCAGTGCGTCTCCGGCGGCATGAGGCTCGAGTTTGCGCCGCTGAATATCCCGCTGCGGAGGAGGCTGCAGACCACCGCCGTGCTGCAATGGGTCTTCTCCTTCATAGCACTGGGTAAGAATCAAAGTCCAGACCAGAATCCAGACCCGAGAGCAGGGTCCCAACCTGAGACCTAGACCAGAGACTTGACCAGAGCTATCTACTGTGCGGGGGTCACTCACCTCATCTCCATGGCGATATTTTACTTTTTTTTTTTAAATGTCCCACAGTATAGCATTATCTATATTGGATGTATTCAATTACAGGAGTTGTCATTGCTTTAAAATACCTTGAACAACGTGTTCGTACTGTGAGTGGGGTCACCTCTCCCCAGATCAGACCTGTAAGTTAACTGCTGCTGTCTCTTATCTTCATTGAGATGAGACCAATTTAAAGCCATACCATGAAATATTGCTGGCAAAACAGTGACATATATGTATGTACCCTTCTCCAGAAATGTTACTGCAATTTTAATTATGGTTGTAAAAATAATAGATAAACATTCATATTTCGACAATTTGGGTAAAGTGTCTTGCACAAGAACACACTGAACCATCAACCTTCAGATGGGTGCATAAACCACACAGCGTCTGCCACTTTATCAGTTACAAAATGGACACAAAGTAAATATTGACTAATTACAGCATTAGCCCCATCGAGACTGCAATCAGTCCATAGTTCAGGATTTAGACCATATTTTAGACATGAAGTTTCTCATGATCTATTAATCCTGGTATAGTCCTGGTTAGGAATTTAGTTATTTTTTCCCCCTCTAGTCTTGGTTTTGGCATGACTAATTCCTAGATAACGCTTTACTCCTATTTTATTCCTTAAGTTGTTTTGCTTTAGTCCTACTTAGGTCCAGGTTTAGTACTGATTTATTTCTTATTTAGTTCTCGTTCTAGTTTTGTCACCATTTAAACCTGCTTTTGTCCTATTTTACTCCTATTTTATACTTGATTTAGTCCTGGTTTAGTCCTGTTTCTTGTCTCATTCAAGCCCAGTGCTGCCTAGCGGGTTTCGTGCTGCTGCTGCTCTCTGATTGGTGGCTCTTAGCGGCCCTTTATGCTGGTTGGCTGTGGCTCGACTGGGACACACCCGTCAGTGGGGGGCGCCGTTGGGAGTGGTTGCGGCAGTCGTCTCTGTGGGGCCTTTTCAGGGACTACTTTCCCCTCAAGGTAAGAAAGAGGGAGGGCATCTGATATACAGGGATATAAGAAGATGGAAGGGCACCTGACACACAAGGATATAGGCGAATGGAAGGGCATCTGGACAGGAAGAAAGTAATTTACAGCCAATTAGCTCACACCACAGTTATAAAATAACTAAAATTGTTTCTGGATCATTTTCTGCAGCTGGTAAAAACTGTGGACTTGGACCCCAAAAACAACTACATCTTTGGATTCCACCCTCACGGTTAGTCCGCATCTCTGATTTAGTCTTGGTTTGGTTTTTGGTCTTGGTTTAGAACTGGTTTAGACCTAGTTAAGGATGACAAGATTTATCAATAATCACAATTATTCAGGTCAATAAAATAATTTTTGGGTCATAAGAATACAAAAATAAGAATTGTTACAATGCTCAAAGCAGAAATTAAGCCATTTCAAGTCAATCTGCTGCAAAACAGAAAGCCTTCATGTAAAGTGCTTTTCTTCTGTCTGTACATGTCACATTATTGCATTGTAAATGTTACCATAGAGACTTACTCTGAAAGTAATTTAGCTTCTTAAACCCCAAGTAGGGAGGTTACAATATCACATTTTATTGTTACAAATATTCACTATTGGAAACAATAACCAAACAACTTCTTAGTTCACGTTCATTCAAATTGTGTAATAAACAGGGGTGTGCAAAAATATTGAAATATCGTTTTATGTGATGATACAGTATCAATATCGTGGGCTGCTGTATGGATATATCAGCAAGAGTATTTTTTAGTATATTTTACTAAATGATTTTATTACAGAGCTACAGTTTTGTTACTTGTTCAGAGGACAGAAACTCTTTTATGTCATACATTTGACATTTTCACTGTTTTGATAATTAAAATGTGCATGTTTCATATCAACTTTGCACATGAAGTGGTTTAACAAAAACTTTTTAGTATCACGTGCACGATTTAGCCTTAATTTTTACTGAACCTCATCGAATTGATTTGAAACATTTCGTATCGAATTGACAGTGCAGCGTATCGAGATATGTATTGTATCGTGGCTTGTATATCAAGGTATGTATCGTATCGGTAACTTCTTAATGATACCCACCCTAGTAATAGATCACCATTCTTCTAGCATCTGTATGACTGTAAAGTTAAAGGTGCACTATGTATCTTTTCCAGCAGGGAGTGCGCCACCTGATTGTACCCATAAAGATGCATAGCTTTTCTCGGAAGGTTCCACAATATGGCATTAAGCTTGAATTTTTTTCAGTGCATTCATTCATACCTTGAAAAACATCCTTTGCTGTTGTTAGCAGAGTCTCCTCTCCTGCGATATGTCCTGTAACTTGAAAGAGTGGTGTCACCATAGAGACAAGGAGGTGACACTATAAAGCCATACATTGAAACATTCAAAATAAAGTAGTGTTGTCTACTGAAACATGCAGATTGCATATTTTCCACCAAAAACGTTACATAGTCCACATTAAATAGTAGTGAACTTGAACTGCATCTCCATGTGTCTCACCATCTCACCCTGGGCACTGGTTTGTGTTTTTCAGGTGTTCTTGTGGCTGGAGCGTTTGGGAACTTCTGCACAGAAGCAACTGGTTTCTCTGAGCAGTTTCCTGGACTCACACCTCACCTCCTCATGCTCCCATTCTGGTTCAGGGTCCCACTGTTCAGGGACTACATTATGTGTGGAGGTCTGCACCGGGACTGGTCTGGGAAAAGGGAAGGGCTACACCGGGGCGACTAAACCGGGGCGACTAAACCGGGGCGACTAAACCGGGGCGACTAAACGTACAATTGCACAAAGGTGACTATGGATCATAAAAGTAGAAATGTCACTGTGTACCACTAGACAGATCAATTTCACTTTCAAATAATCAATACAATTTCACACATAATACAGTACACAATACATCCTTCCTCTCCAAGAGCTACACACCCAGAAAAGAAAAACTCATAGTCACGTCCGCGTTATTCACAATTACACAATTGCTCCATGGCCTAAAGCACAGATCCTTGTGCACTCTCCCACACGTGCCCAAGAGTGCAGTAAAAAGTGCACTCCTATGAAAAATTATACTACAAGTTTGTTTTATTTAGTTTTTTAAAATAAATGATACATCAATATTATAATTATTAGTTGTAGTAGAACTAGGAGCTGTAGTTGTAGGAGTTAAAGTTATCATAATAGTTAGAGTTGTAGTCCTAATCATAAAAGTAGTAGTTGCAGTAGTCATCGTTGTCATAATAGTAGTAGTTATAGTAGTATTAGTAGGACTAGTAGTAGTGATTGTGCTGTTGTTTAATCATCTCTAGGCCTGGTTTCCAGTTGTAAGGCGAGTCTGTCCCACCTGCTGAGCCGCTCGGGGGGAGGGAACGTGGCGGTGATCGCAGTGGGCGGAGCTCCAGAGGCTTTAGATGCTCGACCCGGAGCCCTCACTCTTCAGGTCTGTAGAGATACCATGAGAAAGATGTGCCCTTGTGTTCTTAGGCAAGACACTTCACTCACTTTACCTACATATGAGTGTGTCTTGTGAGGGATTCAAGGGGCCACTGGCACAGCAGCCTCACTTCATTCTGTCTGCCCCAGGGCAAGAACATCAGTGAAATGGCTCTTTAGACCTTGAACTGACTTACACTTTCACTTGTCAGTCCCTTCTACATTCTGGTTGAATCTAGAAGGGTCAGGAATCGGACCGTGAAAAACCTCTGTGCAAACATGAGACGATCCAACCACAGCTGCTCATTTGTAACACAAGACTCAGATGCCTCTTGAAAATCATTAAGAACAAACTATATAACCTCTTTACCTGAGATAAATAAGCACAATTTTTTTTCTTTTTTTTTTTTTTTTTTACTTTTAAAAAAAAAATCCAGCCATGTTTGTTTTGACATAAATGGAGCACGTGTCTCTCTGATTGGTTAATCCGCCTGTCAATCATGTCCTCTGGAATCAAGGAGACAGGATACGGCTCCAGACCTCCCAGTGTTTGTTTTTTGTCAAAGTGTGTGGTTCTTGGTGGCCAGGTACTCTCACCACCCAGTCCACAGTAAATGGAACAAATCCCAGCGCTCCTGGGACCGCTCCACAGATCTCAGTCACATGAAAACAATAAAAGGCTTAATATTATTTTTAAAAAATTTAACTATTGTTTTTCAGGTGAAGAACAGAAAAGGATTCATCAAAATGGCTCTGAAGCATGGGTCAGTTTTACTTTTCATGTATTCACTGATTAATTATTGTAGCAGAAGTTTTTGCATTTGTAGGAGTATTATGGTAGTTGTAGGTGGGCTAGAGGCCACAGTAATAGTAATAATACACGATGTTGTAGTACTGACTTAGTCCTGTGTTGCAGAGCTCACCTCGTGCCAGTTTTCTCTTTTGGTGAAAATGAACTTTATGACCAAATGGAAAACCCCAGTGGATCCACCTTGAGGCGTGTCCAGGTCAGTACCAAAATATACTTATTTTTTAAAAAGGTCCTACAATCACGTACCACAATCACAATGCCTTTATCTGCAGCTCAAAGCTCAGAACCTCCAGAATTCCCCTTACTGAGCTACAGAAGCTGCACTAGCACTGATTCATGATTGGCTGCAGATGCTGAGGTTTAGGTGGCATTTTAGGTTTAAACCAACTGGATTTCATCATTGAAACAGGCAACCCAAATGAGAGACTCATGTGAGGCTCATTTTGCCTTCTGATTGGATCTTAAGAATCAAAACACCAAAATATAACATAAATAAAGCAAATGTTTTTGTAATTAAGAGTAAATCAGCATTAGAATAGTTAAAGTAAAGTAAAAGCTTTATTATGAAATTTTGATTTGTGGAATGTCTTGGGAGGACACAAATGGGTCATCTTTATGGAATTTATAAATCCAAATCCTATCTGCAGTTCCTTGGCAAAACCAGAGGAAAACCAGGTCAAAACCTCTAAATCTGGACTTTTAAAAAATGAAATTTCTACAATACATTTTAGACATTTTCTCCAGGTCACTGTAAAACCTTTGGCATTTTACTTGTTCTGTTATTTTTGTCTTTCTTCCAGAACCGGTTGCAAAGCATCATGGGATTGGCACTGCCGTTGTTCCATGCCAGAGGAGTGTTTCAGTACAGCTTCGGCCTGATGCCTTACAGGAAACCCATAAACACCATCGGTCAGTCACTGAGCCTGGACCAGGAGGACTACACTAGGAGGACTAAACTTGAGTAGGGACTGAATCAGTACTGTACCAAGACCAACCCACTACAGGAATCCTAGCCAAAGTATCGGTCTGTAACTCAATACCATCCGTCTACAGCAGTAAACCTGTTTTTTTAAGTATTTAGTATTAAGTGTCAGAAAGTCTATTATTCAAGTATATTAGTGTTATCTATCTATTGTTAAAGATGCTATACCTGATTTTTATTGTCTTAAAAATGTAAAAAAAAAAAAAAAAAAAAAAAAAATGGAACTGGTGCATTTTAGACAATTTGCAGTAGTCCAAAGTTATTCCTCACATACCTTATGCATTCCAAGCATCCAAATTATTCACCATGATGAGTTTATAAGAGCTTTTCCCAATTTTCAGAGACCAGAGTGGAGTTTTGCCATCACAGTAAAGCAAACAACAACTAGCATACCAACCTCGCACTTCCCGATTACTGGACAATAAAACTATTTATAATTAGAAGTAGACAATACATAGCAGACATATTCTGGCCTTAAGAGCTGGTTTTACAACATATCTATCGCTCAGTTTAATGGCCCAATGCAAGGTAATGAAAACCCGGACATTTGCATCACTTTATAAAAAAAAACCCGGATGGCCAGGACAGGACGTGGAAAACAGACATGTCCAGGGAAAAACAGACGTTTGTTTACCCTATTTTAAATGTACTAGCTCTGTTTTTCACATTTTAAGACAGTAAAAATCAGCTATGGTGCCTTCTAGGCAAATTTAGTGTATAATATAAAGCTTTTGTGTATTTTCAAAATGTAAGTTTTTCTTCTCTTTCTTTTGGTCCTGGTTCTGATCCTGGTCTGGTCCAGTTGGAGGTCCTATCCCTGTAAAGTCCAAACCAAGTCCCACAAATGAAGACATCGAGTCTCTACATGAGCAGTACCTGCAGAACCTCACAGATCTGTTTGAAACCCACAAAACTGAATACGGATACAGCAAAGACCAGCACTTAAACTTCACCTAGAATCTGTGTCAAAACCATGGACTCAACAGGGTCTAAAGCAGGACTAAACCAGGGCCAAAGCTGCTCCAAACAAGTGCTACATTATGATAAAAACCAGGTACAGTATTAACAATGGCAGTGTTTACACATAATCTGATTTATGGAGTTATCAGATTACAGAAATGTCATGTGAACTGTAATTTGATTTCTTTCTGATTGTTTACACTTTCACAGGTTTTGCTAAGTAAAAATTATGCAAAAAAGGGCAAGTTCAAAACCTATTGTACTAGGACTAAATCAGGTTCAGGACTAAGTTTAAATAAGGAACCCAGCAGGAATAAAACTTGAAATAATCAAGTTTAAAAAGGACTAAACCACATTACAAAAGGAATCAGGACTGTACATTATAGGACTAAACCAGGATTTAAGCAGGTTTAAAGGTACAATATTTAACTTTTTTGTCTAGAAAAGTTACTTAGTGCAACTTTAAAAAAAAAAAAAAAGAAACGGTGAGTAACCCAGATCGGAAATATGAATAATCCTGTTCTAAACCACGCCTACATCCGGACTGAATTAGGTATAAAGTAGTCTATTGTTGGACTAAACCAGAACTGAAACCAGAACAAAAAACTGCTTAAATCATGTATACAGTAGATTCAAATGAGTAATAAGGCAGGAATAAATTAATCAAATCTAAAAGAGGATTACGTTTGACCTGAACGAGGTATAAAAACAATAATCCAGCAATCACCAAACTAGGACTGAACCAGGACTAAAGCAGCTCTAGTCCAGGTCTGAATCAGGGATTTTCTACAATATTGCCAAAGCGAGAAAGTGAAAATGTTTACTCAAAATTTGCCTTCTTCCATATCCTGTATTTTCATAAGAATGCTATAAAAATAAATCCACAAAAATATATATAGCCTTGTGCTATGTCAGGAGTGCATGAATATGTGAAATTAATATAAATAAACATAGGAAGCTCCTCTGTATTTGTCAATGTGTTTAAATTAATAAAACACATGTGAACAGATCAAAATTGTGTCTTTTTGCACATAAATCTGAAGTGTGATGCAGCTTCCATCTGTTTGCGTATGACTGATTGCACATTTTACTGTGACCAAACCTCCTCGTCTGATCTCAGAAGCTAAGCAGGCTTAGGCCGAGTTGGGCGAGACCACTGGGAATACCAGGTGCCACAGTGGGGAGCTGTGCCAAGACACTTGACCATCATTGTCTGATAGATTCATTTTCTGGTGTGTAGGTGTGTGTGTGTGTGGTGTGTGTGTGTGTGTGTGTGTGTGTCCAGGTGTGTGTTGTGTGTGTGTGTGTGTGGTGTGTGTGTGTGTGTGGTGATCAGTGGGGCTGATGGTGCAGATTGGCAGCCTCACTTCCCTCAGTCTGCCCCAGGGCCCTTGTGGCTATAACAGTAGCTAGAGTCAATGAGTAATGCATGAGATTTTAAAGCAACTTTGAGCGTCTAAGAAAAGCCCTGTAGAAGACTAATGCATTATTACTACTAAAACACAGGTATAATAACAGATCTGGTTCTAAGCCCTACATAATTTCCCCTCATTTGACAATTTTGTTTATAATTTTAGTTGGTTGGACTTGGGCAGCAGATGTTACTTTGCACATATATTTTGTACAAGGCCCAAAACCTGTCTCAATTCATCATTTGATTTTGACTTTGTTGGAATAAAAATTTTATGTCATCAAAATAAAGTAATTTGAAAAACGTGAAAAAGCACGTACACTTTATAAGAGGGCTCAAAATAAGCTCCTGTCCATCATGGATCACCCCCAGCACCATCACGCGACAGGAGAGCACCTTTAGGGACAGTCCTGTGGTCCCTGTCCTGTCCCCTCCGCTGACACACCTTGGAAGTCAACTGTCCCCAGAGGTGGGGACTTGCAAGTCGTGATTTGGACTCAAGTCAGACTTTAGTCACTATTTTTAGGACTTGAGGTCTGACTTGATTAAATAGACTAAGACTTGCAGGTCATTGACTTATGACTTGACTCGGTCTTGAGGTCAAAGACTTGACTTAATTGAGACTTGCAGCATAACAACTTGGTTCCACCTCTGTCTGTCCCACATGTCACATACATGTGTACAACACATCCCTATAAAGGATGAATATCCACAAGGATATACTGCTAATTTAATATCTTTTGTGCGTTGCTTTATTTGCTGACGATCTTTAAATTTCCTTTGTGATCAATAAAGTATCTAAATTATATCATTGGGGGACAGGTCAGAATTCTGTGTCAGAATTTGCTGTGTAATTGTCAGATTACATTTTGTATCTACCCGGTTTATGGTTATGGTTATGATTAAGCCTGCAATTACTAGACCGGCACCCACGTAAAATGTGGCATAAAGTTCAATTTTTTTTTTTCTTTTTACTATTGTTGTCAATATTCAAACTCAAAGGTGTGATTTTTTTCAGTTGAAATGAATAAATATGGCAGATTTGTGGAGCCTAACATATACTGATCATGCTTATAAACCCGCAACTTTTGTTCATCCTATTTTTCTGCTTTTCAGTAGTAAAAAAGTTTAATAGCAAAGTGCAGGAGATAAGAGCTGATTCCTGATTGGCCAGCGCAGATAGGGCTGCTGCTCTCTGATTGGTTGGGGGCATTTACATGAAACAGCTTGAAAGTTTTACAGTGACCTCTACCTTGATTTGGCCACATTGTTTCTCTACAGTTCAGTTGGTTCAGCGGTCAGTATCAGCAGGTAAGACTTGTTTCTGGGCTTGTATCCTCAGAAATATTCTGTTTTCTGTGCCTTTAAAGATGCACAGTGTCACTTTTAGGGCACTTCTTAGTATCCATGGAGGTTACATTTTTTTATCCATCTTGCATTTATTCAGTTACAGGTGTTTTAATTGTCTGAAAATATCTCCACCTCTCCACAGACCTGTGTAATCACCAGCTTGTTTCCATAGAGACTGGTTAAGTTGATGCCATGCCGATAAGTAACATCTGAGAAAAGTTACACAGTGCATCTTTAAGTCTGAAAATGATTCTGGCTGGGAAAGAGGAAACACTAGAATAGCCTACATGATACTTTCCAAAATTATAGTTCTATAAAAGTTGGACGAGGCTTAGAATTTTTACTTTCTATATCAGTCACTGCATCCCGTACATTCAGTGCCTTGCCCATGGGTACAATAATGCATCACGATTTATGAAAATTGTGTTTCCTCTCTTGGACGATTTTGACTTAAGGGCGCGGAACAAGTGGGCTGGCTAGTAGTAGTAGTAACAGCAATGAGTAGCAGTGATTTATGATTTTACGTTATTTGAATGCACAAAACAAAATCTGATATTTTCAAATAATTAACCACTAAAAAAAACTTAAGATCATAAGGAGCGGTGCAAGAAACGTAAATATTCAAATGCATCAAAACCATTATTATCACCAGAGCGACAGGAAAGTAATGGGCCTTTCAACAGAAAAGTTACAGAGTGCATCTTTAGCCCCTGGCATAATGGAGCGGTGTAAGAGACACAAATGTTCAAATCATTTAATATTGTCAACATAAAGCTTTTGTCACTTGTAGACTTACTCACCGTGAGAAGAGAAACCAAAACATTTATTCAAAATGTACAATCACTGAAAAACAGGAATTCTAACTGTGAGCTGGGTGACCTCTCCACAGATCTGACCCATACCTTGATAGATACTGACACACTTACTGTCAGTATCTATCTGTGGAACATTCAACAAATGCAAGCAGTATTATCTCCATGGAGACAGGCAGGTGGTGGACACTGCACCAGAAAAGTTAGATAGTCCACAATTAAGACATAAGGCATAATTATGGGTTTCAGTTTACAGTTAAAAACAAAATAGTTTAAAATTGATATGGCAATTGCACAATTGTTTCTATTGTAAAATTCTTGTATAGGTTACATTTTATGAAATATTTTTTGAAATGCAGGATCCATATGCCCTAACCCCTCATCTCCTCTGCAGTGTTACCATGAGGTCCCTGCTCCTGTCTCCAGTCTTGGTCCTGGTTTTGGTCGTGTTCCAGGTTGATCCGGTCTGCGGGGGTAAAATCCTGGTGTTCCCAGGTGAGTTTAGTCACTGGCTGAACATGAAGAGTTTGATCCTGGAGCTGCACCGACGAAACCACTCCATCAGCATCATCGCGCCATCAGGAACTCCATCGGTCAAGTACAACGACACAGAGCTGCAAAAGACCTTCAACTTTATTGTGTTTGAGGTCAGTATTAAACCAGAACTGAACCAGGACTCATTTAGGATTTAACCAGAACTACACCCAGACTAAACTAGGACTAGAACAGGATTAAACCAGGATTTAAACAGGATGGAGCCAGGACAAGGCCTGTCACAATAACACATTTTGAAGGCTATATTATTATATATTGCTTCAGGATATACTGCGATCATATTTTTTGATATTGAAACTACTTTATGTCATTGATACAACAACAATAATGCAAGATAATCCCAGTAATCCATTTTTAACTGGCATCATTAAGATTGCCTGTCCAGCCAGCAGTGTTGGGAAGGTTACTTTTAAAATTTATTCCCCTACAGATTACAGATTACATACACCAAAATGTAGTTTGTAGCGTAATCCATTAAATTACTTAAAGTGAGTAATGTAATCTGAATACTTTGGATTACTTGATATTGTCATGCTTTTTAAACGACATGAACGTAGCAACCACATCCTGAAAATACTTGTTTGTTCTCTTCAAATTGGCTGAGCCCAAGTCTCCATGAACAGGTAATTGTTTGCAGTAGTAGAGAAGCAAAGACTTGGATATATTATTTATTTATCATTATCATTTTGTCTGCTGAAAGACAATAAAAAAGCCCAGTCTTCACCTAAGCAAATAAAAAATATTATTGATGGAGAAATGATTTTTATATGAGATCATGCCTTCAATTATGTCAACCCTACTGTTAGGTGTCACATTGTTTAGACCTAGTTTAGACCTGGTTTAGTCCTGGTTTAGTCCTGGTTTTAGTCCTGGTGTTAGTTCTGGTTTAGAGGTGCACTGGAGTATGCACTCTCCCTCTGTTCTTTAAATATAAAGTGATGTCTGAATTTCAAAAACACAAATGTGTTTTTACCTGTGCACTGCTGGCTCTGTTCTACTGGCTCCTCGACCTCGTCCTTTGTGTGACTGACGCCACCGATGTTATAAAGACGTTTACATTGCTCTTATTGCGCCTGTTTTGTTTGGGTTTCCGGCAATGAGTGGAATTACCTAATAATTTAAAAAATGTGAAAACAGGAAAATACTGCTGTGTAATCCATTTATTTCAACAAAGTAACTGTAATCCAATTACCTCTCATTGAAACAGTAACTGTAACTGAATACAGTTACTCATAATTTGTACTCTGATTACATAACTCCAGTACATGTAATCTGTTACTCCCCAACACTGCCAGCCAGTCCCTTCTACATTCTGTTTGAATCCAGAAGCGTCTGGAATGAGACCACAGAGCGTGAAAAACTTTAGTTCAAACATGAGACGATCCAACCACAGCTGCTATCTTGTATAACGTGTCTCTCACAAATGTGGAAGGTATCTCCTCTTGAAAATTCGTGTAACATTCAGAAGAAAATATATAACTTCTTTTACCTGAGACAAGTAATAGTTTGGTGCTTCAGTTGTTCATTCTGGGAAAATCCATGCTGTTTCTCAGTCATTTATATAGTTTTGTCCTTTTTTTTTTTTTTTTTCCACGTATAAGCAGCCGTGTTTGTTTTTGATTGAGCATGGGTCTCTGATTGGTTAATCCTCCTGTCAATCATTCCCTCTGAAATCATCTCGATACGGCTCCAGATCCACCCATCTTCTTAAAGTTTATGTCAAAACGTGTGGTTTCTGTCTGGTCAAGTCATTAGCCGTAATTATCCTTAGCCAAGTCACCGATTTAACCTTTTAAAGCTCAAATGTTTTTGTATTAATACAAAAATACATACCACTTTTACAAAGAATTATTGATCCCCAAAATGTATTGTTGATAAGTCGATATA